AAGTATGAACGCGTTCAAGAACAGACTAGATAAAGCTATGGAAAAATATATGTTCAGATTTGAAATGCCTAGCTCCTTATCGAACCCGGTGGAAGTCTAGTAGCTTCTTCAAACTATCGCCAGTCATGAAAAGATCCGGTCAAATGACACGAGTTTAGATTCTATGAACAAGGCACGAAATGGAAAAGAATCGGCGACAGGCCACATCAGGCCTACACTTCAGAGCCGACATCACTATGTTATGTTATGTTATGTTATTATTTTAAGTGTCTTCAGACCCTTGCCACACTCTGATTGCCGATCGAGTTCGAGGCTGTTTTAATCTGCCGGTTGACTACTTCAAAAACCCGCGAACCGGCGAACCCCCGTGAATGATTCCTTTCATCAATATTTCTTGAAACCCCGCGATGAAGTGAAGCCCCAGTAGCGAGGTTTTACTGCACAACTATTTGGTCCCAACATGTCTCATGTTGAAGGCTGTTTACAGTACCTGGAGATGCGGTTCGGTTCGGCGTGGCTGCGGCGCTTGGCGATGGGCATGAGGTTGGTGAGTGTCACGATGTTTATGGGCCTCGCTCTGTACGCCCCCACGCTGGCCCTAGCCGCTGTCTCGCCCATCTCGTCTACCACCTTCATCTGGATAATGGGTGTTGTTGTCACCATCTACGCTTCATTCGTGAGTATGAACCAACTTGTGGGACTAGGATAAATGCCCGAAATTGCTACTCAAGAAATTTGATTGTACTATAAATCAGTTTTAATGTCGAGGAAGGAGTTATTGTAAATTGCATTGTGTAAATTGCATTTTACTATAAATCAGTTTTATTGTCGTGGAAAGAGTTATTGTCACCAGGAGTTAGTTGTCCGGCAATAGGTTCACTCTGGACTGATACATGTACAGATTTTGATAGGAACTACGATCCTCATGGGAAGTTCTATTCAGTTCTATTAATAATGAAATTGAGCGTTTAAAACATTGTCAAACTCTATGAGCAAATCCGCGCTTTGTTCCCTTAAAGTGCAGCCGTGGACTGATAAGTGGAATGCCACCAATCAGCCTCTAATTGACATCACTTCATACTCATTCGTCCTAGAATTGTTTTAAAACTACACCTTACCACGGCCTTTCATCCTTGTCCCTACGTGTTTAACGCCAAATCTAAATCAACTGATTGCTTAAAGGATACTCTCTTACAATAGGCTCAAGCTAAAACTTGTATAATTACTGTAGTAAATATGATTGATTGCATGCAGATAACTTCATTTATTTAGACGCGTCTAATCTATCTCGCGCAGGGCGGCTTGAAGGCGGTGGTGTGGGCGGACGCGTTCCAGATGGTGCTGATGACGGCAGGGGTTTTGCTGGTGACGGTCATGTCTTGCGTGGAGGTGGGCGGTGTCCAAAAAGTATTGACAGTCGCCTACCAAGGAGGACGAACTGAAGGACTCGAGTGGGTAAACTTTTCGAGTCTTTGAATATTGTTTTAAGTAATAAATATCATTACCAGTAAATAGATGCATGATTTGCACCTGTAATTAGTCATCGTATAAAAGAAGCTTTCTGGAAATGAGGAGCTCAAAGTTTTTATTTGAATGAAATTCCTGCAGGTTTCAATTATCGTTAAACAAGAAGCATATAATTACCTTGGATTTTTCCTCCCTTTTTCCGTGTCATGTTTCCACTCTTATGAAAATAATTTTATAAAACTAATAGTTTTAAAGCATTTTTTGCAGACGAATCAATCACATACAAAATCATGAAAAATCACGTGGAATATTTTTAATTATTCGAAAACACGTTACCCATTATATTATATGTAATATTATTGCAAGAGCTGTAGCCCACTCTAAAATATCATAATGGACTCATTTGCACCGAAGAAATATATATAACACATGAAAACTATAAAATATTTAGATTCTGGATTTTCGTACTGTACTTAAATTTTCCCGTAATTTCGGATGTCTCTTCCTTGTCACTCATTGGAGTCCCGCGTATTATTTCATTTAAACACGATTCCTTTCCACAGCATAAGCACAGACCCTCGAGTGCGCCACACCGTCTGGAACGTAATCTTGTTGACGCTCGTAAGCTGGGGCAGCCACTACAGCGTAGCACAAGCCAGCTACCAACGTGTCAGCTCAGTGGCCACACTCTCACAGGCCAAGAGGTGAGGTGGATAAGGAAATAACGCAAATATAACTGCTCTAATAACTTTTATTGGGTCCAATGCAGATCTCCGAGAGCACAAGAGAATCTCGGAGGCGGAGTCCACATTTAGTGCTGAAATGAGAAATGACCGGTTTAATTGCAAAGAACCATTGAGCCGATTATTCGCAAGTGAACAATTATATTCAATATCTCCAATTTGAACGGCAATAATTGAGCATGGCAATATCCCCAAATCGTACCTCGAAACCTAACTGATAACAGGAACTGGATAGTATCTAAATAGGACGAGGAGCCAGTCACAATAAGACGGTAGGCAGCTGTTGCATCCCGCCGGCGTGAAAAAAACCGCCGCGGGATTTCCCGCGCTATCATTCACACGAGGCGGTTTTTCACACTGGAATCTATCAGACTTGCAGCGCTGTTCTCCGTAAAAGTGGTCCTCAGTTTTTGTGAACTATATCTACAAATGCCTGCTCATAACAAAGAAAAGAAAGCTCTCCTTTTATATTTGCTGCATAAAAGACAGCAAAAAAAGAAACACAAAGAAAGAAAAAAAAGGAGGTGCTGGGGTCACAATATAGTAAAATTAAGGCCACAAGAAGGTGAATTTGCCACGCTATTCTGAAAATTAAAAGAAGATGAAGTAAAATTCTTCAATTATTTCCGAATGTCTGCCGAAAGTTTTGATGAATTATTGTCTTGTGTGCAAGGCAAATTAACCCACAACAGCATGCAGATGAGAGACGCCGTGCCTGCTATTGAAAAACTGGCTTTAACTCTCTCACACACCCTTGCCGACCCACTGTCTGTACCACACTGGGTAACGGCGTGAAAAACCGCCCCGTGTGAAAGATTACATTGAATACCATTGCATGCTAAACAGTCGCGGGAAATCCCGCCGCACTTTTAGCTTGACACACGCGGTCATCAGGCGTGAAATTTCACGAAAGCCGTCGTGTCGTCGAAAGCCGTTTTCCGAAAGCCGTCGTCGTGAAAAGCCGTCGTGTGTGAATAGCAGTGCACATTTTATATGTTCGCTGAGGTTCGGCGGGAAATCCCGCGGCGGTTTTTTTTTCACGCCGGCGGGACTTCACGCCCTGTGTGAAAGGGGCCTTACAGGCCAAGAGGTGAGGTGGGATGAACCCGACATGGCGATTCAGCTACCAGTGCGTCAGCTCAGTGGCCACATTCTCAGAGGCCCAGAGGTGAGGTGAAATTGAATTGTCTCATACGCAAGCTAGGATCCATGAGTTATACCAATGGCCAGCGTCTTCCTGGAAAGTAGACACAGATTAAAGGCGCAGAAAGATTAGGATCGGTCGAAAGTTTACATGGTTTTAAATGATAGAATTAATATAGGTTTTCCCCGCAAAACAAATGAACTAGTCAAGGAAAGGAGTACCTTGACTACATGAAGGATTTTGAATTATATTTATATTTGTTGATCGGGTAAAGAAACGTTAAGCTATAGAATGCGAGGCTTAAGAATTTTGCTTTATTTAGAACTGACAAATTTTTGACTAAGAAAGAGTCCCAAAATTCTCATGCTTTGTTGATATTATGTACTCCTTAACCTCGTTTACTGATGCTCGGTATGTATGATGGGCAGAGTTTTGTACTACAACCTTGTCGGCATGACCGTCTTCATGCTTCTGGTGTTCTTCATGGGCCTCGGCGTCTACGCGGTCTACGCAGATTGCGACCCGTTTGCTCGGGGCTTCATCTCCAGCAAGGTAGTTTGCTTCCTCATATGTTTTTTTCGTACTGTGACTTTCCAAAGATAGCATAGTAGTGCCAGGTGAAGAACAGGCCAAGTTTGGTCTTTCACCGATCCTTGTAATGCTTTTGACTTGTCTCCTGGAAAGCTAAAATCAGGTCTTTTGACCGGATCTATTCAAAACGGGCTGGAAGCAAAATACTTGCTGAATATCTGCCAAACATATGCGGATCTGAAGATAACAAAAATATAAAGATGCGCCGTTAGTAATATCACACTTCATGATCAAAACACGTTAAGCTGAAAAAGACAAGATTAAATGACTAAGGAATTGTCCTTCGCACAAATGAATATAAATCGAAATCAACGCAAAGAGATAAATAATAATGAACAAATATTAGAAAGTACTGTACTCAAGATCATCAACTGCTTAGTTCCCACACGTCGAGTGCAATCAATGAAACAGTTTGAGCATTTTACTTAGATTAAAAAATATCATTTCAAAATGAACTCAGCCCTCATTCTGTTTGCCATTCTTAAACTAATTTCAGGGATGTTCGAGTTGATTAAAAGATTTTTCCCGTAACTGCTTTCAGTAATTATTGCTCTGTAATGTAATTACACGCCAATTGAATGTCAACTATTACATTAGGTTAAAATATGCTGATGGAATCAGGTATCAGGTCATTTTGAATGTGCATTTGCACCTGAAAACCATTCGCATCCAAAACAATTCCCAGAACTGCACACTAAAGTTTCCAAAGCATGAAAAGGCTAAATAACTGGCAAATAATGAGATTGTGAATTCATTAGCTTATGAGCAAACTTTCCGGATTTCTCCGAATTATCGATGCAAAATAGAAATTATTTTGCAATATCACAAATAATGTAATTAAACATTTTGTCTACGTATAATTGAAAATCAATATTATAATTATTTTTTATTGTGAATCCAGTTATCATTGATTACGTCAATTCTTGTAGAATAACCGTTAGTGTCTCGAATAATTTTATTGTCAGCATTAGTTGAATTATTATCACTTTAAATTCCACTTTGTAGATTCGCAAATTGTTTCTCTAAATAAAAGTCATGCATTGCATATAAAAACAAGTAAGCTTTCTTCTGTTCCTTCCAGGATCAAATTTCAGTTTATTTTGTGAACGACAAACTGAAGGACTTCATTGGGATCCCTGGTATTTTTGTGGCAACCCTTCTCAGCGCAGCTCTAAGGTTGGCTTACGCTAAGTGTTTCTGTCTAATTTCACTTGAATTTCTAGCAAAAAATCATACTCTTACATGATTAACTAATAATTATAATCAATGAGAAGTCACTTGTTGCATGATAACCCGAAAACTTTCTTATAATAACAAAAGTATTCGAACAATTCTTTTATATGTTCAAATTTGCACCTGGATCAGCAGCTTCGCTCGCTCCATTCTGCTTCGACCACACACAAGCTTAATTAAAAATGCCCTGCTTTCTTTTCCTCCACCTTAGTTCAGTGTCGTCGGCAGTGAATACTCTGGCGACTTTGCTGTGGGGTGACGTCTTGTCGCACACTTCTTGCTTCAAGGGCTGCTCTGACTTTGTGGCAGCCACCACCAACAAAGTTCTGAGTGCGTTCATCTCATATCAACCCGCATAAATACCCATTACACGAGGAGCAATGAACGGGAAAAATACCCAACGGAAATTTCAAACTTTACCCGAAAACATTAGATAGTGTATATCATGATGAGGGATTACCATGGAAAATCAAATACGGGGTAAAAGTGTTGGACAGCTGCCTGAAATTGATTTTTCATAACTCAAACATTCAGGCTGAATACACGAAAATAGTACTATATTGGGAATAAAAATCGGCCTTCATGGGCTGATGACGATCGAATTACCTCCCAAAATGTTCACTAATTAAGTCAAGCTGGCGTTATTTATGGCTGCCATACTGACTTTTTTTGCGGAAAATAATTCCGCTGTTGTTCACGTTTCATGTTGAATTTAATTTTACTAAATGCTCCATACTTCTGAAACCGAATTCTAATCCAACGAAATACGACGAGTGATTTGTTTTGAATAAACACTTGAGATAACTTAATCTAGCGAAGTACAAATTAATGTAGAAAATTCGAAAAAATACTATTTCTCTGTGACTAAATGCATAAAAATAAACTAAATTTTCCTAATAAAATACGATTAAACTCTTTTCTCGATCGTGCAGCGGCGTTGCTGGGAGCCACAATTATCGGCATGGCTTTTCTTGCGTCGGAGCTGGGCGGGCTGATCCAAGCAGGGTACATGGTCGTCGGGGTGATGTCTGGGCCAGTGTTTGCCGTGTACCTGTTGGGCTTGGCGGTGCCTTTCTGTGATAAGCGGGGCGCTTTCTCGGGTCTCCTCTTTAGCTATGTGAGAGTAAAATGATTATTTATTTTAAAGTAAAATTTATAACATATATATGTTTTTAGAGTAAATGATTATTTATGCCTTTAATTTGGAATATCAGTGTGATTGTATATTTTTTATTTAATTTACAAGTGTTTATCAATGTTTGCTAAACGACCGAAATGTATAGCAGTCGCTTTTATCTCTTCCAGAAGCGACTCACTCATAACTACTACAAACATTAAATTGAAAAGTTTAGAAATTAGACAAATATGTGCCGAAACATTAAATCTTATAGTAGAGAACATGGAAATATAATCAAAACTAATTTCAAAAAAGCTGTCAGTGAATGGTGTACATGGCCTCTCTTGAACCAGTGAGTCTCAGGATCCATTTGGTAAAATGGAATGCTCACATGAGAAAATTCTGCACGCAAGATATGGTCTGAAGTTTAAGGTTAAAAACATTTGTCCTAGGAGATTTGACTTTTAGTTGTTTATATTATTCTTTATTATGTTTGAATAATATGTCTGTATATGCGTATAAATGTATTATATTTGTTTATTTATCAGCTATACGGTAAATTCAACAGATTTTGTGCGTTTGGATGTCAGCGGGAAGTTTTCTCACCAACTCTTCCAAGCCGCCGATGTTGCCGCTCTCCACAGCGGGCTGTCCCGTTAACGCCACCGTCACCACCTTCATTACCCTCACTAACACCACCAAAACCACCCCAAACACGTCAGCGTGCGTAATGTAGATTTTTCCATACATCATTCTGCCTCGAAGTCAGTTAATTCGATTGAAAACAATTATGCGGCATATTGAAGTTCAGCGTGTATAATAAAAATAGTGAATAGAGCGCTTCAAAGTTAATGCCTGAGCGTCCTCCGTTTTTATTTAGTAAGCGTCAAATCTTGATCTTATTATGGAACACGGTCATGAATTGTCAGTCTGCAATGTAAATAATGATTCACTTATTTATGATTTTTCTACTTTTTCACCCATAGCCACGTACCGTAATAGGATAATCAGAATTCATGAGCCGTTTCATCTGTTACGTTTAATTTCATTGATTAAAATAATAATTATAAATTGAATTGTCTTCTGAACACATTATATTTACCTAACTATTTCAGAAATTGCAACATGTTTTGTCATGGCTCACCATATTGTCCGTTCTATTAAAAATTACTTTTTCTGCTATTTAACTGTAACTCACTAACATTCCTACTTTCCTGTGTAAATAGTTTGGTATTTTCGTTGCAGGCCAGCCTTGTCGTTCCTGTACTCAATATCGTACACACTTTACCCCTTCATTGGCCTGACGACTTGTCTGATCGTGGGGATCCTCGTGTCACTCGTTGCGTGTAAGTTTATATCCTTTTTGTTGTGAAACAAATAACTAAGGCAGCAGTTTTAATGGCCGGACATGTTTCACCCTATAGAGCATAGCTCTGCATGTACGTAGAATATCAGGGAGATGCGATTAGTCATAATATTTAGCATTATGTCGCTATCTTCAGCACTTTGTTCTTAATATCCAGTAGTACGTCGTTATTTAAAGCACTATCTCATTATTTCCAGCACTATATCGTCATCTTCAGTGGTATGTCGTTATCTTGAGCCCTTTACCGTTATCTCCAGCAGTATGTTGTTATGTAGCAGTATGTCTGCTACATACAGATATACGTACTGCTTGGATTTGTAGCAAAATCGAAAATTAAAAAAAAATTACATCAGTACTCACTGCAGTGAGTGACAGAGAGCGCATTTTCTCGTTGCTGATTATCATGGATACTCGGCAACGTGAAGTCACAGACAGACAGATGGACGGACGGACATGACGGGCACAATAGCGCCTTCTTTCCATAAATGAGATAAATTCGCTAACAAGTCATTTTTCGTGTAAGTAATTAATTATTGTTTGTTATCCAATAATTTGCGTCTATTTCGCACTCTATGGTCAATAAAATTCTTCCAACATTTCCCACAATTTGCCTATAATCAGACTTACTTTACTGTTGCCAGGCTACCAAGATCCCAGGACGGTCCCAGGGTACCTAGTGCTGCCCTGTATACGGCGCTTCACAAAACAAGAAATCGATGCTGACAACGGAATCTCTTGTATACGCATTGAAGCCCTCAAAAATACTGGAAATTTATTCGATAATCGGATAAATGAAACTAAAAGTAACTCACAATTTTGACTTATATGATTAGCCAAGGAAACAAGTTTACAGTCATGTGAATTCCGACAACCAAGAAGCCTTTAAATGATCGGAATTTTTTAAATTCTTCTCCAATTTATGTATTGAATATTATGGTTTCTCACAAACCATATCGCAAGCCTTGAACCGTTAATTCTTTTCTCAATTAATCAAGAATTTCTTAGTACTACCAACGCATTTATAGGTCTTGTTCTATTTTTAAAACAATATTTTTTATTTTCAAATTGACATGTATTTGCGAGAAAATTGTTCTGTCTGCTAGAAATCCCTGAACGCTAACCGAAACTGAGGCTATGATCAAATAGCAATATATATGATATTTGGGTCTTGGCTGCAGCAACTGATCCCGAATAGTCAGATAATCTTAATTATAGAAAGGCTATGTAAAGATTCAAGAGCAGTATTATGTAAATGATTTATTTCCAAATTTTTTGAGATGTTATTAAATTTATTCGGCTTCATGCTACGTTCGTGTACGAGGAATTTCATTGGCAATTAAATCCCCGTGGACACACATAATAATGTTAACTTTCAGAATAGTGTAGCCAAAGAAATAGATTTATGTAGAGTTCTGGTAGTTTTTATATTATATCTCAAATAATAGAATAGATTAATATTGAATATGTTAAGTGATCAAATAATGCAGTCTTATTTACTAAACTGTGTTACAATAATGGATAATGTAAATACAAATGTACAAATTATCAAAAACTTTGTCTAATAAATTGATATGGTCGATAAAAAAAAATGTTTTACGCCATTATGCTTTTTCTTAGGTAGATAATTGTAACTCTGAACTCATTAAGCAAATTTACAAAATCTGAAGAGTATCGATATTAGGCTCGATGAAACATAAGTAGTATATGTTGACCGACTATTCTCATCACATAAAGGCGTTGCTTAATTATACTTTTATTCATACACAGATTGATTTCGACATTGACATACAATCCATTTGCGATTTCTTACTGACATAACTGCGTCGTTCGTGACTTCAATAAATATAGCAAAAATCTCGAGAGATCAAAAGGAAATTTGAACGTTGATTATGATTAATTATTATGATTATGATTATATTATGATTATTTTATATGTTATGATTATTTTATATGTTATGATTATTTTATATGTTATGATTATTATATATATTATGATTATTTTATTTGTTACATATTATTGATTGTGATTATGTGTTAACAAAATGATTAAGCAGACGTGTTTATTCTCTGAATTAGCATATTGGGAAAGTTTAGAAGGCTTCCTTCTCCTTCTTGATAAATATATTCTCAATTGCAGAATTTTTATCTCCCCTAAATACTTGTCTGGGATTGGAACTCGCTCCTTGTCTCACATCTGCATATGTATAGACCACTTTGTAGAAACCATTTCTATTTATACTTATTATATATTCTATATAATAACCATCCATTTTTACACCGCGACTTTATTTAATAAAAATAATGAAATATAACTATAGTTGTTCTTCAAACAAACCCCGCGCAGCAGATTTTCACTGGCCTAAATGAATACACTTCATCATATTCTTGATATTTTCCAGGTAGCTTCCTGTTATCACTGAAATGAAGATATTCTTTGAGGTATCTTAACCTATTTTCCCCTTACCTAATTATTCATAAATACTTCCATAACTCGGTTGAAAATTACAGTAATGGTACGTCATATTTAAACAACGTGTATTACGTACAGTGATATTGCACAGGGATATCATATTCGTCCCGCTGTATGATTTTTTAACAACTAATATAAATTATTTTGGGTTCAAGTTCCACATTGTATCTACAGTAAAGTCCCCCTTGTGGTCGTTAGCATCTAGCCCAACCCTTGCTTGAGGAACGCAGAGGCTCGCTTGTGCTTCCTCTTTAATGGGCTTGAAGAGGAATAAGCTGTATGAGTGGAACAGGTGGGAAATTTTTCAGCGTTTATTGCAAGTTTTCCACGTCTGCAGCGCAAAAATTCGGGTTGAACTAATGATATATACGAAATTTTAAGCCGAGCTTCATGTTGTTAGATATTGTGGATATAAAATGAAAAATAAATCTTTATATTGCATTTCGAACCTGCTTACAACTTTATTGCCAATTTGAACGGAAGAGGAATAGTTCTCCGTGTATTTAATCTTCAAAATGGTGATTATTTCTTTTGAAAAAAAACACATCTACTTACGAGTTAGGACAAAAAAAGTTCGTCCACAGTACTGGCTGCACACATCCATCATTCAATAAATCATTCACGTGCTTATCAGTACAATTTCTTAGTACAATTATCAGTACAATTTTTATCAGTGACTTTACGATTATTCGCTTTTGACTTGGTCTATTAGAGAACAACAGATGACTTGCATTGCCGAGAATTGTGAATGCGTATTCATAAAACTCATTACATATTTCAAAACTTCGCGATGTCAAGTGGAATGTATCACAAAATACTATTGAATACGGCCACGGAAATTAGGATTCTTGGAATATTCAACGAATGCACGTATGGAACACATTCCTATTAAGTCCAAAAGCTCCGAAGCATTTTGTCTGCGGAAAGTTGTCACGAAAAACTAAATATTCATGCCAACTTATACGAAATTTATGACTACGAATTGACTTGAAGTCGTAAATATTAATTATCTATGGGCCGGGTTGCATTGTAAGTCAGCTTGGTTCATTACCATCCAATGTTGCAGAACATATGGATTTACTGAAACAAATAATATTACACGAAGTAATACTTCCTAAAACCGCCTCTCGCAAAAACATTTCAGGAAACCTACGCAAAAATTTAATAGCGAAGAACAATACAGAATTTAGTGGTTGAATAAAACCAAATTTGACATCAAAACGTATAATTAAAATAATATTTTGCGTTGTGCTAGATTACCATAGGTCAGGTATTACAAAGCCCAGACATCAGCCGAACTTTGACAAGCAAATTTTACATCAGCTAAATGACGGTGAGTGGAAGTCGTGACTGTTTTATAACTCCTAACAAAAGTCCTTTCCATATGTAATCCTTCAAAGTTGTAGGTAATTATGAGAAATACTCTTATTATTAGTCGATGTTGAAGGTAATTTCATGCTTTGTAAATTTATTCGATGTCTAGTCGAGCGCTGCCCGGGTTAACCTTGCCTCGGATTGCTCCAATTATTTAATATTTTCCCACTAAGAATGATGCTTTAGGTTATGGTAAAATACCGACACGGTACACGCCCGAACAGCCCTTGTATATTTGCGTGGCACCACACTTCCGACGCATCCAAAAATACAGACCCGCAAAATTTGACAAATATCCGAGTATATTATACAAGTATATTACTCGTATTATCGTATAAGAGTATATTAGATAAGGAATAGAGTTATATTTCCCAGTGTTGGAAGACCCGGAGGTGGCGGTAGGTGGAGTTGTCAGGATGGTAGTAGCCGTTGGAGGGATAGCCATAGCTGATGTAGCAATAGAGCACGAACCTGCGACGTCAGAAATTTTCCAATTATACATAAAATAAATTAATACATTTAACAACTGTATTAGTTTCGTCAGTAGGTTAATCTAAAGCAAATAACCTCACGCAAAAAAGTGCAATAATAATTCAACTTTTCTACTGAATAAATCTTTCGATCAAGAATAATCAATAAATATCGCAGCTGATGAAACATGCTCATAGATAACTCGATTGATAACGAGTATTCCATTTGTAAATTCCCGTGATGGAGCAAATACGTGAAACAAATAAGTGTTCACTCCGGATGTGTGTTAATTTTTCATTCCACACTTAATTGCCTATCCACCCGTAATTTCCTATACTAATTAAAGTTAAAATTCCGAGTACGAGAAACGAGCCGTTTTGCAGGCAGCCGGATGCTGTTTGATAATAAATTAATATAAATAAAAGGAAAAATTTATTATCATCTTCAATGGGGATAATTTCGATCATAATAATTATACTATCATTCTCAAGATATACCTATAATTCGAGCGGGAAGATTTGAAAGAGCTGGTTACATTTTCGCCCTCGAGAGGGATCATACGGGAGGATGGGATAATTAAATAATATCGTTGGATGATGATAATTTGAAAAGTATAATTACATTATAACCCTCGAGGCGATAATTTGAGTGGGAAAAGTTATACTATCCCTTACGAGAGAATAATTCGATAGGGAAAATAATATTATTTGGAATAAGGCTTAATTCGTGAAGCCTGAGACCGGATCACTTACGAGCACGCCAGGGCAGCGATCACAAATGTTGTGGCCGCTAGAGTTGCCACTGGAGAGCGGAAGCTGCAGAACCACGAGCCAAGTAACACCGCTGAAATGAGAGTTTTGAGGTAGAGTAAATCATCATAATAACTCTTATTGTTGCATGGTAGTGTCACTTGAACATTGAAATAACTTAATTATTTGTTAATAGTGGTTGCGGTTATTTAAACTCACTTCATGTACCTAAATTAAACCATGAAAAGGAACTGCAGCGCTGGGAAGTAGTGGTGGTACCTGTGAGCAGGGAAGAGAACTGCAGCGCTGGGAAGTAGTGGTGGTAGTAAAGCACGCGGTCCATGGCGTAGAAGGGCAGGTAGTGCAGGAGGTATGCCACCAGCAGCCACCGACACCAATATGCCAGCTCATCGATTTCTGGCAAAAGTGGTATATCAGACAAAGTTTATTTTCGATTTCTCGGTAAAAACAATATATGAGGCATTGCATTTTTAAAGTCTCGTATCCTAACAATCGTAGTTTAAGAAATCATGAACACAAATCTGGAGCAACCTCGAATAAATTACCTGTCAAGCTTGCACCGTGAGGGTTTCTTTTGAAGACGTAGGATCGAAAGAGCAACAATCCGGCCGCTGCTATCAAGCACATAAAATTTAACGCAAATATCAGGGGGTTTCCAATAAGTCCGATCCGATAGACCAAATCGAACCATGGATGCATCTGTTGTGACAGAGAATGGGGTTTATTCTGCGGATGAAAAGGACTTGCGCAAAAAAATGAGTGTCAATTTTATTTATTTGTCACTGATATATTAGTACTTGTACAGTATGAGTTAAGTAAGAATTAAATGAAATATTCAAATTATGAAATTTTCTCTATTAATAACGAGTCTAATTCAAATTTCAGGGAAATATTCGAAGGCATTACAAAAACGTCCTTGAGTGAAATGAAAACAATGTTTGAGCTATTTTTGGAAGTTCATTACTTAATAGGTACAACAATAAATTTTTTTGCCATTTGAAAAGGAAAAACTCACGGAATAACAGATGGGCCACATCCAGGGACGTTGGGTGAGCTTGTGGTAGGTCGCTTCCTGCATGCGGCTGTTCCGGAACTTCATGACTTGATGGGACTCCAGAAATCGCTCCACCAACCCCGATTGCAGGTGATTAAAAGTGGCATTGGGCACTGAATAAAGTCCACATTTATTGTTTTTTTCTCTAAAAGGGTAATCAAGAAAATATTGTAGCTTAAATTGTCGAGAAGCGCTTTTAAAAAAAAAATGATTCTACGTGACTGGGTTATAATCAGATATACTCAGGTCCAGACTTAATGACTTACACTTCGAATTGACATTTTGTTCGAAGATCCATTGGTTGTATGGATCGAATTTGTTAGTTGAGCAGGTCACTTCACCGTGTCCGTATCCCCTGAAAATGTCCTAAATCTATAATATTATAATAATATAGTCTATATTGTATTATAATAATGTAATAATATTAAATGAATGCTTACTTGTTTATTTCACCCAATCAGTTATAATTAATTTTTTAAACTAATTTATATAGAATGAATCAGTTATCATATGTTAAAATGAATATTTTCTGACCTTCCTTTAAGCTCTAAATTTCAAAGTGACACATAGGAAGAAAAGCAAGCATTACGATTAAAAAACACGCATAGGAATTAATTGCGTTTCGAATAAAAAAACGCCGACATATATAACGTTGAAGACTACGAACACTAGTAATTAGCATAAGAAATAGAAGTGACAATACCCCATAAGAAATTTTGCCTATGTCTGACCGCGCAGTGCCAGAGAGAATCATTTTAGCCAAAATGTCCCAAAATTCCGTTCAGTATCGGGCCGTTGAGGTGGTTGAGAATGGACTCGTTTTTACCACCTTTGCTAAAAATAGCAGACAATAAAATATAATTTTTAAAGAAAAATCAATTGCACGCGCAGTGCAATGTTTTAAATTTTAAATGAAACTCGGTTGGCTCCCATACACGCTGTTATGATGGAAGCTGAGCTCTACAACGTGTGGAACACGTACAAAATTTAAATTTAATTTCTTTATTTTTTAAGCTCGCCAATTCTGATCCCCTAGCTTAACAGTTTGTACAGTTAGCGTCGAAATTATTCTTACACCTCTTTCTATAACTCGAAAATTAAAGATTGTATGAGCCAAATATTTTATTGAACTAAGCAATATGTAATGGGGAAAATAGCACTAAATTCATGACCTATTATATACTTCTCTACAAAATATAGGGTGAAGAATAATTTAAATTTTAGGGCATGTGTAACAATTTTCTTATTAACTCACCAATTGTGTGGTAATTTTTGAAGACTTCTTGTAAGAAAGCATTGTTTGCGTTGGCTCTGGCACTGAAGCCGCACTCGTGACGTGAGCGCTTGTATTGATGGTTTGAAAGCCCGTGTCTCATCCTCGTCGTCGTTGGGTTCGACTGACCCTGAAGATGGCGACGTTGAGTTGGAACTTTTCTCATCTTGGTCCTCATCTTTCACTTCATGAACAGACCACAAGAACTCGGGTTCGGGGTCAACCGACTCGGTGAGGCTGAGGTTCTGTAGAAACATCGCTGGACTTTACTGCTTTGTTACAGACTTCACGAGCCAATTGAGCGAATTCAAACGATTCGGAGAAGTTCTAGGTGAATATGAGTTAAGCAATTAATATTACCCTAGAAAATATGTACATCGAATGTTTAGGGAAGTTTTTGAGTGGAAATTTTTCATTTATACCTTCAATGAGCAATAAAGTTTTAAAACAAACATATAATTCTTAGAATCCACGAATATTGGTTTGCTTTAGGTAATGGCAAATTTTATTACTAATATTTCTCATGAAACAGAAAAAAATTATTCCAGTTGTGCTCATAGCTATAATAGTAATTATTACTACAGAATTTTTCGTACAGCTTAATCATGTACTTATCTAGTAGGTAGAAAAACAAGCTCATTATCATGGTTTGCATAAACAGCTCAAGTCACAGGTTTCCGACCCTTTACCCATAATCTTATTTCTAATTTTGGCCATTAAAAATTTAATCACTGTCCCCTGATCAAAAAAACCTGATTATTTACCTCCGATTGACCATGCACTTCTACAACCAAGAACCCGAGACTTGACCTTGTGTCATGATGGGAGGTACTTCTTTGATATATATAATTGATTTCGATTTTTTAAATACTTTCCAGAACCTTAATGCTAATCTTTATTGATCAACACAAAACTAGATGGTATTTTATACGTTTCATTACATAGTTCTTGAAACTCTGCTGCAAAGGCCATATGAAAGCATAATGATTTTTTTTCATATCGAGGAAAAGAAACTCGAAAGAAATTAATAGATTTTAATTCGTTTTAATGATTTGTCTTGCAAGTATGTGATAGTTTGGGGACAAGTAAATTATTATATGAAAAATCAATGTCTAGGTGGCTAGTTCTACGATTAATGCAACTCTTTATCAGTTAAATATTGCACTGGAACAAAATATAATTTAGTCAGTTCAATGACTGGTAGATAAAGACGAGAATGGATGATTTGTCGGGCGTTTCAGGAAATTCCAGAGTTTAAATGGCGAGTTGTTCAGGACCATTCACTTTTACATTGTGAGATCGTGTAGTATGGTATAGTATAGTATCTTCGGCATTAAAGAATAGGCCTGGATAGGCCTGTCGCCGATTCTTGTGCTTTTCTTGACTAGACTGGCCTTTTGATCAGATCTCTTCAACGGACGGTAGATTTTAAATCGATTCTAGATATCAGTTGTTCCGTAGGGTACGAGGCATTTTAAGACTAAACATATGCTCTTGCATGGCCTTGTCTGGTCTGTTCTTGAACGCGTTCATACTCGGAGCGTCAACAATATCTTCAAGGAGACTGTTCCACATGTCAGTGACTCGAAGCGAGTAGAAATGTCGCGTGGATAAGTTGCACCGCAGTTTTGTTAGTTTATAGCTGTGGCCCCTGGTGTTGGTTCTTGTTTCAAATTCTAGTAATCCTTCTGGGACCTTGTACAAACCATGAGTATACTTGTATACTTCAATGAGGTCACCACGCAGGCGACGATAACGGAGACTGGGAAGCTTCATTATCTTCAATCTTTCTTCATAAGACTTGCCCTTTAATCCTGGAATTATCCTTGTTGCACGTCTTTGAACACTCTCAACTAAATTTCTGTCCTTTTTAAGTCTCGGTGACCACACAACGTTTCCAAACTCTAGGTTCGGGCGCACGACAGAGGTGAACAACAGCTTCATCATTCCTATATCTAGGTACTCGATCGTATAGGAGCATCTGATCAGCCCAAGCAGTTTATTGGATGTATTAACTTGCGTTTCAATATGCCTATAAAATTTTAGCTCCTTGTCGACACAAACTCCTAGATCTTTTTCCACGCAAGACTTCTCAATCATAACCCTCTCGTTGCAACCGTGTTTTCTCATGCTGTAAGCTTGCTGTTCATTGTTCTTGCCGAGGTGAAGTACTTAACACTTGTCAGCATTGCAACGCAGCTGCCACGTATCAGCCCAATCAACTAAACTATCAAGATCATTTTGCAGTTGCATTTTATTTGACGCATCCTTAACTGTATTATAAACTTTTGTGTCATCTGCATACATGGAGCACACGCTTGACACAACTTCTGGTAGATCGTTTATAAAAGCGACGAACAAAACAGGTCCAAGAACGCTTCCTTGCGGTACGCCACTGCGCACAGTCACCCAGTCTGATACGGTTCCGTTAATGCTGACACGTTGTCTTCTGCCTACTAGGAAATTCCTGATCCATTGGAGTACATTTCCCTCTATTCCCAAAGAATTCACTTTACGTAACAGTCGCTCATGCGGGACACTATCAAATGCCTAGGCAAAATCGAGGTACAGTGCATCCACTGGCACCCTTTCGTCCAGCAGGCGAGTCCAATTATTCAAGGTAGACAGGAGATTAGTGGTGCATGGTCTGCCAGCAATAAAGCCATGCTGACACTCTCATAGAAGATGGTTAACAGTCAAGTGATCTATAATCATATCCCTCATAACCGATTCCATCACCTTACACACAACACTTGTGAGACTTACAGGACGGTAGTTACCTGGGTTACTCCTGTCACCTTTTTTGAACAACGAAACTAGTTAACTTCGAGTCCACTGGTCGCTCCTCAATAGCTGGAATACTGTTCAAGTTCTCATCTGTGAAGACGCTGCTAAAGAACTGATTTAGAACATTGGCCTTACCCTCGTCAGAAGGGTAATCAGCTTGTACGTGTTGTACGTGTATCAGCATGTGCCGTCCCTGCACGATAGTCACAAACGCTTTCGCTTTTGTAGACGGTGTTCTTCATACCTGAGCGGGTGACATAAAGGAGTGACTGTTATATCCTCAATGAATCTCGGCTTTGAATACGGTCCTGCAAGCCGATTGACCATCTGAACGCACACTGAACGCTTGTGAATGTAGCTCTGATGCAGATGTTGGTAGATGGTAGGTAACCTGTGATTTGTGCTGTTTATGCAAACGGCTGCTGCTGTTTGCATTATGCTGCTGAGCCCGCTGTTCTACCTACTATTGTACATTACGTACAGCAAAGTACATAGTGTACCTCACCCATAGTTGAAATACATTGTATCATTATGTAATTATTATAATACATTACGTGTAATACATTCTAATGCTAGTTCATAATGAAACTCAGTCATTTTGCTCATAGTGAAAACTCATAATGAAAGTACCTCATTATACTGTCGTGTGCTTTCCGGGCGCTTACCAAAGGCAAGGAGAAGACAGTCTTGAGTACATAATGTGCTGTTCTAATAAGAAAGCACATTACATCACAACATAATGTACGTACAACAGACTACGAAAAAAAAACGATTTTGGCACATAGTGTACCTTTTTCATAATAATTGTAAAATAAATCATAATATAATTTATGTTATTATAATGTTCGTACCACAGGCTGCGAGAAGACGATCCTGTGCTTGAAGGTGACAGCAGCAGGCAGGTCCCCGCAGCCGATGAGGGCCGCCGTGCCGTTGTGGTAGAGCCTCAAGACGTCGCCGTCCTGCAGGCCCTCGGGGGGACCGGAGTACGATCCGTCCTCCTGGTCTGGGTCGTCGACCGGGTACAGGATTTGTCTGTTGTTGGAACGCAAACTGACATTCTTCGTTCGTGATGTTTGATAAGCGGTTAAGATAAAGTCGACCGGGTACAGGATTTGTCTGTTGTTGGAACACAAACTGACATTCTTTCGTTCGTGATGTTTGATAAGCGGTTAAGATAAAGTCGGCCGGTTAAAGGATTTGTCTATTGTTGGAACACAAACTGACATTCTTTCGTTCGTGGTGTTTGATAAGCGGTTAGGATAAAAGTCTACCGGGTAAAGGATTTGTCTGTTGTTGGAACACAAACTGGCATTCTTTCGTTCGTGATGTTTGATAAGCGGTTAAGATAAAGTCTACCGGGTAAAGGATTTGTCTGTTGTTGGAACACAAACTGGCATTCTTTCGTTCGTGATGTTTGATAAGCGGTTAAGATAAAGTCGGCCGGTTAAAGGATTTGTCTATTGTTGGAACGCAAACTGACATTCTTTCCTTCGTGATGTTTGATAAGCGAAAGATAGAATCGGCCGGTTAAAGGATTTGTCTGTTGTTGGAACACAAACTGACATTTTTCCGATCGTGGTGAAAGAAAAGCGAATTAGGGTAATAATAGGTCTTATTTGTCCCAATGATCTAACAAAGGGGTGAACAATTGCAAATTTCAACAAGCGATGCGTAAATGAAAATTTTCCGACTGTACCCTAATTTTTATGAATTATTAACTGATTACAATTTCAAATGAACAGAACTTGGATGTCTTGAACACTCTTCTCTTTTCTGAATATCATCAGGATTCTTTTATCAATTTTCTTTTCTTGGCAAGTTTAGACTATGTAAATCATTAGTATTGTCTTAAGAAACATGATATAAGTAATAACGTTTCTGACCCTGAAGTTTCAGTATTAATCTCTATAACATATTTCCTTCGTCATTATGTGGAAGACATTCGAAAAGTAAGAAATTTATATGTATACATATATTGGTTGAATATATACAAAACGCGATAATTGGAAGATGTTTCTCCTTTAATATCCCGATTACTGTTTTTCATAAGCTCGATTAAAACGAAAAACTTATTTAATTGCGTATATTGACTAAATACGTAGAACAAAAATTATGATAATAGTAAGACATAACATTTGATTTTCGCATTTTTTCTATACCCGGCATCTAAAACTCACATCCAGTTGTTGTGATCTTTGATACCGATCACGGTGACTTGTTGTTTTTTACCGGGCATGACTTTGAACGGATACGTAAAGTTATGAGAGTGCAGATAGCCTCCGTTGATGCCAGTGTTGCGTAGAGTTACAAAGTTTCCGTAACCAACATCTGTAGAAATTTGATCAATACTGTAAGATATTCGATGAATATTGTGCATGTAATCCATGTATATCATTATGTTATACTGCGGATTTTATATTTCAACTGACTTGAATTCGCATTCAATCGTTTTTCATTTAAAAGGTCCAAATAACTTTATTATTTCATTGTCGTTTCATTATTCATATTTCATTGTCATTGTTTTCCTCATGCCGTTAATTAACATATTTCCGTCGATGACATAATTAACTTTCTTCGGTTTAGATAATAATTTAACAAGGCTTATGCAAATTATTTGCACCACACCAACTTGTCAAGCAATTTCAATTCAATAGGATATTGATCACACTGGACCAATCAAACTTCTATTAATGCTTATACATGTTTGATTTTTTGCTTAAATGTAGCGCACTGACCAGCAGGTTGGCTGAGGTTATGCAGGTTGTTGCCAATGAGTCGCATTTGGAAACCAGGGCTGTGTGAGGCTTCTTGAAAAAACAATGGAGAGTTCCTGTCCATGTGGGAATTATGTTAAAAAAATTAATTCCCAATTCTATAATATAATTTATTCAATATTAGCGAGTTCAAATGAAAAAAAAACAACGTTGTGGCATTGATCACGAGTATTTCGTGATATTGTGCACTTGAAAAAAATTAAGGATCTATATTCTGCTATACTATTTACCTTGTAGACATTTGAAATTTTTGAGCTCATGGAAAGTCGTCAACGAATGATATATCAAATTTAGACCGCCAAGATTGAGCCATGGATGAAACATATTTTGTGTTTGTAGTAAATCCTCGTGTAGAACAAGACAAGACGTAAGTCAGAGCCAAAAAGCTGGTCAATGTTAAATATTAATTCGCTGTACATGATCACATATGAATGAGATACGTGAACATGATAATCATCATGTTTGAGAATGAAATCAAACGTCCGTGATAATTGCATATTTTTAGTCTTATGCGGGTGAACGATGTTTCTTGAAAACCAAAATAAACAATAACGAAATTTTATAAGGAGCGCTTCAAAAAAATTGAAGTTAACAGTTAAGTGAATGAAACTTGGTAAAACTTCACATTTTAAATCACACGGGAGAAATTAAAAACTAGCCTCATCTGGCAATAAATTGAATTAACTTAGATGATTTATTTCGTAAAAACAAATTACTAACTTCATTTATTTAAACTTGCGCGAAAAAATATAAAATCAAGATTCCATTAAGATATTTCAAGCTTTATTTGAATTAAATGAATGCGATTAGATGTTAATTTGTCTGAGGGATGAAAAGATTGTGGTGGTCAAATGACGGTCAATTCATTTCAATTAGAACGTTCAAAATTTATTAGCCAGTGCATTCTCTAAGTGCTTTTTACCAATCATGACTCACGAATGAATTAGCAGAGCGTCGTGGATTACGAAAAACCCGAAGTAAATCAGCATTGGGAGGACAATGAGAGCTGCCACTCGTGCCAATAGGTGCTGTGCTATTTCCGTCTGAAAAAAACGTTATACTGATTATTATTATTGTTGTTATTATAATTATTATTGGTATTTTCATTATTATGGAATCAATTATAAAGGCTCATTGTAGTGTATACGGACTTTGTCTGTTTAAGCCTTTAACAGCCTTTAATAAGGCTGTTAATATCGATTACACCCAAAGTATTGTTTCATTCGCATTACACCAGTTATCCCGATTACACAAGTTATCCCGATGTTCCGAAGCGCTTCTTTACTTAACTGTACAAAAAACAGCTGTACAGAAAAAAATAAGTAGGTAAACTTAAGCCTATTGTTTGCTTCACTATTTGGCTTCAAGGCAGTTATAATCCGAAATCAAATAAATCGATGTAATTACATTAAAAATTACGTTACTAAATATTTCGCTAATAGAGAAATTTTCCGCCCCCATTTTTTCGTCTTAAACTCCTTGAATGAAAACTCAAAATCACCCAATTAGAATCCGCGAAGATGTTCCAGAGTTGCGACGCGGCGTGCAGGCCCACGACGGCCACCGTGAACAGCCCCACGAACTTGACGCTCACCACGCAACCCAAGAAGAGGCCCGTCGCCCCCAGGCTGGTCCACCACGGCCCACTGAACGCCCCTTGCCTAACGTGTAGCACAATTTTAAAAATTATCCACTTTTTTATTCAATTGTTGATGCTGCGCAGGGTTTATTCACTTTCTTTGGAAATTGAAACTTGTGATCTCGTGAAACGTTGCATGAATACTCGAAGGGGATTAGTTTTATAGATGGCCAAAATGGATGCCAATTGTCTTGGATTTAGCAGTAATAAAACTGTAAATATTCTCCTTAAAATTCGAGACAAATTTAAAGATTTAACTTTACATCATATCAGTAACCGATAAGAATTACCATATCTCCCACGTGAGCCACAAAATGTTCCAATAAAAGCAATCCCCTCAGAGAAACGAGTGCGATTTTATTCAAATCGCTAAACATTTTTTTGCCATTGTGTGATCCTGACCCAGTATGAAATATTTTTCATATTTTTTCAATGTGTGGGTGATCCTGACCCAGTTTGATACGGCTAAGATGTGTATCATTGCAAGGTGCAGAAAGTGAGCCACTATTTTGGTCAAGCCAAATAGTGGTGACCCGTCAAAATTTGGTGACCCGTCAATTATTCTGGATGACCGTGAGCCTGACCTTTTACTATGCAAATTTGAACTTCGAAAAATATCCAAAAATATCCGAAAATTGCTTAAGAATATATGAAAGTGCACGCATAGATGACATTAATAATTCTGCAATTATAAAACAACATTAGTACATTTTAATTACAGTTTATTTACAATATAAACACAGTATATTATTTAGTTACAGTTTATTTACAATAGAAACACAGTATATTATTTAGTTACAGTTTATTTACAATATAAACACAGTATATTATTTAGTTACAGTTTATTTACAATATAAACACAGTATATTATTAAGTTACAGTTTATTTACAATGGAAACACAGCATTTTACCTCAGCGTTGCGTGCTGCAGGCGACACAGGCTGAGGAAGGCGGCCATCATGAAGAACATCAGCGGAGCGTCCAGCAGGATGAACCTCGTCAGCAGCAGAGTACCGGTCTCTGAACAAAAATCTTTACTTCATTTTACGTTAACAGTATCGCACGTCCTCTTCTTTAACACTCAATAACAATAAAGTAGGTTTAATATTTTTAGTTTTTCTTTTCGATATTTTATATACCGCAGAATTTCCTGGACCGCTACATCAACGACGAAAAACCGATATTCTTGAAACCATTTTTGCATGCAATTTATTACCCTCCTGAAAATAAAATATACTGTAAAATATAAATAATATAGAACAATAAAACAATATATTAAAATATAAATTGCAAAAGTTAATGGAAAATATAAAAAATAGTAAAAAATTAATATAATAAAATATAAATTGCAAAAGTTTAGTATAAACAGAAAAGCAGGCAACAAAGACCGGCCGTGACGAAGATAGCGGCGAGCAGCGCGGCGGGCAGACGCCGCGTCATGGACCACGCGCACCCGAACGCAAGGGGCGCCAGCGCCGTGCCTAGCAGCGTGCATAGCTGTGGGGGGTGGGAGGGAACTTAGCAGGTTAGCATCATTAAGAAATGAGTATTATAATGAATATCCATTATATTCATATGTTATGTCACAATATGATACTATCAATCACATTGTGAAAGGCGTTGAAGATTCGATACCCACCTTATAAGAGCTTAGCATCATTAAGGCAATGAGTGTTATAATAATTATTATTCATATTCATTGTTTTGTCAATATGTGATATTGCCAATCATTCTGTTTTAAGCTTAGCATCTTTAAGGTAATGAGTATTATAATAATTATTCGTTATATTCATATGTTATGGCAATATATGATAGTGCCAATCATACTGTTTTAAGCTTAGCATCATTATTACAATGAGTGTTATAATAATTATTAAGTATATTCATATGTTTTGTCAATATATATTAATACCAATCATACCAGCAACATTATGACAATGAGTGTTATATTAATTATTCATTATATTCATATGTTTTGTCAATATATGATAATACCAATCATACTTTTTTAAGCTTAGCATCATTATGACAATGAGTGTTATAATAATTATTAAGTATATTCATATGTTATGTCACTATGATAATACCAATCATACTGTTTTATGCTTAGCATCATTATGACAATAAGTATTCTAATAAATATCCATCATATTCATATGTTCTGTCACAATCTGATACCATCAATCATAATATGAAAGGCGCTGAAGATTCGATATCCACCTAATAGGAGCTCAGCAGCGTTATGAAAATGAGTATTATAATAATTAGTAATTATGTTCATATGTTTGTCACTATATGATACTATCAATCATATTGTGAGAGGTGTTGAAGATTCGATGCCCACCTTATAGGAGCTTAGCATCATAATAGGATATAGTGATTATTCTGATAATTATAATTATAATATTAATATTCTTCCATTAGGTTCCTATTTTATGCTATCAATTAGGCTGTTGCAGCCTTGATGATTCAAAACCGACCATATTTCTAATGAATCATTGTGTGTCTCCTCAGTCATATAGTTGTACGATCTGTACTTCCCATTATTGTAATTAAATGATGCATGCTTTGGCTACCGTTCAATAATAATATATGCTTAAAAATGTTTTTACTAACTCTTACATTCTATCTTCGATTAATATCGAAAGGTGCTAAAAATTCATTGCCAACTGTGGACATTTCTACGAGTAACTCTTCTAATAATTACACCCTGTGGAAGTCAGCACAATAGTTCGCACTCAAAACCAAATTTTTAAACACTCGACAGCAAATCGTTTCCATGTAAATTAATAAAATCTTTCTGCCTATTGCAAACGATAAATTTTAATTCCTGTTACCTAATATTTACCTTTAAATATCAGCTAAATGCATAAACAAACCAATAAATTGGATAGGTATAAAAGTTTATATATTATATTATATTATGGCCAAATTAATATTATTCACATGGCGTATAACGTACCACTCTCATGTAAATGATTTCTGGGTATCCTTCGTAGCTGTCGCCAGGCTTCTCGAAGGCAAATGTGCCGTTATAGCCGCTCAAGAGCGCGAAGAACGTAAGAACCAGCTGTCGGAGAGAAATTCATTCCAAATCAGGCTTAAAAATCAATTACCATTGCTTGTTAGGTAGGAAACATTTAGCGTATTTAATAATAAAAATATTTATTAGGTAACATTCATAACTACTTAGTAAAAACGGCATTGCCTGGGTGGTTGCCATCACGGATTTTTTCTCAAATTGAACGATAACGATCGTCAAATTCAACCGAGGAATAAACTCCGCTAACTAGAATATCAGCGGTTTGAGATTTATTCAAGATTAAAAGTAGAAATAGTTTATACTGTGTACGTAAATGCATTTTCTAAATCATTAAAACAGAAAAACTGGATATATTCAAATTTTATGAAATAATTACCTTGCCTCCTGGGGGATGAACGTCGAAGAAGTAGGTCCTGTTAATATACATGGAAACCATCTTCCCGAAATGTGTCTCATCCCAGCTGGTGGAAAATGTTAATGCGGCAAAATAATTTTATTAAATTCAGTTGAATTTAATTTTAATATTTATGAATCATAATTACATAATATAGATATTTCGGACACGTAAGATGTCCAAATTATCAATTATAATACTCGCAATTCTCCAGTATATATTTTATCATATATCATTGTTATGCTTTCGAGTATTTGAAGTTCATGTATTGCTATATGTTTCGCTAGACAAATGATGGACAAAAGAACACTGTTCATCACTTACCATTCTAAAAAAGCTATTGTTTGTTCATTATTTATTGCTTTTTGCTTGTATTACTTATATGACAATTACATTCCACTTGTTTTATTCATTTATATTCGTTTTTCTGTTCATTACTAATTTTATCTGTATTAGTTTCCTATAAATTCGACCGACAATATATGACAAACAACAGACTATTTGTGATGAAGCGACCATGGCAATTTTTTAATAAATTCTATGTAAATTAATAATTAAGATGGCTATTTTTCGAAGTAATAAATGAGTGGTCTTTTTAATTAACATACATTTCATCAGCCGACTTCGTTCGCAATCGTTCATTAATGGCTTATCTGCTTAATCAATTCAACACTGTATTTTTTAGTCGAAAATTTTTCGGACATCCCGGATTAGACATTTATTTTGACATTCTTGTGAACGATAATACCGAACGAATGCGTACAGATTGTTCTACATACTGTATGCATATCCTTACATGACATAATACGGGACGGTGATATAGTGCAGTCTCGTGGCTAGAGTCAGCAACGTAGAAAAGATGAGGCAGCACCACCATGCTCCATTTGAACCCGACCTGAAAATATTAATGATGTACTGATTGTTATTTTCTTTATCAGGAAGAGAATGATAACTTGAGTTGTGTGTATATTATTACAATGAGAAACACATTTGGCAAGCTCCGAATGGGATGACGTGAAATTTTGCAATCATGTCAGTTTCATTCGAAAGTAATCAAGTCTTCGTAATTCGGAACATATGATTATTCACAATCAATATACGATATAATCTATCATTATCTTGGAACCATTCGCAGCAATTATATTTTTTAATTTAATATCATTCTAAGACAGTCCAATCTCATTTTAAATATTGACCATCGCACAGGAATATAGTTGTTAGGTCAATTGAAGTTTACCTACCTGAAATCATCGGCAATTTTCTCGACAATTTTTTTCAACGAGTGCATAAGATGAAGGCGTGCTGTATTTTCACCCACACATGTTTTAACCGCAATTTCTTGACATATGCTCGTTTCCATTTTAAACGACGGTTCGGTCTGTTCCGGGCTCATATTGGAGAACTCTGATTATATTGTCTGAATTGTAATTTTAAGTAAGATATATCTATTTTTAAAACATTTTTTAAAGAACAAAGTCAACTTGAAGGAGCATATTCACTACAAATTTTTCTTCGGCATTTCATATCTTGCCGTTCTGATGACTCGAAACTCTTTTTTTTCTGTCTACATCCACTGTTGGAATTTTAACTCTAATTCTAAGTGGAATACGTCAAGGAACTTTCAAAATTTAATATTTTATTAACAACTGATTTATTTTTGCAAGAATTCCAATCAATTTTGGACTTATAAATCTTTCAGATATGAACGTATACCAAACAGCACCTGCGACGATGGACGACTAAAATGTTCCAGGTGGCACGTCAAATTTTTCGTCAGTTTTCCTCCAGGCCTTACTGCGGTCATCGACCGATGCCGCGAGCTTGGGAAATAAATCAAATAAAACTTTTTTCTGCAAAGAACATAAATATAATAAAATAGTTTCAAGATGCATGATACGTTCTTAATCATTAGTAATCAAGTACAAGTGATAAAGTTATACTTCCAGAAGAATTTTTACATAAAAATTTATCTATTCAATCATAATTTTCTGAATTGTTTGGTAATTAGGTTTAACATGTGTATTGTGATGAGAAAATTAGCTCATAGATCTCTGATGATTCAAAATAATGCTTCATTAGAAGTGTATAGACGATTTACTTACATCTTCGTCTGATTCTACGCATGGGAAGGGACTCATGTTACTCCTTACGTCTCTGATACATTGCAGCCACTACTGCAGAGTAAAATTTAAAATCATGTATTGAATTTTCTGAGCAGTTTTAGTTTTCAAAATGCATTTGAGCACAATTTCTATTAACTACATATAAACCCTAATACCAATTTACTTTCTTTGTTTCAATTTGATTATCTAGCTATGATTTTAGCATAGCCTGTGTCTGGTTAGAATATTTGGCGCTTCTATGTATAATTAATTACAATTGTTTACATTCGCCGCACCATAAATAAAACTCTATAAATTGATCAAATACGTTTTTTCTGCAATAAAATTACTTGATTGCTGTGATCGCAAATACCCAAGTTTATGTCTAAATTACGAATATAAAATATGTTACATATAATTCAAGTGTTTTGGTAGTCGAATTTCGTGTTAGTTAATTATCTTCACTTCATTCATAATGAAACTTTGCTGGTCATGACTTACTGAATACAAGAAAAATTCTGGCGTTATGAACAACGATAAATTCAGTGCTTCAGTGCGCAGCGGCGTGCCACAAGGAAGCGTTCTCGGGCCTATTCTATTCGTTGCGTTTATAAACGATCTGCCAGAAGCAATGTCTAGCGTTTGCTCGATGTATGCTGACGACACAAAAATTTATAATACGGTGAAGAATACGTCGCAAAAAGTACAGTTGCAAGGTAATCTTGACATTCTATTCTATTCTATTCTATTCTATTCTATTCTATTCTATTCTATTCTATTCTATTCTATTCTATTCTATTCTATTCTATTCTATTCTATTCTAAATTATTATCAATGTTTTCAGTGGTTATCAATGAGGCCGTTTTCGTAGTAACGAACGACGACCATATAATAAATAAATTGGAGCACAAAACACTTCGAATAATTACTAACAATTTATTTTACTGACATATCTTGACGTGTACACATTTGATAAAATATCAATATAAGATGACAAAATTTGTTCATTTAGATCAGTTTGATTGAAGGCCAGATAGTGAATTTTATTTACAATTTTCTCAATTGATTTCTCAATAATTCGAACTCGATTTCGTAGACGTTATTAGATTAAATATCATGTTTCCGAATGAAACTTTCAACGTTTTACCGACGTTGCGAATGTATCAACATTCATTATCAAGTTATAGAACGCGTTGAGTAATGAAATTTAGATCTACATAAGGAAAAAATTGCATAAATAGGATACTAAAAAATAAATTTCGATGGAAATAAATATAAAAAAATATTCATTTAATGAATTGTGTCAAAAATTATCAAGAAAACAGTCTTAAATTTTTTACAAATCCAGTAGTTTGAAGGTTGATAAGTTGGAGTCCAATCCTTAATGATGAGAGCTTCAGCTGTCGTTAGTCGTGTGGTATAACGATGCTGCATGGTTCACTCCTCTACCATTGTGAGTGTGATAGATACAATGTTCACTTTCGTATGAGAAACTCAAATTTTCCGATTGAACTAAACCGTTCATACAAGCTACGTAGTTTAGATTTATAAATAACAACTTAAAAATTTAACATTTCCATTTGAAGCTACTGCGAACAAAAAATTGTTTGGGAAAATCAGCTTTAAAAATCATTGATTGCAAGAAAATTTTTCCTTTGAAAAACACACCAGGTTACAAGCTTATCTACATGTTTTATCGAATAGATTGCAATATTATTCACATGTTTGAGTCAGTTGTCAAACAATTTTTGTTCTTCATTCTTATTCAAATCTCAAATTTTAAACAATCTCGCCACCCTCAATTGGCCCCATTATGATGTCTCAACTTGCCCGCGATCACTGCTATAATAATCCCCATAGATACATATTGAATCCAACACTGTTTTTTCATCACATCACTTGTAGTATTACTCCATAAAATAAATCATTAATACCTTGAAATTTATAAATGTAGGAAAAAATCGCGCACCTGAATTTATTACGAGTAAGTAAAATAACCACACATATAAACTTTATTATTGCGAATAATACAAATGGGACATAATTATCACGTATAATATTCATCTACAACTCATTATATTACATTCTATATGAGCTCCCACGAGCTGAGCCAGCTGAGGTGCCGTGTGTATCAGTGTAGGGGCGTGCTGACAACACCATTTTGCCGTATAATTCTCCTAATGACGTATCGAGCTCATTTATAACGTATAATACTCATAATGACGTATCGAGCTCACTTATAACGTATCATAGTACGTTCTATATGAGCTCCCACGAGCTGAGCCAGCGCAGGTGCCGCGTAGGGGAAGTATGGGGAGCGTACGGCGCGCTTCTCTGCACTCCGTACGCCGTGAAGCTGAAGCTCCAGAAGCTATATGAATAAGTCAGAGAGTTTTTTAATCGACTCTTATACACTGAGGAACTAGACATCAATAATGAACCAACGAAGAAAGTTTTAGAGTATGTATCATCGAAAGTGAAACGTGTGATCCAAGAAGAGTAATTTGATGTGAGTTGAACGAATTAAATTCAGAGTTTTTTCGATTTTAACGGTTAAAAATACAAAATAAATTGTCCATGATGTTAAAATCACTCGTAACTTACAGGGTAAAATATCCAAAAGTAATATTAGGGTAAGCATTTTACCCCATGAGTTGTACATAAATAAGATTTTACACAAATTGACAAGAAAGAATATCTTTTTACGTGTGATTTCAAATATATTCCGATTAATATGTTAATTATCATTATTATTGTTTACATTTTTTTGCTTTTTAACACGTAAATATTCAATCACAATTTAGAACTGATGATAAAGAATACTATGCTACTAACCCCACCTCGACACCAGCGTCGTGCTGAGGAGCAGCATGAGCAACAGTGATGATGAGGAGGATATCTTGCAGAGAATCCTTCCCATGACCACAGCTGATAACATCCAGTGATTATGAGAGAATTGAAGAATACATTACATCTATAAACATCGTATTTCCCAGGGCCACAGCTAATAACATCGAGTTATTATTATTATTAATATTATTATTATTATTCTATATTATATTATTGTATATATATTAATATCTATATCTCTATTAATATAATATATTATTATATAATAATATATTATATTATACTATTATTCTATATTATTATATTATTAATATTATTGTTCAACTCAATAATAGCATCCAGAGTGATAGTGAGAGAGTTGAAAAAAAAACATCACACCTGCTATGGCGTTTTTTCCATCAGGTTGAGCCGGTGATATGAGTGACACCAATTCGAGCTACACAAATAAATATATTTCGTACAAATTATTTCTAAAGCGAGTGCAGCGACGTAACGTAAACACTGTAACTCATATCCAACACAGGGAGGTAGTGGTGGTACCTGTGAGCAGGGAAGAGGACTGCAGCGCTGGGAAGTAGTGGTGGTACCTGTGAGCAGGGAAGAGAACTGCAGCGCTGGGAAGTAGTGGTGGTAGTAGAGCACGCGGTCCATGGCGTAGAAGGGCAGGTAGTGCAGGAGGTAAGCCACCAGCAGCCACCGACACCAGTAGTAAGTTTGCTGATCCTCTAGTTAGACATGTAAAAGTAAAGCTCATATAAGCCATTTAAAATATTTATTTAATGTACAGTGTTCATATAAGATTTCTTGTTTAGGCATTTATTTCTTTTTAACTCGTTTCCCTTGATCATTTAACAGATTTAAATCTACGAAATTTTGATTGAAAGATTTACGGTTTCATGAACATTATAGCTTTTTTATTAGATTTCTATATCATTTACCAATGCTTGGCGTTCCAAATTTTCTTTTAATTCTGTATGCTTGACCAGCCATGAAGACGAAAGCGAAGACGAAGCCGGCTAGGTTCAGCCAAAAGACAACAGGATTGCCGAGCAACACCACTTGGTAGCCAACCGAATGCCAAGGCTGAGACTGCAAAAGGAAAAGATACACAATGATTACCAAGTACACCACTTGATAGTCAACCGAATGTCAAGGCTGAGACTGTATTAGGACAAAAGACACAATGATTGTCAAGTATCATCACTTGGCAGCCAACTGAATGCCAAGGCCGGCCCATTGACAGTATTCCTTCAAAATACTTGAACGAAGGAACTTTGCCCTCCGACTGGAAAGAAGCTCAAGTAACACCATTGTTCAAAAAATATAACTCGGTACTCACTGCAGTGAGTGACAGAGAGCGCATTTTCTCGTCGACGAAAACTTGAGGTCACGGATGGACGGACGGACAGACAGACGGACATGGGGAGCACAATAGTGCATTTTTTCCATAAATTAGAAAATGCGCTAAAAATGTGACAAAAGCAGCCCCGGCAACTATCGACGTGTCAGTCTGACAAGTGTTGTTTGTAAGCTAATGGAATCTGTTGTGAGGGATAGGATTATCGATCACTTGACTGCTCACCATCTCATATCAGATTGTCAACATGGTTTTATTGCAGGCAGATCCTGCACCACTAACTTATTTTTGCGTCAAGTGAAGTCTTTGGGAATTGGGGGAAACGTACTCCAATAGATCAGAGATTTTCTAGTAGGTAGATGACAACGTGTCAGTATTAAGGGGACCGACTACCCTAAAATTTTCAATTTTGGCGTTTTCCGGTTTTTGAGCTCATCTTAAAGCTGAAATTCTGCTCTTTCCAATGAAACCACTGCCATTGCTGTACGCCAATATTTACGTTCATGACGTCTCTTTAAAGGGAAGTGGGTAGGAGAGTTCTTTAACTAATTAGATATAAAGTAATTAGCTGCTGAAATCTTTGAATATAGTTTCTAAATGAGAATTTCAAAAAACGTTCTCGATGAATTATAGATATGGTCTTTACGCATCGAATGATATGTGTTTCAATGTTGTAGCTCTAAAACCCTAGGAGGAGTAGGATTTCTACGGTACCACCTTTTTTGGCCGTTTTCTGAGAATTTCACGTTTTCTTTCATTTTTTTCGAAAAATTCACACGAACAAAAAAGTCTTAGATTTCTGTTTTACATATGTGTACCAAATGTCAAAGTGATCTGTCTGTCAATAGCCGAGATAAATTTTAGGGTAGACGCTCCCCTTAAGCTACAGGAGCCTGTAGTTTGGTATCCATGCTACATTGAGTGCCTATTTCGAGGCGCGCGGGACTTTGTCGCGCCGTCCTGAAAAGTTTGAAAAGTTCAACTTATTGTCACGGAAAACCTATCTCCTCCTACAGTTTTCAAGCTACAGCAATGAGACATATACCATTCGATTCGTCAAGACCATACCTATCGAACTGAGGAGCACTTTTTTGAATTTCAGTCTGGTTCGTTTTTTATATGGGGGAGAAGGGGGGGGAGGGTGGAAAAATGAGAAAAATGGGAAAAACGCGCATAAAAAAAACTAAGGGGAAAATAAGAAAAGTGCTCATTAAATCGATAGGGATGGTCTTTACGAACCGAATGATACGTGTCTCGATGTTGTAGGATGATATTTGTAGGAGGAGATTTTCTAAAGTACCCCTTTTTAGCCATTTTCTATGAATTTCTCGTTTTCTATCAATTTTTTCGAAAAATTTATAGAAGCAAAATGTTATTTTTTTTTACATTTTACGTATGTATTTGAAGTTTCATGATGATCGGATAATAACTGTAGAAGTTATTCCGGAGGGTAGTCGGTCCCCTTAACGGAACCGTGTCAGACTGGGCATCAGTGCGCAGTGGCGTGGCCTATTGGCACTGGCCTATTTTGTTCTGGCCTTGGGCCTATTTTGTTCGTTGCTTTTATAAACGATTTGCCAGAAGCAGTCTCCAGCGTGTGCTCCATGTATGCCGACGACACAAAAGTTTATAATACAGTGAAGGATGCGTCTAATGAAGCGCAATTACAAGATGATCTTGACAGTTTAGTTAACAGGGCTGATACGTGGCAGCTACGGTTTAATGCTGACAAGTGTAAAGTACTTGACCTTGGAAAGAACAATGAACAGCAAGATTACAGTATGAGAAGACATGGTTGCAACAAGAGAGTAATGATTGAAAATTCTAGTGTGGAAAAAGATCTCTGGGTTTATGTCGACAAGGAGCTGAAATTTTCTAAGCATGTTGAAACGCAAGCTAGCACATCCAACAAACTTCTTGGACTAATCAGACGCCCATACGAGTTCCTAGATGCAGAAGCGATGAAGCAGTTGTTTGTTGCGGTCGTGCGCCCAAATCTAGAATTTGGAAACGCTGTGTGGTCACCGAGATTTGAAAAAGACAGAAATTTAATAGAGAATGTTGAAGGACGTGCAACAAGGATAATTCCAGGCTTGAAAGGCAAGTCCTATGAAGAAAGATTGAAGATTATGAAGCTTCCAAGCCTCAGTTATCGACGCCTGCGTGGGGACCTCAATGAAGTATACAAGTATACTCATGGTTTATACAAGGTCCCCGAAGGATTACTAGAATTTGAAACAAGAACCAACACCAGGGGCCACAGCTATAAACTAAAAAAACTGCGATGCAACTTCTCCACGCGACAAAATTTCTTCTCGCTTCGAATCACCGACATGTAGAACAGCCTCCCCGATGACATTCTTGGTGCTCCTTGTAAGAACGCGTTCAAGAACAGACTAGATAAAGCTATGGAAAAATATATGTTCAGATTTGAAATGCCTAGCACCATATCGAACCCGGTGGAAGTCTAGTAGCTACTTCAAACTATCGTCAGTCATGAAAAGATCCGGTCAAATGACACGAGTTTAGATCTTCTGTGAACAAGGCACGAAAAGGAAAAGAATCGGCGACAGGCCACATCAGGCCTACACTTCAGCGCTGAGATCAATATGTTATATGTTATGTTATATAAGGCTGAGACTGCAAAAGGACAAAAGTCTCAATGATTATCAAGTAGAACCATTTGGTAGCCAACAGAATGCCAAGGCTGAGGCTGTAAAAGTACAAAAGACACTCGATGCACACATACTGTACCTTATAATACAATGGCCACATCCACGGCCGACTGGATGCACACATACCTTAGAACACAATGGCCACATCCACGGCCGACTGGATGCCGCAAGCTCCTCCCTTGATGGCTTGAACTGCGAGTTCATCCAGCCCATGAGACGATGCGTCTCTAGAAACCTCGCCGCCAGGCCGGACTTCATATGAGCGAAGCTCTTTTTCGCTACTGTCTTAATGATGACAAGTTAGTATTTCATTTACGAGTAAAGTGAGGTCTAGTAAATATTTAGTACAAAATGATTCAGAGCTTACTATCAATTATTAAGTTGGCTGCTTGATTTTATTTTTTCACGACATGAAAGCCTAGCGTTGTTTCCCAAACTATTTTCAAGGGTTGCGACAATCACGAGGTGGTCATGGAAATTTTTGAATGATTTATATTTTGAATAATATGAGGTTATTGTTCTCTAAAAATTTGAGCTGCGAAGGCCTGTGAAATTTACTTCAACGTATACAGTATATGCTCTGCAAGTGATTTATCTTCAAAGTTTCAAATCACCACTAGGGAGACAGGAAACCCTTAATTTAATATATACTCGAATTATGGTCCATATATAATTTAATTATAGAAAACCCATATTATTAAAAAATAAATTAAAAAATTATTATGCCACAGACTGATAACGTATTCTCACAATGAGCTTATCCTTTCTACCGATTGATCCTCAGATGTAAACAATTGAATTGATTGAAAATCGCGACATATTAATCGTGATCGGAGGCTCGCAGATAAGAGCTTATTTGACGATCTCTTAGAATAGAATAGAATAGAATAGAATAGAATAGAATAGAATAGAATAGAATAGAATAGAATAGAATAGAATAGGATAGGATAGAAAAGAATAGAATTGTCGGCACTGAAGGAATAGGCCCATGGCCTGTTGCCGATTCTTGAACTTTTCATGACCTGATTCACAAGGGATCCGGCCTTTGGAACCCGATCTTTCCATAACTGATGATTGATTGAGATAGCTGCTGGACTTATTGCCTGCTCCGTAATTTGCTAGGCATTTTAAGACTGAACATATGCTCCTGCATAGCTTCGTCTAGTCTGTTCTTGAAGGCGTTCATACTCGGAGCGTCAACGATGCTATCAGGGAGGCTGTTCCACATGTCGGTGACTCGAAGCGAGAAGAAATATTGTCGCATGGATGTGTTACAACGCAGTTTTTTAGTTTATCAAAAATTTATTATGAAATTTATATAAAGGGAAAAAATTCACTAATATAGCACTCACGACGCGTCTCGTTCGATTGCTCCACGAGCCACGCGACGCCGTCCTGCTGGCGGCTGCGGCAGCAGGATACCTCGTGAACGTCGAGGCCCCTGTGACGAAAATAATTTCCTGTGCTTCTATTTGCTTCATAATTTGATGTGCTTCATAATTTCATAATTTGTGCTTGATAATTTGATTGCTTCTATGTGTGGGAAATTTAAACGAACAATCAAAAAAAGGTAATAAAAAGTATTTGTGAGCTGCAAAAATAAGGAAAAAATTCATTACAATTTTGATTTTATAGTGAAACCTTGAGAATTTTATAACACTCATTCGACCAATAAGTATCGCAGGGATAGCTTCATAATTTTTATTTCAGAGCAAAATTTAACAGAATTTTCCAAGTTTTTCATAGACTGAATGATTTGTCGTAATTTTTAATTATTTGAGGTAAAAATTTACGCTGCTCATTTCATTAATTGATCATATGAGATGATTATGATTATATCACTTTGGCAAACACAGACGATAAATTCTAATTAGTGCTTGCGCTTGTATTTTTTCATTCGCTTTGGGATAAAAAATATAACTCAGTACTCACTGCGGTGCGTCACAGAGAGCGCATTTTCTCGTCGACGAAAACGTGAAGTCACGGACAGCAGACAGACAGACGGACATGACGAGCAAAAATAGCGCCTTTTTCCCATAAATGAGAAAATGCGCTAAAAATCTTCAGTCTACATAGATCATTCTTTAAGTTTACCATGTTTTTGGCATCTTTCTCCCGGTGTAACAAAGACAGCAATTCGCCGCCAAGTTCCTGAGTCTCACTCTGCTCTCCAGGACCCTCCAGCGCCGTGGATCTTCCGCGATGGTCGACTTTTCTTCATTGAAACCCGCGTTCTGTTTACCTGTGTTTACACGCTCCTGTTCACCGATCACTTGAACTTCCCATAGATGATTGGATGGATGGGGGTCGTCATCTGACTTAATAAAGAAGAAAATATTAATTGCTTTTTCGATTTAATTAATTGTATTGGCAAATTTAGCTTTGTAAGCCGTCAGTGACTGGCTGCAGGAGTTACGATCCTGAAACTATATTTGATGGTACGTTACATGCAGGGTTACTAGAGTAGCCTGTGCCGACACAGGCTAGTCTAGTCTCTGTGCCGACAATAGGTTTTATTTTTACATACCTTTCGCTCGGCGTAGACTAAAAAGTTAGCCGTTGACACGGGTGAGCGGTAGGCGGGGTGAGCGGCGAAGTAAAGACCCAGCATGGGGTTGAATATCCGGATTTGGTCTTCGGCCACCACCGCTTCCGCAGGACCCGAGTACTGGCCGGCGTCAGTGTCTGGGTCGTCTTCTGGGTACTGAATTTGTCTGCGTACGTTGAGGGATGAAAATCATAAAAGTTCATGTTGCGATTGGAGGTAATGAAGGTAATATCTTGAATTAATCATTTTCTCGTTACTTTCCTGCACAGTCAGCTGGGATAATATTGCCCATATAGAGTGTAACATTGGCCCAAGGTTAGAAAAAGTTGTGTTGTGTTGTACTGTGCTCATGCGATGATCATGCGATGCTCATGCGATGATCATGCGATGATGGCGTGATCATCGCATGATCTATCGACCTAGATTATTCATTACAAGATAGGTAGCATCATTAGCTTCATGAATTCATCACATTATCATACCAAAGCACATGAATAACTTTTTTAACTTTTGGTCAACGTTACACTTAAGGACATATCTTACCCCAGCTGATGGTACTAAAATTTTATACTTTAGAATTTTACAAAAAAATATTTATCACAAAGGTTTAGATGCATTTTATCTAACCCCTCAAATAGTTTTCATTTCATGATTAAATACACTATTCCGTCTGTCGTTAAGTAACTAAATGTAGAGTAGGAAACTCACAAAAAATTAACCGGTAGTTTTTGTCGACCCGAGAACACGACGATGGGTCTGTGAGCTAACACGTTGGCTGGATACGTAGAATTAAAAGAGGTTAAGAAGCCTCCGCCGATCGCTGCATTACGAAGCGTCAAAAGCGCTCCGTATGTGACTTCTGTATAAGAGTATATATAATGACTTGAGACCGCTGACAAATTTTGCTAGGTAGTTTTTTTATTTTTAATAGGTGAATACAGAACAAATGTTGTGCAAGGAGCTAGGGCAAATGTTGTGTTAGGGGCTATTGAACTCCACACGTGTACGATGAACAGATATTAATTTAATTATAATTGGCACCCTCACGCCGCTAAATAGTAAAATTCCATTCTGAAATTCTTTTATTTTAAACAGTAAACTTTTTTTACTTTCTGTGCACTAAATAATAGTATTAGGTTTCAAGAAAATCTCCCTATCCTAAAAATATCTTTTCATTTAATTTTCATCCTTCTTTAGTTTCTAGTTCAATTTCAGAAAAATTTACTGATGTATCTTCACGAAATTTCCAAGTAAATTATATGTTTCTTTATTTTTCGATCGCTCTAAAGTTTTAGTGAATTTAAACAGATAATGAAATTAGCTCATGTTCCAAGTTTCGACTCAACTCGTACAATAAATCAGAATTTGCACAGATTTTAGGAGACAATTTCATGAAAGAAAAATTAACTATTCTTACGATGAAAATGTTGTTTTTAAGTCTATAGCTTACGATTTCAAGGCACAATTTTTCTTATCGTTCAACCAGAATTTTTCTGACCGCTTGCCTGGCTGATGTTGTTGAGCGCTGCGCCGTCGATGGCCATTTGGAAGCTCGGGCTGAAGTGACTCAAGTGGAACTCGTACTTGTCCTCGCTCAAAGATTATTAAATTATTAAACATTACTCTAACTATTATATAATATATTTATAATATACATCTTTCAGTTCACGAATAATTAAGACTTGAGTGGTTTCATGCCTAAATTTCATTATTTAAAAGTTGATAAAATATAATACCGTGATAGAAACATCGTATGAATCAATGATAATTAAAATTTCTTTTTATATCTTCTAATGAACTAATCAAAATCAATAGCTTTAGATCGTACATTTAAAAAGACGTTCTCAACACAAAGTTTAAGACTCCCAGATGAGTGTGAATTAGATTGAACGACGTAGATGAGTGCAGCTGACTCCCTTATATCACTCATCAGTAGATCACACTTGATCGCAGTGAATGAATATTAAAGAAAATTTTACATAAATTATGAAAGAAAAGTGAATCAATTGATTCAACTAAGGGTGAGTGATTCAACTAAGGGTGGGTGATTCAACTAAGGGTGAGTGATTCAACTATAAGGGTGAGTGATTCAACTAAGGGTGAGTGATTCAACTAAGGGTGAGTGATTCAACTAAGGGTGAGTGATTCAACTAAGGGTGAGAGATTCAACTAAGGGTGAATGATTCAACTAATTAATGGTGATTCAATTAAGTGAGAAATCCTGACTCACTCATTTCTCTCAGTATACCCTTAGCATAAAGTTTACACTCACGTTTTGTGTAAGATGAAATCGTGGATAATGAAACACGAAACGTAGATCAGCAAAGGGAGAAAGACGAAACAAACTAATCGTGCAGAGAAATGCTTCACCAGCGTGCCCTGTTGGACGAAATTGTTTTGATAAAAGCTTCACTCTGAAACATTATTGCCTCCTATCGTCCATGAAAAAAGACACGTTTTCTGTGCACAGTACATGTAAGCCCGTTCGTCGGGCACACTTATGTGATTTGTCAGGATTACCATGGCAAGGTCTGAAAGTGTATTGCTTTTGATCTTTTTGATCAAGACTCGCTCATTTAATTAGTGTTACCTGACTATTCGTCATTGACGCGTATTCGGTGATTGCCTCACGTCGCTTTCCTGCACTTACTAGGTTTTTCAATAACCTATCTAGAATTAATAATATTTTGCTTTGTTTTTTACATGTATCAATTAACTGTTTGCTGCTTGAATTCACTTTGTTTACTAAAATAAAATAATATGGTTACTGTTATTTCATAATATGTGATGCTCCTACTGAGATTACGTCTCGAAAACGCAGCTTTTGGAGCAGCTGGACCTAGCCAACCTTGCCCCCGGTTGGTGCAAGCAGAGTTTTATCTGATTCCTCATCGGCAAGATTACCAACGAGCTAATTACTATACGCCAAGCAATAAAAATTCAGTAGACCATTAAGCACTCCTGAATAAAGAACCAAGTGATCACAATGCTACATTCATCGGAGGCAACGAGAGATTTTAACTTGGTTGTGATTGCCATGCAGTCCTCATATCTATCATGCAGGATTGTACGATTTGAGTTGTTAGATGCCTTCAAATCTACACTTTGTTCTAGACGACACTTTCCAAATCATTTTTGACGCCCAAGAGATTGTGGCCTGGAACCAAACAAACACAACAAACTTTACCAAACTTTGTTGCACTAATGTCTGGTTTTCCCCTAAGTGAATGATCACATTACTATTATTATTAGCGAATTCTCTTATCAGTTCGTATGGGAAAGATTTGCGATGATTACGCTCTATTTAATTTACTGATATTTAATAATGATAAATTTTTCCTGACGCTGTTTTATTTCTATTACTCTTCGTACTTCTGAATTAAAAGCGTAAAATATTCAGTGATGTAGCACCAAACAAAAAACTCACCGCAGAAGCCCGTGGGAAGATGTGCCAGAGTTGGGACGCGGCGTGCAGCCCCACGACGGCCACCGTGAACAGCCCCACGAACTTGACGCTCACCACGCAACCCAAGAAGAGGCCCGTCGCCCCCAGGCTGGTCCACCACGGCCCACTGAACGCCCCTTGTCTGAGCGGAAACAAAAGAGAAGTTTTGTATCTAATATTAGTTAAGTTGTAAGATTTTGTTTTTGATTTTGTAAGATGAGTTGTAAGACTTTATTCAATTGTTGTTGAGGTTCCAATGATTTCAAACATGTATTATTTTCAAATGCGGATCATTAAAACTTATGATCACATGTAGTTTCTGAAGATCCTGATAGAAAAAATAAAAACGTGGTTGATTAGCTGCGTTAAATTAAGCAACGAGGGAAATAATCTGGGTTCGTCTGAAAATTTAATTAGCAGTAATAAAAAACTAGTCGGAAACTATTCTCTACTCCTTAATTATTTTCAAATGATAAGTAAGTTAATACATTTCCAGCAGGTTGTGAAAAGTTTTTTGAGCAAAATTAACCAGGTTAACGACTTAAGTATCTCTTTATTCTACTCTATCCAGTTTAATTATCAAAAAGCTTCATAAAAACAGTCGCCATCAATTTTTTCTGATAATAGGCCAGGAATAGTGCTTATAATATAGAGAATAATGATCACTACATTTGCTGGTCAATGGCGAAAATATGGATTCATGTTAGGAGATTTTTACGAAATAGTCCATCGATCATTGCATTTTGTTCAGCAAACTTCTTCAAACGTAAGTACATTTTATCTACTGATCGGTTATTGTATTGATATACAATAATTACCTAAGCGTTGCGTGCTGCAGGCGACACAGGCTAAAGAAGACGGCCATCATGAAGAACATCAGCGGAGCGTCCAGCAGGATGAACCTCGTCAGCAGCAGAGTACCGGTCTCTGAACAAAAATCTTTATTTAATTTTACGTTAACAGTATCGCACGTCCTCTTCTTTAACACTCAATAACAATAAAGTAGGTTTCATATTTTTGGTTTTTCTTTTCGATATTTTATATACAGCAGAATTTCCTGGACCGCTACATCAACGACGAAAAACACGATATTGTTGATAATATTTTTGCCTGCAATTCATTACTGTCATGAAAATAAAATATACTGTAAAATATAAAATATACTGTAAATGCAGAGTCCCGACTTCAGTTATTGACGTAGGGCAACATGGGGCAGCGCCCCCCCCTTTTTTAAACTAAATTTTAGATGAAGTTTTAATTGATGCGTGGTGGTTCTTTGTTTTGTTTAAAGGTACAACTAATGGGGAATGTATGATGTGAATTTGACGCCTATTGAGTTATTCAATTTTTAATGAAACACTTTTTGTAAAAAGTGACAAAATGGGCCCATTGCCCCACCCCTGGGGCAATGGGCCCATGGGCTTGGGGCAAGGCGCCCACCCTTGGTCCCTTTACCACAATTGCATATTTTCGTTTAAAAGAAGTTATGCTGGCTCATTCGTTCATTAACAACTCAAAAAAATCATATCCTTAACTTGAAAAAAATATACTCTTAGCTTAAAAAATCTATCCATGACATGAAGAAAAATATTTAATTGACATAAAAATATATATCCATGACTTGAAAGTATATCCTTGCGATTAAAAATTCGTCCCTGGCATGAAAAAATGTCTCCTTGACTAGAAAAAATATATTAAATTGATCAGAAAAAACTTCGTTCCAGTTTCGTCCATAATCCAGATATTATGTGCAGAGAATTCATACCTAATCGTGATTTCAGCCAACACCATAAAAACTCATCAACTTTTGGCTCATTGGTGTTGACTGAAATCAACTTTTGGCAAGGCAAGAGTCAATAACTCGATAAGGGGTCATAAATACGCATAACTAGAAACTAAACCCGCTGCCTTGAGACGGCAAATCAAAAATCATGCAATACGAAGTGTAATTTGTAATTCAAAAAGCTAGTCATAGTTTTGAAAAGGTTATTGAGACAAATCTAATGATGTATATGTATAACACAAGACTTCACCATGGGCGCTTTGCCCCGTGACACGCGTGGGCCCGTTGCCCCACTAGGAATCACTTCAATTTATATCGTGTCAACATTTTATTTTAAAAGCTAATAGTCTAAACTTGATCTCAAAAATATCCCTATAAATATTATATTCAAAATATAATTCACAGTAATTTCAAAAGCTTCATCTACAGTAATCGAAAACAGTTTTATTTAGCAGCAAAAAAATTTGTATCTGGGCTAAAACAGTTATTCACAAATAACTTAATAACGCAAACACTTAGCAAAACGTAAATCCGTACACTTCATCCCAGTGAAACTGTCGACCGGCGGTAGAGAACACGGACCAATATCTGCCATACTTAGCGAGAAACCCGCTATGGGCCCGTGACCCGCAGTGGGCTCGCTACCCCATGTTACCCTATATAATTCCTATTTATGATCTAAATAATAATTAAATCAATTGTAACAATCGATGAAACACATGAGGAATACACAATTTTCACTTCACCGAAAATTGAACCAATACAAATTATTGTAAATAAAAATTTACATCGTAATGAGGCTGTGGGATAAGACTTTAACCCAGGCTTAGAACTCTCAAATATCACTTAACCTAGGCTTAGGAGTATTCTTAAAGAATAATTTATTGTTTAAAAAAATTACTTCAGCCAAAATTTAGTCCATTTGGAAAATAATTGACAATGATGCATTACATTAAAAGATGCAAACAGTTAGATGTAAATGAATATCAACCCAAAAAATTAATTCACCATTCTGTTTTTGTCAGATAATGCCAGTACATTGGGATGATCTCAGCAAACATGAGTTAGAAATGTTTTCCCCGAATAAATAATTTTTATATCATTATTAATGGATCAACACCTCAAACGATTAGAATTCTGATTAAAGTACTAACACATCAAGCGATTAAAATCATGATTAAATGTATTAACACCTCAATCAATTAAAATCACTATGAAATGTATCAACACTTGAAACAATTAATATCATATTGAAATGTATTAACACCTCAAAAAGATAAAATCATGATAAAATGCATTAACACCTCAAACAATTAAAATCACGATGAAATATATTAACACTTGAAACAATTAATATCATGATTAAATGTTTAACACCTAAAAAAATTAAAATCATGATAAAATGCATCAACACCTCAAACAATTAAAATTATAATGCAATTAAAATTACGATGAAAATATACCGCAGACAACGAGCAATCCTGCCAGGAAAGCAGGCGGCAGGCGGCGCGTCGTGGTCCAGGCGACGCCGAAGGCGAGAGGAGCCAAGGCTGCTCCCAGCACCGCGCACGCCTGCCGGCACAACATAAGGAAAATAATAACAATTACAATTTCATTATTAAAAATCAATTCATTATTAAAATAATAGTTCAATTCATGGTTCAAGTAATCATTCTATTTCTAATTTAAATAATTACTCAAATAATTATAGTACAATTCAATTTCTATGAGAATAATTGTTTTCGTAATCAGTGTTGGCACTCAAATAAATCATAAATGTTACATGACATTCGCAATTATTGCCTCAACCAGGGCAGAAAAGCGGTATAACGTTTCCCAGTTTCAGTTTCTCTTTTTTTTCTCCTGATGAAAGCGTTTAACATATTCGTCGAGCTGAGGTTGTTAAACTGAGTGTATGCTATGATTTCCGATATCTGTTACCCACAAATATACCTGCTCCGATCAACTATATGTGCTTCGTGAATCTTATCCTTGTCACCGAGTTCTGAAGATTGTTTCAAGGTCACTCCCAATTGATGTTATGATCCACCCTAGCTTGATTATCCCACTCACATAAAAAGCGACAGTACTTAATATCATCGAGCGCAGTTCTTAGCACAACAGTACTTAGTACCAGCAATTTTCAAGTAAACACAATTGTTATTTTGCACATTTGATCTTGTCCAGAGCTTGCTTCACATTGTCAAATGTTTACTCCATCTGCATGTGCAATGAGAGATGATAGTAGTGTTTCCTTCATGTAGAAGTACAGCTTTTAGACTTTTTTACGGAGTTTATTAACAATCTCCATTCATCATTAACGGCCTGTTTCTTTTGCATACTTTAGTCCATGTATCAAATGAGCCACATTATCAACATATGAAAACTGTATTGATTGTGTTCTCTTTTTTGTGATGTCATGATCTAAGGAGAGCAATGCTAAAATAATTGGTATCAGGATCAGTTGCTTCCCTCCGAATCATGGGTAGCGTAAATGGCCATGGCCCGTTTCTCAATCACGTAGCCAATCAGAAAAACCTGCATTTTAAAAAGATCAACAAACTTTAGGAGCCCAGGGTCGTTCTTGATCTCTGGATTTACCATCAAAGAAATAATAGTAAGCTTCATCATCAGCTGTGTGATGAAGAAGCAACAAAAATAAAAGAATGAATCCGGATTGTCTAAACACATCCTTGACGTGTTAGATAGAAGTAGATGAAATGAGGTCACTAATTATATGATCTCATTCAAACTCATAAACGGTTAAATAGCATGGAAAATATATGAAACGAAGAACCATCTTTCAGAAGAATTTGAAATATTCACCGAAAAAAACATGAAATCAATCATAAATACCTCTGGCGATAACTTAAAAACTAGAGCTAAACGAACTTTCCAATATCAGATTTATCTATTATAAACACCATCGAATTAATATATTTCAGCTATTAATGTCTTCTGTCATAATTTCTTTGTTGACCAGTGTAATATAAGCTTTAATAAATGTCCTCCATCAAAAATGTAAATATTCAACAGTTGAATTGTCGTAGCCTTTGCAATTCGAAGTTAATTGTGTTGCGAATAATTGTTTTGACAGCAAAAATTCAAAGAATAAATTAGAAATATCATCCCGTTAGAGAGGTTAATAGGTATTATCACTAGATCAAAAATCTTGCATTTATGAGGTTGGTAAGAGTTATGAATATTTCTTTTTGAAACCAGAGATTTAAATCAAATAAAAAAATAATATCATCCCAATTTTTTAGTCACCGCTCTGGTGAAGATGATGCCTCGGTGGCCGGTAATCTTGTGTCCCTCCACGGCAAAGCTGTGAGTGCCCTCGTATCCTCCAGCCGCGGCCACCAGCGTCAGCAGAAGCTGTGCAATGCGTCGTACGCAGGTCAAACGTGATACTGAATAAGGTTTTATTCTGGTTTTAAATAAAATAAGGTTTTATTTATTTATTTATTTGTACTTTCAATTGATGAATTGCCTTAATTAGTCTTATGCTACTTATGGTCAGCCTATATGTCTGCAATTGACTGATGTAAGTCTGGTTTCTTCATGAATGTATTTAAAAACTTTGTTTGTGTCCATAATATTTGCTGAAAGAAAAATTTCATTCTAGTTAGCACCTATTAATGGATAACAATATAAAAAACTTCATAAGCTCAGCATGGTAGAGCTAAGTGGGATATATCAGAATATTTTCCATTACACAGGACTAGACATCCCTTACCTTGCCACCAGCGGGATGTACGTCGAAGAAGAAGCTTCGGTTGATGTAAAGTCCTATCATCCGTCCGAAGTGATTTTCATCCCAGCTATAATATCATTACACTACAATATAATATAATGTTATATCGTGACAGATACAATATCTTATAATGGGATATTGTCCCTGCTAAAATATTAGTTACTATTCAATATCATATCATATCGTGCCAGCTGCAAACGTTATTTCAATGGAAACGATTTTCGAGAATTAAAATCAATAAAATTTCTGTAGATTGTGAATATTTTCTCGCGCTTCAAGATGTTTTATTTTCTGCTGAACAATGCAAATTACATAGTTAGTTATTTTATCTTAACCAGCATAACTTCTGTGATGAAACGCCCTATCGTTGCAAACTTCTGATCATTTGTAAAATATTCAAAAATTATAATGTCCATGAGTACTATAAATTATAATATTCAAGAGTATTATAATGTTGCGTGCGACAAACTTCATTATAAATGAACTTAATAGCTATGGTCAACTTCGTTTCATCTGAAAATGAATAAGACTAGTCGGAAGACCAGTTAACAATTCTGATCTGAAGACCTAACCACAATGACTATCTAAAGATGGACCAGTATGACTAGTTTAAAGACTAGAGGGCCAGGAAGACAAGTCTAAAGACACGTGGACCAGTATGACTAGTCTAAAGACTAGATGACCAGTATGACTAGTCTAAAGACTAGTGGACCAGTATGACTAGTCTAAAGACCAATGGCTGGATTGTCAAAATAACTCTAAGTACACGTAAGAAAAAGTGCACACAAAAGTACGTATCATTATTACTAAGTTCACTCTTTGCGCGTGCAATGGGTAAGAAAATTTTTCACTTTTTATATGATATGACGCATTTATTTCCTGAGTGTAGTGTTCATTGTTTCGCTTCAAGTTACTCGGAGAACGAAAGAGCGCGCATCCAAACTGTAGGTTGAGGAGGGATTTGCTTATGGGTGAAAAAAAAATAACCTTTTTTCTTTACCTCCATTGTTGAGGTCTCTGTGTAGAAAAGTAATTAGCATGGATACCAGCTTCATCATACATCAGTTGTTCAATGAAATATTGAAGTATATGAAGAAATAAGAAGTGAACTGGTTACTAAAAGTTCTCATGTTTACCACCATGAAATATAATTTATATCAATAATGAGCGTCACACATCGGACTTCTTTAGTCGCTGCGTGCGGTACTCACATAGCGACGTCTGGCGTGGAGAGTCCCCACAGCCTCGTGGCCAGCGACGCCCCTACGATCAGCATCAGAGTTCCCCACCAGTGGGAATTGCTGGGGCGCGGGCTCCTGTGTATAAGCAGGATTTTACAAACAGAGATGATCGCAAAACTAACTTTCTAAATTAAGTAGAGTGGACTTTACAGTGAAAACTCGCTTAAACGCTCGTAACAGATATTGCACGCGTGGAGGCTGATTTCTTCTTTGTGACTGGTGGGATTATCTTGAAAAACTTTAGTGATTTGCAGACGGAGTTACAATTCCTTTAGTTATTATTGTTACAAAACACTTTACAAATTTTTATATTAAATATCAGCACCGAAGTTCAAGAGTTGACGTAGGTTAGATTATCCAAATAGCGACACCCTTTTTCACCCACAGCACAAGCAGAGTGGACATAGAACTGATAAACTCCTATGCCAATTGCCAAACTGGGTTAAGATGACTAACCCAAGCTTAAAAAGAACATCGTTATTTGGGCAATGTTTAACTCATTCCTCTGCGTATAACATCAATAAATTTTTACCTGTGAAGCAGGACTACGTTCTAATTGTCTTGTGAACGATAAATGTTGCAGAAAATTACACAAAAACTTCCGAGGTTTCATCATGGATTATCAGACCATCCATCATGGGCATTGACTTATGCATTGAAAGATGTATTTTGCAAATAAAATAAATTTGTATTTAAATATGACAGTTCTATATTATTGATTTATAGGTCTTATTTTGTAAATAAAAAATATTTATTTTGTAAACTTACTATTAGGTGCTACCTTGGAGATATAACGAACATTGCCGGCCAGGGAAATTTTCAAAAACACGGATATGAAATTAATGTAGTTTTAACATATTTACCCTAAATTATAAAGCTTTTTTCGATTCTGTATGTTTCAAGACATCATAATCTCTAAACAAGGACTTGCCTGAAGGCATCCCACTGTAGTAGAATCTGCTGGTATACAAATTTGTTCGCGTTTTTGCGAGTACTGGCCGAATCGATTAAATCCACGTAGTCTCTGTCGAGTTGTTCAAGGTTTTCATCGAACTTTAATGAGGAACTGTTTGCATCTTGATGAACAGACATTTTTGCGGATTCCATCTTTTGATTATATCGCTGACAATGGCTAATTGCAGTCGTCGATTATTGAGGGGAAATTATGAAATTCAACCTCATCATGCAAAATTCAGTTAAGTGACAGCAATAATTTCTATCGTGGATCACTTAACATGCGTTATATTCCTTCTCTTTCATGTGTATTATGTCATTTTTCGATCGCTATTATGTGTTTGTTTGTTATTGAAAGTCAATTATTTGACATACACCCGTGCTGTCGGCCACTGAACTCATGTCCTACTCCTGGACTCGCGCAATAGACAACAACTGATTCAAAATAAATTCCCCGATGTAGCCAGGCAACGCTAAAAACATATGAGGAAGAAGCTTAAATAAACAAATTATTTTCCTGGTAGGATTTGTCATGCTGCGCTGGCGCTGTTAGCAGCACTGCTGTTCCCGTCCACGAAGCAGTGAGCAGATGTTCAGTGTTCCTTACACCGGTCAGGTCATTCACATTGACCAGTAAAGGAAGTCGCGATATAAACTGAAGTAAGTTCGAAGTACGTAAAATATTTTATAAACTATGTAAACCTTTCAATAAATTATTTATAAATTTGATAACATTTATGTTTGAGATTCAATAAAAATGAGAGTTTTCTGATTGCCCAGAAGAGATTAGTATGTTTTATTTAGACATACTTTTATATACTACATTGGGGTATGCCGAAGACAATATTTCAGTGTTCATTTGGTCAAATTGAGGTATACTATAAATTACGAATAAGTGAGAAAATGGTTAATTTTTTACGACTAATAGTTGTAGTATGTGTAGGTTGTGCACCTAGGTGTACTATGTGTACTTTGTGTTTGTGATAGGTGTACTATGTGCACCTATCACAAACTAGTGAATTATACCATGGAAAGTATGAATATACTGTATGAATAAAGTGAAATGAGCCGAGCAATATTGATTTCGCGAATTTGTGAAAACTCATTTATAGATAGTAGACCCATTCGTAGATTGTACCGAAATAGGAACAAGGATAAAAATATGATTGATCGTACAGTGTGATAAATGAAATGAATGTTTATATAGAATAAATTTGAAGCTGGATAGATTTCCACTATGCAATAAAACGGATAACGTGAAAAGGTGTGTAAATCTTTAGATGAAGAGCTTAGCCTATTTTACTTTAACAGAAGCTTAATGGAATGTTTTATAAGGCCTTATGAAAATAACTCAAATCATTCTATTGTTAAACGATTTCGAGAATTGTTAGGATATTCTTCAGATGTTAAAATTAGTTTTCCACTTTTATCCTAAGATTTTTGCCATAAATCTGATTTGTGGTTTTCGGAAAGAGTAAATTACTAAATTTTAATTTCTTTAGCTACATAATAGTATTCTAAACTCTGAAACATTTTTAATTGAATGTGATTTCTAACTAAGTTTTAAAATTTCGACTTGAAACAAAATTAAATTCGACTGAACATTATGATTACAATTTAAATACCTATGTTTACACACCTAAATTATAAATATAAGTATATATATACTATTAAAATAAATAAGTTCATACCAATATATACCTATACCTTATACTTATGTACTCAATGGTAATTATATATTATACAATTTTATTATACAAATTCCAGAAAGAAGATGTGCAAGTGGAGAAAGGTTACAAGCAGCAGCGACAGGTCCCTCACAGATCTTCCTGAAGAAGATTCCTTCGACGACGATGTCTTCTCGGCTGCCGAAGGCCCCACAGAGGTAGACGAGTTACCCCTGAACGAGGGTGTGGACGAAGCTCGCGCTGCGGTTGACATCAACAACATCTATGAAGGGTGGAGGAAAAAAAGCCTGCTTGAAAAACTTGACGCCGTTGCGTTGGATTATTGGTCAGGTTTTGTTTCAATATATTAAATTATATTAGGGTCTATTTTACCATATATTATATTATATTATATAAGTTTAACTATCTTGACTAGTGGTATTTCTTTGCTCTTTACTGGCGGTTCATGTAATACATTCATTTTTTCCTGTTAACAACGCGATTAATAATTCGAAACGAATTTCTATCACATTACAATGATATTAAAATTTTTGGGCATCTCTATATTTTTAAAGTAATTTCCAGATAATTTTTATTAATACATTAATTGCGTAAAGTTAAGTAGAAACGACTGATTCAAAAATTACTCATACATTTAAACTATGTTAATTTCTTTAGTTTTGACTTTAATTGACTTAAATACCTCCAAGTAAATAGGTTGATAATTTTGTAGCCTTATTAAAATTCACGAATCCAATTACAGGGCGGGAGGAGCGGTGAGTTGGTGGTGGTGCTTCTGTCTCATCACGCTGGCGGGAGTGATGACTAGACTGTACCGCATCACGGAGCCCAACGCTGTGATGTAAGCGAAATTTTGCAAATATTAAAACTATAAGTGAGTTCACAATAGCTTCACGTTTTCATAGAAGATATGGTGAACTTGTTTGACGTTTCCTCATGTTGTTCATATGAAAATATTTGCCACTTGAGGATTTTTCATGTATGCAAAATTGCTCAACTGTATACTTCTTGGCGTTTCAAGACTGCGTTGAGCGTTGGCTGTACTTCTACGCGTTTCATGAAGTCATTTACTTGATTCTTTTAGGTGGCTGTTATGTCCAACTGCTACTGTCAACGGAAAATATTTCATGATCAATAAATATTGAGAATCTTTATTCCTGTTTCCGTAGTTGGGACGAGACTCACTTCGGCAAGATGCTGTCCTGGTACATCAACGGGACCTACTTCTTCGACGTTCATCCTCCGGGAGGCAAGGTAGGCAATTTTGACGTGCAATTTAAATTTAAAAATTTCTACTAATTTTACCGATAATTAATATCTGAAATTTATTGTTTTCTGCATTACTTTTCACAACAGCTAATCAGAAATAATTTAATCCTGCTCATCACCGGATATCCGCACTCATTTCTCAAGGAGGTCGTAATTCTTCCACTTATCGGTAAGGTTGGTGACTCCAATATCAGGCTTTAACTCAAAGCGTTTCAAAAATTACTTCGTTGATTGCGTTGAATTTTTCATTCGTTCGTACACGCTTTTTGCCCTCTTTGATTAAGGGATAGTCTACAACGATGCCTAACATTCAATGCATTTTGAATAGGTATTTGTTAACCTTCTCGGCCGTTTTCCTCCTGTCGGGTCGCACTTGCTGCTCGCTCTATTCGGTAGGGCGGTTAAGGCAGCAACGTTTAAGTGAGTAATAGAACATCTCCTCGATCGCATTCGTCCGATTTGATCGTAGTTGCTGTTTGCTTTGTTCGGTTTGCCGGGCGGCTACGTATAACGACAGACGCAAATTCAATGCGTTTTAAATATGCATTTGTTGACGCCGTCCATCGCATCTCTTTCTGTTTGTTCATAGTTGCTGCTCGCTCTGTTCGGTTGGGCGGGAGGCTACAACGGCAGCCACCCGTTCACGGCGCCCGGTTTGAGCTTCGAGGGCTACTCCGGCGTGATGGTCATCAGGGTTGGATGCGCTCTTCTGGGCGCCGCCCTCGTGCCCGTAGCCTTCGGCTGCGTGTGGACCATGACCAGGCGTCTGCCATCAGCAGTCTTGGCCGGCGTCTTGGTTGTTGCAGGTGGAATACGTCAACGTATAGGGGAACCAATTTTCCAACCTAGGGAAACCAACGTCTAGGAGAACGTTAACCAAATGCGGGGTATTATGTTGCTGGTAAAATAACATGTGATTTGTGAACTGGGCCATTTAGGTTCTTTACGAGGGGTTTCAAAAAATACGTGGAAAAACAAAAGTTTGAATAAACTATCAAAGTCAATAGGTTAGGTTTCATGCATGTGCTCTATCTAGCAAGTCCAATACATTTCTGTAAATAGTGATACCAGCCAATTATTCCGTCTATGTAGAATCGAGAGTTGGGGGCAAAACTCCCTAGCTAACTCTCTTTTGGCTGTATAGAATTGAACCATGTTTTGGCAGCTCTTTCGCTACTTCACTTGATGGAAACTGGCACCGTTCAATGACTTTTTTCAGGTTTGGATTTAATACAAGTTAGATGGGGCTAAGTCGGTCCTATAAGATGGATGTCGAACGGTTTCCCATCAAAATTCGCGTAACACAGTCGCTGTCAGCCGGGCGTCATGTGCTAGTGCCTTATCGTGGTAGGAGAATGCGTGTCGATGCTGTTTCCTAGGATGTTCTTCGGCGTATTTCCTGGAAATTTTTATCAAAATTTCTTTATTATAAACTACAATAATTTTTTCTTGTACTCGAGGAAATAAACTAAGAAGCTTCCCTCTGCATTCCAGAAAACCTTATTTCATTAATGCTCAGAATTTTCTTTGATGGGCCCACTTCCTCCCCTGAATAGCCACTGATTCCATCGAGAGTGCCCTGTGTCCATTTGTCAGTTACTGATCTATATTCTAAACACTGTCACCCGGCCTCGAATTCGGCAGTTGCCATGTTGCATGAACGGCTGTTGCTCTTTAAACAGCGCTCCGCGTTTATAACATATGAAAAGGGTTCATGTGAAAACGCATTTTAAAACATTGATACAGGATCGTTTTGATGCATTGGCATCATATTCTTTTCATAGAATTTTCAGTTATGATCATTCTCCAAAAACTCTTTGAAACACCCTAGTATAATTCTAACAATTTGTAAGATGTAAATGCAGCTAAATGCATATGCAAACGTAATTGTAAACATAATATGCTTCTTAAGACAACTGGTCGAGATCCTAAATGCGTTCTATCATATTACGATGTCACTAGTCTCCTGGAACACATCATAACCTAAATGTTTTACGATACCTTAAACGTACAGCAGTGCTGTGGACACGGTCCTCCTGCCAGCCTAGGCGAAGCCCTCTATCTATGTTCTTACAAGACACGTGATATAGTCCTATATATATTGACCTGTAACTTCCTCTACCCATAGGCTTTAAAATAAACACGAATTAATAAATCATTTAATTATTCTGATCCTATTTCATTTTACAACGTCATCGGCAAATATTTGAGTTTTAAGGCTTTCCCGGAAATACAACAATAACAGATCAAAGAAAATTAATAACTAGCAAATTTTTCGCATACATAAATAGTCTTAAGGTGTTAATACAACATAACAAGCATGAGATATATTTTCAACAATATGTACACATGTTAATTTACACTTCAAATCCTGAAAGCAGTAGTACAGTAAATCTAATAAATTTAAAGCCTCTGATAAATAAGTCAATGCTTTGGTTTACTATTCCAGAGATTGGCACTCTGCTGCTGACGAAGTACATCCTATTAGACGCTCCGCTGATGTTCTTCATGATGGCTGCCTTTTTCAGCCTGTGCCGCCTGCAGCATGCAACGCTTAGGTGTTTATAGTGTATTAATACTGTAAATATTCTGTATTTAAAATCTACCTGCACTGTACAATATTTTAAATTAGGAATTATTTAATACTACCGAACTTAGTTAAGTCTTGCCATCCAGTCTGATGATGACGATGCGAGGGAACATATTCCGCATATATGTGGGAGGGTATCTAATTTAATACTTATTACTCATGAATATAAACGTTACAACTACATGAGTTTTAGTGTTCAACGTACGATAATGATCCCTATTTGAGTAATTCATTGGAATCCCGACGACGATCAGTTAAAATTGTGAAAACATCTCTTGAAAACAATCGTAAATATGAAACTTTGTTATGAAAGATGTTTTTCCGCTCAGACAAGGGGCGTTCAGTGGGCCGTGGTGGACCAGCCTGGGGGCGACGGGCCTCTTCTTGGGTTGCGTGGTGAGCGTCAAGTTCGTGGGGCTGTTCACGGTGGCCGTCGTGGGGCTGCACGCCGCGTCGCAACTCTGGCACATCTTCCCGTGGTCTTCTGCGGTAACTCTTGTCTTTTGTAATAGCGGTGCCAACTTTTATTAGCCCATTAGACTTGTCTCTAATTTTGGCATTAGACCTGTCGCAGAATTTTCATAGCTTGTCTCAGGTCTCGAACATGCAACTCACTGCTCCAATTTTTCCGTGCTTAACCGCTCAGCCACCTCACCAATTTTGACCAGAACTGTCGTAGGTAGCTGGGATCGAACTCACGACTCACTGCTCCAATCCTGGTACTCTGAACTAGAACTGGGTAACCTAGTCTCTGGTATAATTGTATTAGTTGGCTGCTGTTATAGCTAGCAAATATTCAATGCTTATAATTCCGAATTATGGAAAAAATTGATAATGTAGCTTAAAATATGTGTGTAACTGTTTCATAGTTCCTTTATTTCTTTTCTCATACGTAGTAGCAAATATAACAAAAATTTTATAGTAACTGAACGTAGTGCTGTTACGACTGTAATTCCCCTTCACGTATAAATCATATCGTTATCAAGTTAATCTATTATTCAACAATAACATCATTCACCACAGCCACTGCCGTTTTGAACCACTTTGGACATCAACCGCACTTAAATTTTTCGCAAATAAATAAATTAACAGAATTTACCGCACGTGTAACCACAGTTTATTCTAAACCTAAACAACGCCAGTGGTGATCACTAGAGCGTGCCCATGTACCCACAGCTCTCACTTGGGGCCCACGTCATCGCCCGCGTGTTGTGCCTGATAGTCGTGCCCGCCGCGGTGTACTTAGGGTGCTTCGCGGCACACGATATTCTCCTCTACAAGACGTGAGTCCCTTGGTATCCCTAGTGTCCCCTAGCATCCTTAGGATTATTATCATCCTTAGGATCCTAAGAATCCTTAGGATAGTATCCTTAGTATCCTAAGTTTCCCAAGTATCCTTAGTATACTAAGCATCCTTAGGATCCTAAGTATCCTTAGGATCCTAAGTATCCTTAGTACCCTTAGTATCCTTAGAATCCTTTGTATCCTTAGTAACCTTAGTTTCCTTAGTATCCCCAGTCCAAAAATGCCCATTTGACCATGCATCGGGTGTTTTGTTTTATATTATAACACGTACAGAGACAGAAAATTAATATAATTTTTCGTGCTGTAACGTGAAATTATGTTCAGATGCAAATAACGTTATTTATGAATTTTCTTTTTCAAATTACTCGTTAGTTGCCATTTCAAAGCTGGAAAAAGCCCTCAACTTGGGAATGATTAAATGTTAATAGACTCCTGCAAGATAACTACCATCAAAATAAATCATTAATAAAAAACGGATGTATCAGCGGGTGAATTATTCGCGTAATGACATCATTTCCTAAGACTATACTCAACTCACTACGCACGATTTTTTAGGCTGATTTTTCTATCAGAGTTTTTGGGTCAAACGTTCTGAATAATTCCAGGTTCAGTGCACACGGCAGCGAAGAAGCTGCCCTCAGTCCTGAGTACCAAATGACCCTGCAAGGAAATGTCCTGCACAACGGCAGTTACTCTCCTCGTGAGTTGTTTCACTTGAAATTTAAAGTCTCTATGACTTAATTTTTTGATGTGGGATTTTACCTCCTCGTAGGCTGGGCAATACTCTGCTGCATTAACTCCTAAACTCTGATGATGCCATCGATATGTGATTGCATATCGTGACCTTGAAAAAGAATGTTATCCTGATAATGCAACGCTGCATTTTCATTTTACTCTATGATGGCAGGTGGGACTAAAAAACCGCTGGAGACTATTTTTATCTAACGCATTTCCGTAGGAATCACAAATCCTAAACCATAATTATTCTCCATTTTTTATGCTCGCTTTTCTATCATCGAGTTATCTTTCTCAAAAGTGATGACGCTCCAACGCATCGGATGCTTAGAGCGTTTGTAGTCCAGATATGCGATTAATTGATTTATTTATAACAATATCATATTGGATTTCGTATTATTACCTTTGTATTTTGAAGAGGTTGTTTACGGAGGCTTGATAACGCTTCGAAACGACCGTCTGGCGGGACCTTATCTCCACTCCCACAACCTAACTTATCCTGAGAAACACGCCCCAGGCAAGAAGCAACAAGTCACGGGATACAGAGCTAAGGATCACAACAACCTCTTGTGAGTAGTGACGTCTCATGCTAGTTAATTAGTTACTGATGGGGTTTTGTGGACTTGAATGGGCAGTAATTCAAACGATACAGGGCTAAGACCACAATTAGCAACCTCGTGCGAGTAAAGGCATCCATTGCCAATTATTAATTGATGGTGTATTCTGTGTCAGTATTGTTTGATAAGTAATTTATACCCTAATTTATTATTTAATTATCATTTATTACTGTTTTACTTATAACATATATCCTATACCCTAATTAAGCAAGTTTCTTATTTTAATAGTTCTGCTATTGTTTGTCAAGAATTCAACTTACCCGAGTTGAGCCGAACTTGATTAAAATGCTGCTTTGCCCATCCATTGTCATAGCCACGAGTTAATGATGAACAGTGTTCGCGCTTTTGATTACAATGCACACAGCGATATACTTGGCATCATTATCATCTGAGGTATTTGTCGGCTCCAGGATTTGTATGACATGACAGCTGTACCCAAAAATTTAGTTAGTTTTCATAAATCGCTTAAATGAAATGAACAAGTTTTTTGGCTTGTTTGGAATTCAATGGGTTGATAATTTTTTATTTATGCGACCATAAAAACAATTCTTTTTAAAATCAATTTCCTTGAAAATATTCTATAAATCATTCATCGTTACCTCAATCGTTTAAATTCTTTTGATGGATATTACTTCCAATTGACCAGACCCCAGCTATTCGTCTACAAGAATTTATTTTCTTTTCAAATTGATTCCCTTAAATATATTCTACAAATTACAAAGTAATCAAAACTTTAATTGATATAATTCTTCTGCCGGAAGTTACATCCTATTGACGATCCGGACACACATGCTGCACGTCCACAAAAAAACTATTATCTGCCTAAATTGATTACCGTTAATGTACCTAACATATTAAGCCTTAATCATGACGTCAATTGATTTACTTTTCAGCCGGATATTATACCCAATTGATGATCCGGACAGCCCGGCTCAGGTTTACTCGGACGGTCCGGAAAGCGTCCGTGACGGAGACTACGTCCGCCTCTTCCACCCGCTGACCAACACCTCGCTGGCCGTGGCCCCGCTTAGCGCCTTCGTCGTGCGCAAGCACAAACTGGTCTATGCGGACCATTACGTGTGTATTGACATTCAATGAAATCATTATAGAATACATTATAAATCGCTAAGATTTTCGACACGAAAATCTCAGATTTTCGACACAAAGATCTTAGATTTTCGACACAAAGATTTTATATTTTCGACAAGAAAATCTTAGATTTTCGACACGATTAAAATGACACGATTTTTTGTTCGCTTAGATTTTCGACACGAAAATCTATGATAAAGGTAACTAACTGTGATTGTAGTTCTTTACCTATATTTGCTGGTAAGGATGACGCGTATATACGTCATAATTTATGAAACTGAGATTTATAGTGCTGAGATTTCAAACTAAGGCCTGGATAATCAATGGGTTTATTATGCAATACGATTGAGGAAGACACTGCTTGATAATTATTGTTCAGTTCAATGATTGATTTTAAAATTATAACAGTTTTAGATTGAGGTCACACAAAAGGATATACGGAGAAACTTATCATTAAATCCTTCGCAGACGCTGCAGCAGCCTCCCGCTGAGAACTATAATCCTTTACTGGGGAATACTCCTGACGACATGAGTCACGGTGAGCCATAATGTGCATGGAAAACATGATGTTTTTTTGAGAGCCGGAAGCTATGAAAACATTTTTTTTAAACGTTTTATTTTCTTACGAACTAATCTAAATTTTCATAATCAATTTCTACTGAGTAAATTTTTTTTAACTTTAACCTGATTTTTTTTATGTTTTTGACGATGAAAACGTCAAATATTTTGATGTTTTTGACGATAAAATATTAAAGGGTGAATTTACCATGAGTATTCTATTTGCTTCAAATTCTTGGAAAATTTAAATGAAATTGAAAATAAATTATCCATAAAATTTTCAATTCATTCATTTCAGAGCCACCTTCATCCCATAACTGGAAAATCGTAGTAGCAGAAGAAGACAAAATATTGCACAAAATTCTGCTTCAGCACCCGCATGGAACAACAGAAAATAACCCCGCCCTCGAGCCTCTCCGGACCCGCTTCTCACTCATCAACCTAGAGTTTGGCTGCGCGCTCACCTGGTCTCTCGAGAAACTCGGAGCCAAATGGTGAACATATTTCTTAGAAAATATTACTCTGAATTGATCGCAGAAAATATTGCTCTGAAGCTTTGCGAATGAACACAAATAATGGGAGTCTATAGAACTTCATATGTTACTCATGTGGCAACTTTTTTCTGCTTTATTTTGTAACTAACAGGTTAGCATTGCATTGCATAGTGACACACTTTCCCTTTTATCCAGTAGTGGGTCAAATTGTGGAAATAGTGACACACTTTATCATTTATCCAGTAGTGGGTCATATTGTTCAAATAGTGCCACATTTTCTCACTTATCCAGTAGTGGGTCATATTGTGCAAAAAGTGACACACTTTCTCTTTTATCCAGTACTGGGTCATGTTGTCCAAAAAGTGCCATAGTTTCTTAACTTCAATAAGAGCAGAGATCGAATGAAGCATTTATTCGTATTTTTTTCGGGATGGTTTATGATATTGACCACAAGGCCAAAAAATGCATCGCTATTTGAAGAAAGTTCTTCTTACTTCTCTGAGTTGATCATTGCAGAACATGATTTCATTAGGAATAATTTTTACGCGGTTTTGCATCATATTTGAGATCGTTTTCAACTTGTTTTTTTTTATCAATATTTTCGTCAATGTTACATTTTATACCTCCAACGTAATTCGTGGTCCGTGCCACATATCTAATGAAACTGAAAATGTAAATTAAGAAAAATTACTTATATACATCACATCCTCGAATCAGAAATTATCCTTTTTAAATCGAAATAATAATTTTGAGACCTGATTTCATCAATTCCTTTAAAAAAAATTTTTTATTGAAAGTAATTATTTGGGAATATTATCTTATTTATCAGTAACTTTAATTAGAAATTAAATATTTTTTTATTTTTACAGGGCCGAAGGCCAGGAGGAAATTACATGCAGCAAAAACCTCAAGGCACCGGAAGCTTTGTGGCGCATCGAGGCAAATCACAACCCCTACAACAACCACAGTTAGTGCTGGTAGCTCACAGTTGGTGCTGGTAGCTCTCAACCCCTACAACAACCACAGTTAGTGCAGGTAGCTCTCAACCCCTACAACAACCACAGTTAGTGCACACAGTTAGTGCTGGTAGCTCTCAACCCCTACAACAACCACAGTTAGTGCAGGTAGCTCTTAACCCCTACAACAACAACAGTTAGTGCGGGTAGCCCTTGGTCCGGTTAGCGTAATATTTCTTCTTCTATTATGTAGCATTTATAAAGTAATAAAGTAATAAAGGAATAAAAAATAATATGTAGGTAGAAGCAAAATTTTTAAACCCAAATCCGTATCACACAGGTACCACCTTCAGTAGCAAAACTAAAAAAATATTTCAACATGCAATAACCAATAACTTTTTTTTAATATCTTCGTAATTGATAAGTTTAATTCTTATTAAATCCCGAATCCCAGGATAGTTCTATATAATTTTCTTTATTTTTTCATCTCTGATGCATTTTTTGCAGACGTGAGTGCCAGGGAGTTGACACAGCCACTCTCAGCGTTAGGTCGTCTCGTAGAGACTCACCTGCTCATGCACTGGACCAACGGTCACCTCAAACCTGACCCCGCCGAGCTGTACAGCCCCTTCTACCACCGGCCCTGGATGTGGCCAATTGTCTATAAGGTACCCCACTTATAGGCTATACAAGATCTGTATTATATACAAGATCTTGAATTGCATGCAAGATCTTGTATTGATCTTGTATGCAATGAGATCTTGCTATACACAGAATACACAGATCTTATATACAAGATCTGTGTATTGCAAGGTCAGTAGGACTCGGCTCGTCCAACCCTCTTCCTACTCTCGGGCGAATATAAAGTCGGAAAAATAAGATTCTGGATAGAAACTGATTTTGGTCTGTTGGCAAAGCAGACCCAGAATGATTTCGCGCCCAGTGTAGTACGTATTTGGCCGAAGCCTAGCTAGTCAGTCCCCAAATTTTGATAGGGTCCAAATTTCTTATTTCCTATCTCGTAATTTTGAATCTCTTCATCCCGAATATCGTATTCCCAAATCCAGTCAATGCTTTTTTAATCTAATGTACATTTTTTTCCAATAAAGTGCCTGCAGTTCCTACCAATACTTAGCTTGTTCCTCCCAGCTAACCCTCATTTTAACATTCTAAGGAAAATAAGTTTTCAAGATTGAATAAAATTGATTTTGGAAATAACATTTGAATTTCATAGTCACTCTTCCCTCCTTTCTATTTTGCAATACCTGTTGATTAAGCCAATAAGTGTAAGAAATGAAAAAAATGCCCATCTCAGCCATGACACGTAGGCGCGTATCCTGGAGATGTAGCTCTATTTGACATCTAACGTTTTCAACGGCATTCCAAAGTAAAACCATATAATTTATAATCCATAACTTAAATTTCAATATTATTTCCCATTATTTAAATGTCATTCTGCCATGCGCTTATTATTATTCGATTGAAATTGATACGTTTTTAATGTTACTTAGCCCGTTTATCGACGTTTCCATTAGAATTGTTGTAAATTCACGTGGCATTTTCTTTGATTTATTTACTTCGATGAGTTTTAAATAACATTCAATTAACCTAACCTGATCCGTAATCGGAGCCGTGCTTTTATCATATACCATTTACGACTTTTTATATTTACATTCAAAGAATTTTCGTGATAATTTCATGTACTATTTACATTATTTCATATGCCATTACATGCAAACAATTTCCGCAGTCGCAGCCGTGGTACGACGTGAACTTCCGTATAGTGTTACTGGGCAACCCTCTACTGATCTGGCTGAGCACCGCAGCCGTCGTCGCTGCCGCGGCGCTGCTGCTGCTCAGAGCCTTCAGGCGTAGACGGTGTCCCAGGCACCGCCTCCCTCAGGGTGAGGTGTTCCGGTTACTCACTTAGAAATGGGTCATGCTGTCTAAATTGTGACACACTTCATGCACGTAGCACTGGTGCGCTTCTCTGCCGAACCAAACTGGGCACGCGATGACCCACACTAAGACAAGAAATGCATCGATATTGGACAGACCCTCGCTCATTCCTCTGAGTGTGTTCTACCTCCCGGGGCCATACTTTCAAAACTCGCTAAGTGAACGTAAGTATTTACGCTCTATTTTCTTGTCTATGATTGGTGGATTTTGCTCGAAATGCCTCAATGATTGGCTGATGAGCTTAAGATCTCTTAACTTTTTTTGAAAGTATGGTCCCCGGTTAGGAAATCCTAGAGTGTGTGATTAATTTCAGTCGAAAATAAAATTTAATAAGGCATTCAGAGCTGGACATTTTTTCACACCTGTTCTCGGTCAAAGTTTTTATTCTGATATACTTCTGGTACTAAAGAAATCATTAAATCCTTCTCATAATTTCTTTCTATAATTTCATTATCCTACATTTTCATTATCCTGGTGGCGCCTTCAGTTTTTATATCGTGTAACTGATAAATGAATAACAGAATAAATTATTTAAGATTGATTTTTTATACAGAAGAACTGACGTTGGAATACTGGTGTCGGTGGCTGCTGGTGGCATACCTCCTGCACCTGTCTCTTATACACATCTAGATGTGTATAAGAGACAGCTGTCATCTGATCCAGCACTGTCATCTGATCCAGCATTGCCATCTGATCCATCATTTTCATCTGATCCAGCACTGTTGTTGTTCTATTTATTCGCACTAAATCGTCGGCCACCGAAAGCCAGTTAGGCATTTGATCCAAACTTGCAGTATTTATGTTGGAAGGAATTTGTATGTAAGTCACAAATTAACTGGCTGGTATCCTGACAACGGTTATGATAGAAAAGAAGAATGCGTACGGAGCTGCTTAACACGAAAAATGCGTTTCGTGTATTTGGGTTATTGTCTGGAAGCTTTCATTCTCCTCAAAGGTCTTTCTCTTTCATACTTTTAACCAACCAGATTGTGTACAAATTAAATGCTGTTTTCTCTAATAAAGAAATAATTGAAAGAGCGTGATCTTTACTTCTATGTATTTGTAGCGGGCCTATGAAAGAACCGGCTGAAAGTACTAATATATTTAAAACTGTTTGTCATTTATTTACCTTGTATATTTCATATGTTTAGATAAATTCGAGGAACAATAATTAAATTCAAAGATAAACTTTTTGCAATAATTCCTGAGATTGATCTTACTTAATTTGAGCGTAAGATCGATCATAAGCTGCCGTTTGTTTCTGTGTGTATAAGTTATCAACATTCATCCGTCAGCAACAGAACACAGGTAGAAAATTAAGTCTTAAGCGCCTATTAATTAAATAATTAAAATGTTGGTTCTGCATTTCTTAATGCTTCTGTCGAGTATATTTCAATTAAATCATCATTGAATTTCGGGTTAAATAGAATATAAAATAAAAAATTCGATGCAATTTAATCAGTATGAAACAATTTTGGAAGACTAAAAGGCCTAATTGCATTCAAGTATGATCGTGCTAGCTGTTTGCTATGATCTGTGAATGCGACACGATGATGAAAATGTATGAGAATAGCTGCAATTACATGAATAAAAAACTTATCTTTATTATTTTTTAAAGCCTTCATCATCGCAACTAACTTGACTTGCAATGCAATTTATAAACAAAGCAAACTACGAATAAGTAATCTTCACACAATCAATGCAAAAAAGATCAACACAGTATGCTATATAAGCCCTGAATTATTCATGTATCCTTTATAGGATACATAATTATTTATATTTATGTACATAAATTATACATATTTATGTATCCATCCTTTAAAGGAGCAGGCGTCACATCGCACCTCAGAGGAGAGGGTATTGATGGCCTGAAAACTTGAAAAAATCTAATGAAAAACGGAAAAATTCATCAGGTCACCATCATCATAATAACATCAGGTCACCATCATCATGAAATATCATCTGGTACAGGTGAAATAAAATCGCATTTATATTAATCCAAAAGCGCAGCAGCCATGAAAGCTTCTGTACATCAAATTTGTGCTCACGTGAAGCGATAATAAAATAACAATAAACTATCTGTTCCTTTACAATTATTTATACCAGCGTTTCCCTAAGTGGACAATATTGCTATAAATAATTGAAGTAATTAAACATAAGCATAGATCCGTGTTAAAAATAAAAATATGTAAAAAAAAATTGCAGGAGAAGTGCATTTTTATATGCAAAAATTCGACTGGGTTTAATTGAAACATTTTCCATTCTAAAATACGGTAGCTTAACAGCAATAAAACGGATCTTCAATGCTGTACGTTAACGCTGGGAAATATATATGTTTTGGCATTTATTACAGCGATAGTTTATAGTTCAATTGCAGGATCAGATTTACATTCAACTGCAAGAAACCACGCTAAACTACGAACCAAGAAAATTTAGACTGGGTACGAACAAATAATTAAAGGATAGAAATTGAAAAATTAATTTGGTAAAAATAGCAAACAAAATTGAACTTAGATAACTGTAATTGAAGCTTTAGTGTTGAGCAGAGTTTGTTGTATCACAGTTCTTTGTTTATCTACACATAAACATTTGAATAGATCACGAACTAGTGGATCCGGCTTCACTTATTATTCACAAATATAATGCGGTACGATTAAGAAATTCATACCTTATAGAACTGCGAAGCTTACATTTTCAGCGTTGAGAAAGCTTGGCTTGTCTCAAAAGCATGGGAATCGCTTAAACAGTTATGCATAGATACCAAGCCATTCACATTAAGGTTTAAAGGCAATAACAGAGATGTTTAAAAAAAATTCCCACTTGAAAAACTGTCATTATTATTGAAATCAAAATATTCATTGAATGATCACAGTAATCTAGAGTAACGGCATTTAACATTAAGAGGATACGGCTGTCGACTGAATCACGCAGCCTAGAAGGACCAGCATAGCGAAGGCAACCGCCTGCATGTGTGAAGGTCGGGACAGAGTCGTGGAGGAGTTGCATTTATCACCATGACACACGCACGCCTCCTAGCAAGAACAGCAGAGCGAGGGCGGCCGCCTGTATGTGTGAGAGTCGCGACAGAGTCGTGGAGGAGTTGCACTTAGTACCGCGACACACGCACGCCTTCTAGTAGGAACAGCAGAGCGGTGGCGGCCGCCTGCAGGTGTGAGGGTCGCGACAGAGTCGTGGAGGAGTTGCACTTAGTACCGCGACACACGCACGCCTCCTAGCAGGAACAGCAGAGCGAGGGCGACCGCCTGTATGTGTGAGGGTCGCGACAGAGTCGTGGAGGAGTTGCACAAATCAAATTGACACACGCACGCCTCCGTGGTGACGGTGCCGTTCTTGCTCAGGTAGCAGTCGTCGTACTTGGTATCAGCTCCCGTGTCAGCTTTCGTCACGTCCACCAGGGTGCCGCAGAAGAGTGACATGTACAGCGGTTTGTCTGGACATGCACACACGTGATTAGAGATTCCTTCACGTTTCCTTCAAACGTTAGAGAAATTCCTTCGCTTAAATAGAATTAATTTGCGAATAAAATAATGTATTAAAAATACCTAGGTGAACTAGTAGGCTGCATTCCTAAGATTCGCAATTACTAAATTAAATATTTCAGTAATTTATTTGAATTGTTAGTGCTGAGCACAAGACTTTAAAGTTCGGAAAAACCTACGTTTATTAAAGCTGCAGTTAAAATTCAAGCACTCTCTTAGTCATGTAGCCATTTTGTGATAAAACTACAATTTTGTGGCTCAAAGGCCCCTAAACACAATTTTTCTAGTGCCAGGCTAACTTCAAACATAAAATTTGTTTAAAATATTTGCTAAGTAAACAGCATTTGATTGATATCGTTAATAGCGTATGCTCGTCAATTAACGCATCAATATACAGATACTATATAGTGTTTCAATAAAGCTGCAACAAAACACTTCATTCCACAGTAAATTTGTACCAACTTACTCAGTACGTCGTAGCGCACGTATCTGAGACACTGTAGATTCTTCTTGCACGTGTACGTGGCGCAGGCTTTGGCGCTGCAGACCTCGTTCAGGTCGGTCACGTTGGGCGGACTTTCTGGCGGCACTGTGGGAACACGGCTTTTGTGAGTTGTTGGCTTAAAATCGCGTCTCGAACGTGTGTTTTGAAACAATCCATGTCTTGAATGTGTTTTTTGGAAAAAATCCATGCCTTGAATGTGTTTTTTTGGAAACAAACCTTTTTTTTCTTCTCGCTTCGACTCACCGACATGTGGAACAGCCCCCCTGATAGCATCGTTGACGCTCCGAGTATGAACATCTTCAAAAACAGACTAGACGAAGCTATGCAGGAGCATATGTTCAGTCTTAAAATGCCTAGCAAATTACGGACCAGGCAATAAGTCCAGCAGCTATATCAAACAATCGTCAGTTATGGAAAGATCGGGTTCCAAAGGCCGGATCCCTTGTGAATCAAGTCTCGAAAAGTTCAAGAATCGGCAACAGGCCATGGGCCTATTTCTTCAACGCCGACACTTCAATTCTATTCTATTCTAAACCATGTCACCAAAGATATGTTTGGAAACAATCCGCGTCTCCAACGAAGATTGTGAAACAAAGCCAGTCTTCAGCCAGTACTGCATATCTAAAATATAACAATTTGTTAAGCTAATTTTAGGGACAGAGAGAGTAATTTCTTTAATCGATTTCAGTTTTCAGTCAATACGAAACAATACAGGGCTATTCCAAATGATGGACCCAATTTAATAAATTTGTATTTATTCAGGTATAAAATTAAATGAATAATTTATGCACCACCATAGCGAGAAAGTTTCGAATTTTTTATTACATTTATACATTTCTATATACAATTTATAAATACGGAAAAACTTTGAATCTTTTACTTTCCTTTGGTGTATAAATTATTCATTTCTTAATTCCTGCCTAATTAAACACGAATTTATTAAATTGGACCCATCATTTAGAATAGCCCTATTTAAAAAAAAAACATTGTGTTATTCCCACTATTTTATATTCTATAACCTAAGGTAATTGAGAGAATCATAAATCATTTCAATTAAGAGAAGCACAAATAATGCATGGATCTAAAAAAACCTTATTGACCACGCAAACGATAAGCCTGAATCAATCAACCTGTCAGGGTTGATTGATTTGTAAACTCCGCTGCTAAGGCGTCACTAATCTGGACTTTTTCACCCATCATTTGAGCTGATGGGGTCAAATTCTACGCCACCGGCCAAATTAGCTCATGACGTATGCGAAATGATTAATAATCGTTACCTATTATACACTCATAAAAAATTGCATTCTCCAAGACCACAGAGAGATATGACGTGCAAACGTACTTGGAAACTCTCACCGAGAGGAATGGTGGCTCCGGATGACCAATTTAAATAAATCAACTGCGCTCAAATAGCGCTGTATTTTTTGACTCGCTTACCCCATTTGTGGGTCATATTGATTTATTACTGGCCCTTTAAATTTCACATATAACTCACTTGTGGCCCTACGTATCCATGCTACGGGTGGCGTCAAAAGCGATCTTATGCCACAAGTGAGTCATGCCTGAAATTTAATAAATAACAGGTAAATTATCTAATGATTAATTTTAAATAATAGTATTAGGTCAGCATGACCTACGAATACCGCAGGTGAGTCAAAAAAGTGCATCGCTATTTGGACGCAGTTGACTCATCTAAGTGGGTCATCCATCTAATTGTTACATTCATGTACATGAACTTGTTATGTTTAAGCAAATATAACTTGCAACTTTTTTTACTTAAGCTATATACAATTCATTGATTTTTCTCTCGTCAAATCCGCATTATTGGAATCGCTAATTTCCTTCGGATGTGGCACTTCACGGTTTATTCCTTCAATGTGTGAAATTTACTTGCCTTATGAATTTACTAGCATTGTCGTTTTATTAATGGATTAAAGGTCGACCAATCACGCACTGGTGAGTGCAGGTTTGGATCAGACCTACCTGGCTTCATTGCCGAAAAAGAGAAAGTCCATCGCTTTCAATTGTTGTAGTGCGCAATAAATTAACTATTTACTAACACCATTCTATCAAACATTCGTAACTAAGCATATGACTTCAAGAGGGATTTTCTCATCTTTTCACTCATGTAATACATCGGAGTGGAAAAAAACCTATCCATAAGTAACCTAAAAAAACTGCGTTGTAACACATCCATGCGACAACATTTATTCTCGCTTCGAGTCACCGACATGTGGAACAATATTCTATTCTATTCTATTCTATTCTATTCTATTCTATTCTATTCTATTCTATTCTATTCTATTCTATTCTATTCTATTCTATTCTATTATATAACTCTCAACTCTCATCGCCACGTAATGGCTAAAGGGACCAAGGGGCCATCGGTGCCACATGCACCTATATTATGTTTTGTTCCACTATGTTTTTATAAATGGAACACAATAATAGCATTCATTCCATGGTGATATCTTAAATGCATTTATTATATGTGTGTTTCTCGGCTCTCACCTGTTCGGATGAAAGGTTCGAAGCAAGGATATCCGTTATCACGATTAGCTTCACAGTCGGTGTTGTTCGAGTCCTTCACCCACGTCCATTGGTAGCACTCACGCAAAACTGTAGAAAATAAATAAAGATCAGTAGTTTGTTATGTTCGATTCCTTTACCCACGTTTCCTCGAAACACTATTTTAAACTTCCTGCGAAAAATAAATATGGATCAGTAGTCGGATATCAGAATCTATATCAGTTGTCGGATAGAGATTCTGTATTTTCTGTGGAATGTACAGAATATTTCAGAAGATTTTTTGCCTATCCACTGCGTACCAATTAACAGCTATAACGGAGCTTTATTTGCTTTCTCTTGCTATCGGGGATAGAAAGATTAGATAGAAAACCGTATGATTTATAGTCAATATATCATATTTGAAATTAAATCGTATAAATATTCTGGTTGGAGAAACAACGCAATTGCTCAGGAATTTTTTTTTAGATTTATCTTTTTATATATTGTCAGTAAAAAAGTTTATTGAAGAGTTAAACTTTATATACCGTTTTCTATGACACTTGATGAACTACTGTCTGACTGTCTACTTCGAGTTCATTAGACAATGTTTTTCTCCCAAATAATCCGCTCTATTGAACTAATATAATATATTTCGTGTGAGATTAATATTTCGAAATATGCAGCCTCAATTTCTAAATGAAAGGATTAACTCATGAAGGTTTCTGCCCAAACTATACTGCGGAAGATTCATCGATATTATTTAGTCGTAGGTAAAACTTGAAACTATGCAGTGTTAGTCTCGTTGAATATTGCTGATAGAATAAGCTCTGAATAATAAATTTATCCCTGAATGAGCTGATGATTTGGCCTCAGTGCGGTCATACCCTCTTGGGCAACAGTGTGCCTCGGCAAGGAAGACATCACCAGCGCCAGGAGGATAGTCGTGAGTGCAGAACACCTCATGCCGCCTGTCATCTAAACACAAGGAAGAGGTTGTTATTATAAAATAGAATAGAATAGAAGTGTCGGCACTGAAGAAATAGGCCCTTGGCCTGTTGCCGATTCTTGAACTTTTCGTGACTTGATTCACAAGGGATCCGGCCTTGGTAGCACGATCTTACCATAACTGACGATTGATTGAGATAGCTGCTGGACTTATTGCCTGGTCCGTAATTTGCTAGGCATTTGCACGAATTATTTTATAACGTAAACTTATATAATAGTGCTGAATAAGTTACTGGACAAATAGAATAATTTCTACAAGTATGAGTTAAGTTCTTCGGATCCTAATCCAAAAGAGATGATCGGATTAACGAGTTGATATTTGTACTACTAAATTCGGGTACTGCTACTAGTACTCGACTTGCTTGCCGATTGGAAAATCTTTAAAATATGAACTGCACTTATAAACCAAGCACTATTGCACCAGGAAATCTGGAATACAGTGAAATATATTCGATTGCATATTTTGGTGGACAAATTCACCTTTAAACATCACTGTTCATAACTGATAAGTGCATTTGATGGGTCAGTATAACCCAGCGAGGACAAATGAACTCACATGTGTAAGTTTTATTATGCTATGCTTGTTCAGCTATAAGCAATATTCGCCTGACAATTGTTACCACAAGGCCACAATATCGATTTAGATAATAATTTTTACAAGCCGTTGTGTGTTCCGAATTTCCTCCTCGCTCTCCAACTTTGGTGATCTTAGCCCGTCAGCCCACTGCCCGCGCAAGCCTAACGACAGTCAAGAATTTAAGGTTGAATATAAAAGAGATGCATTGAATATACGGTAGAATCACTTGTAAATTTTAATCGCCAAACCTCTTTTTGCATTCTAAAACGACAAACACCAAATTCATTTCGTTTTTCTTCAAAACACAAAAAGCTTTGATCTTCTCTAGAAACGGAAGTGAACTGAAATTCAAGTTTAGATTCACGCATGAAAAAAGTTAATAATTAAAGTACATCTTATGCTATGAAAGCTCTTAATATTAAAAATCTAATAACAAATTTACATCAATGTTTTCATAGAACAGTCTATAGTCACTTTGTACCTGTTAACTTGAATGCACTACAGTATTAACCAAAAAGCTGCTGCGTTTACACTAAGCGAATGCTTCGTCCAATATGCTCCGACATTATCTTGCAGAAAACTAAGACTATACCTGCAGTTCTTATCAGCTGGCTACGAAGATCCTGCCACTGATAAGATAAATATTGATCATGACGCAAGAATAATAAATTTATCAATAATACAAGCTTTTTTTACCGGTTTACGAATTGGGGTGAAGATTTTTTTACCGGATAACATCAATTTAGAACTATGTCCAATGTAAGAACTATACGCATTTCCTTTAGAACCCGTCTTTAAGCCTCTAGTGTGCAGTCAAATATATAGTAATAGTTTATGAATCTAAATGCAGCATTTCAGGGCTATTCTAAAGAAGATGAGTGTTTAAACGACATGTCTTACGCATGCGCTTGCACTTCAATAATTGAGCCATCATGAGCCACATCATTTTCGACTTATAATACCCAATTTAAATTTAAAAGGGAATAATTGCTTAAATCGGTTTTTTACTTGTATGCACTGACAATCTTTATGTATAAGATAAAAATATTAATATTTAGAGATACTTGTCGTAGTTTCTAAGGTATGAGTTGAAACGTACATATCAATGATATCATCAATACAAATTATTTTCTTAGAAGCTTCTTGGTGTGTCCGAGTAAACGCAATTGAGATTAAGATGAGAATAATAGTGTAAAATTGATTATTACTACAGAAACTGCTCTAAATTGGCAAAATTAGGCCAGGTTGACATATCAAACGGCCGTTATTATTATCAGTTGCTTCGCATGTGCGCCGCATGTGCTGATATTCAAATTTTGTCATAATCTTCGCAAATAGAATGGACTTTGGATTGGAATTTGAGTTGAAAACACTTTGAATGTTTTTCCGTTCAAAAGTGCCTCAGGATTATAAAGAAATTGTTAGTAAAATATATAAATTGGCTCTAATTTATTTTCCTTATTTCGTGTTAGGGGGGAAGCCCTCGGCCATAACGGGAATTCATTTGAGGCGATAGTGTGGTGGCAACAATGTGCCATGCGCGCGGTGTGCTGCTTTGTAACCGCTACTGATTGATACTGCAATAAGTTCAAAAGTCTTCTGTGCAGACTGTGCTGATAGTAAATAAGTGAAGAAAATAAGAACAAAACTCATGCTTCGTCATGTTGCGTTCCAAGAAAGATGTCGATCGGCATGTGCGAGACATCCTGTCTAAAGTCAAAAGTGACAACGAAGTAAGTGTGTTTGTTATCGACGCATGTTCCCAAGTCTTGGATTAACGGCCATGACGACCGACCGGTATCAAAGATGCGGGTTACATAGGCTACCTTACCTACCCTAGTCATCACTCAATGCAGGCTTTTTAATTTATTTGACGGGGATAGGCATTGCTTTCTAAATAGTGGATTGACACTGTAAGTGTAAGATGCAGAGAAGAGAGTGAGCAAATATCCTAATATTTTCAATGACGCGTCTACCGTCTACGTCAATCAATGTCCGTAATCATGTTGCTTCGTCATGCCCAAGAATTGCAACAGAAACTGCTCTAAATTGACGAAATTAGGCCAATCTTGCCCACAGACATTTATGTAAATACCTCTTTTAATGTTTTTAACAATTAATGTTGAATAATTGGCTGATTTTGGTCACAAATTCTCAATAAAACTGGTGGCATAGCTAGCTATTTGGCATTGAATCAAAATGACATGATCTTAATGTGAAATATTTCTACCTACTCGGCTACTTGTCAATCATTTTGGGAAATTTGAAGGTTTGTAGCCTGTAGGTGAAGCCATCCATAAACAAAGCAGAAAATGGTGGTGCTGGTTGTCGATTCTGTTTTTGTTGCCTTTACCTAATTTATTATGAAAATAAAAAATGTGGTATACCTACGCGGCTACGCCTACGATCCTACCTACATTTCTTCTGCTCTTATCATTTTTCGAGCAGTTTTTACCCATGATTTTTAGGCAATTCTGCCCTAGCTATCCTTATTTATTAATGATAAATTGTTATTTGTCAATTGTCTTTAAACAGGGTAAACGCGGTATATTCCGACATCGTAGGTAATTCCGTCACTTCTCTAGTTTTTCCTTTATATTAAGCTTTGTTTTAGTTCCATGCGTTCATTGATGGTTGAAATGGTGACGCATAGTGGCAAACCAGAGCTTTTTTTGGAATCAGTTCATTTTAATTTCCTCAAAAACTCAAGATTTAAACCAATTTCTTAAGTATGATAATGCTGGTATGTGGTATCCATGATACTTTACTGGTCTACCTATAGGACTCAAAAATGAACTTGAGGGAGAGTCTAAAAAATTCTCTGCTTTGTCACTATGTGGTGACGTCATACATTTGCGTGTCGAAATACTGCAAAAACACTAGGTCTTGGCCATCTAGTCATTCTAGTGGTAAAATATTGAGATCCAAAGAGAGACAATGCATGCCACCTGGTGAGATCATCGAAAAATGTGTCAAATTTGACAGTTGACCTTGCTCTACCAAATAGTGAATAACTGTTTTTATGGGAAGAATATTATGGTTTGAGATTTTTAAATACGTCTGTAAATATATTAGGAATCCTTTAAGTATACTTGTATTCGTTGATTTCAAGTCGTAAATAAATTAATAGATGATTAAGTTGAGTGATGGATTTAGACCCATCAAAACTAATTCCGACACAACTTGAATTGGACACACACAGATCGTTCCAAGCTTTGTACAAAAATTGAAATTTGCTTAATTAAAAGCCTAATAGCTGCTAATTAAAACATAATTAAGTAGTGTTCAATATTCGTTAGTGTTCTAATTCAAAGCCGTGTTGTATCCCAATACAGCTCACACAGCAAACGGAATTCGAATACGTTGATGTCGGCATTACCTATCAGTTAAATTTGAAGCGCTGACGCAATACGACTCACCACGTGTCGAATATTACCACACACAGTGACGGAATATAGGGATTTGGTAGGTTTCCATTCTAAAGGCTTTTTAATAAAGATGGCAACATTTTGTGACGTTTCATCGTTGCTGACGCGTAGTGAAGTGTTTTGAGAGTCACGTGAAGGCAACAGAACTTACGTAACGCATACGGTTTTTTTTTATAGTTTTTAATTTCTCGATGCGTCCTTAATGTGTCGGAATATACCGCGTTTACCCCACATAGGTATTTTTTAAAGTAAATTTTATTTTGGAGTTGCTGAATTTTGAAAATTTCCTACTTCTAAGCTAGTGCCAAAAAATGTTACTTTTTGAACTGCAAGTGAAGTTTAGAGCCAGAATTTTATGAATTTCCAAGAATCCAAGCCAATGAAGCCATGATTTAATTTCTTTACGCTGTTGCAGTGTTGCTGTGAATACCATAGGCTTATCCAGGCAATTGAAAGCCATTTATGAGCCACAAACTCATTTGCAATGATAAGCATCCATATTAGTACCTTAAATCTTGAATTTTTCCATATAAACATCATCAAGAAGATTTGTCTTCAACTCTTCATTTTAGAGGCAATAAACAAGTGGCAATGTATTGTTCAAGATTTTAGGTTGAAGAAACAATGCTGTTATGATGCAGTCTGAGGCTCTGAGCAATCTGAGGGCTAAGGTGACAAACTATGCAATCACCAACAAAATGTTTTCAGTGCTCTCATTATGCTGGCTATTTTGACAGGGATAGGCTATTGAACCCCAAAAGTTAGAAGATGCATGAAATGACATGTATGTGAATCACAATTTTTTCAATCAAACAAAAGAATATTACATTACAGCCCTGAGATTTCATACCTACTGAAATTATTTATATGATATTAGTGCTGTAATATTTGAGCATTTGACAAGTATATATTCTAGGTTTCATTAATTCTTGAAATGTAATTTTTATTTTAAAACAACTTGTCCTAAATGACAAGCTACCAATATGTTAACCATTTTCTCTTGGATACATTTACCGTCATCAATGCTATTTGTGTATAGTGGCTTGGGACCATGATGTCCCATCAGTTAAAAAATATAACTCGGTACTCACTGCAGTGAGTGACAGAGAGCACATTTTCTTGTCGACGAAAACGTGAAGTCACGGAGGGATGGACGGACATGGCGAGCACAATAGTGCATTTTTTCCAAAAATGAGAAAATGCGCTAAAAAGGGGCTAAAGTAATTTTCTATATTTTCCATCTTAGAGAATACTTTTTATTTTGATGTCCATGAAGTTCTTCCTAATTATGTTTTACTTTTCAGCGCAAGTTGAGAGGATATAACATTGCTCGCTTCTATCACAATGTGGGAGAACACGAGATTGCAAGTCGCTATGTGAGTGAATTCCTTGCTGTGAGGCCCAAAGCTATTGATGGGCATCGCCTCCTGGGACAAATACTTGAAGCCAATGGGAAGAAAGAAAAAGCTGTTCTTGCCTACAAAACAGCTTATGAGCTTGGGGATGGACAGAAAGACTTGGTCATTAAGAGTGAGTAATGAATCTATTTTAGTATCATGTACTTCTTTCTGTATAATTGACACAATTGCATAAAACATAAACATCTGGAACTGTGTTCCTGGGGCAAACAGATTTTTTTTAGACAAATTTTAAATCATCCCTCTGATATTTTAATTTTTATGTTATTATCTTCAATATAATTTTTTGCAGTACGGTATTTGTAACTCAGATGCTCGACAATTTTAGTACCTCCTAACATGTCATACATCCAAAATTTAACTAAATGCATAGAAACTTGGGACTAGTTTAACTGCTGGATTTAATTTTATATCACTTATTTTATAAGTTTTTTGCCCTGATGTTTTTCTATTTACTTTAATATTGAATTGATCATTTGTGATGATACTAATTTTCTTTAATTCATTTGTGCAGTATGTGAGCTTTATAGTGAGGTGCCCTGTGACGTGTCTGTCCTCATGCACTGGGCTGATGAAGGCCAAAGACTTTGCCCTCATCACGAGGCCATCACAAAACTTCGCTCCACCATTATTTCCAACTCTTCTGAGGCCAACTCAAAAGCTAAACTGCGAGACCTATATTTGGGTGAGCCTATTAGTGTCCAATATTTATGCTCAAGATGACCTTCCATATGCTCAAAAAATTAGCATATAATTAGAATGTTAAAAGCTTAATTTTTGTATTACTATTTGAATAAACATGGCTGTCAGTGTCTCAAGTTCCAAAAAGATGGAAATTTTCTAGGAGAGGAGCTTTGCACAGAAACTTATTTTGATGGCAGATTATCAGCCTGTAACTTGTATACTTTGGATGTTACAAGTTGTCAATATCTTATTATGTCTGTAATAGTTGTTGATAAATTTTTTGTAAATGAACCAGGAGGTGCAATAAGCTTCAAATGCGCTAATGAAATTCTCAATTTGAGGATTGTGTGTACATGGAATTTATTAATTAAAAGTGAATTTTTACTATGATGCTCACCAGAGAATTGTAGCAATGGTGAAAATTTCAAAGATTGAGAATTATAAATAGCTCAAAAGTCACCTTATAGTTGGGACTCTGTAGATGTCTGATAAAGAATCCTGTAAGACATGAAAAACGAATCCTCCTGGCTACTATCCAATATTGATATCTTTACTCTTGTTTCCATCACAAATAAAAACTCTGAAAAACGCAGCAGCAGGATTATTAGTGAACTGAAATATTGAACATTGATTTAAACTCTCTGAACTCAACTGTCAGAAAGCAACCCTAGAGTTTTTCTCTGCATTTTGATTAGTGGTAATAGGTATTTTTTTATATTCTCAAATATGTTTATTTTTTTATTAAAGACCAAATCAAGGTGAATCCCGCATCTGCTGAGCTGCAAAGCAACCTCGTTCGTCTGTACTTGGACTGGTCTTCTGAAGACCCCAATAAACTGCAAGAAGCCTACAACTATGTGCGCGACGTGGAGGCAAGACGGCCGTTCACTCACTCGCTGCTCTGGTATCAGACGATCATCGAAGTTGCTGATGTTAGTTCCTCTTATTGTTAAATTATGTATTATTTATTGTTATTATTATCATTGTTTTTATACCGCTATAATATTTATAGTGTTATTATGATAATATTAGAAATATGGTTACTTACCCCAAGACGGCCATTCACTCACTTGCTGCTGTGGTATCAGACGATCATCGAAGTTGCTGATGTTAGTTCCTCTTATTGTTGAATCGTGTATTATTTATTATTGTTATTATCATTGTTTTATACCGCTATAATATTATTTATACAGTTATAATGATAATATTAGAAATATGGTTACTTACCCTGTGATGTATACACACTTTTTTCCCCACAGTACTCTACTGTATATAATTTAAATGATTATGTTCCATGTATTTCATAAACGGTTATTTCCAAGATTAAATTAACACAATTGTGCATTCAACATACAAATTGTTACCAAAGTTAACTGGTAGTTATAAAACTCGAGTCAAGCTCTAAACAAATGCTTAGAGCTTGTTTAGAGCCTTTCTTTTAAATTTGATTGAATGATGTATCAACTTTGTGTAAAGAGTTTATTCCTGATTTATTTTTATGTTCAACAGTGTCATGAAAAGCAGAGTGGTAACAGTAGCTCGCTGGGTGTGGACTACCACTCGTGGGTGTTGACAGCTCTGGACAGACTTGTACATCTCACTCTTTGTGCTGCCAGCTCCTCGTCTGTGTCGTCAATCGTGGACTCAAATCGAGAGTCATACCTCACAGAGGCTGCTAATCTTCTGCAGAAGTGAGAAACTTGATTTTTAGCTAATCATTCTTAAAATCATTTATTTTATTGAGATATTGTTTATTATTGACGTACTATGTTAGTTTGAAATTATGTTTCTCTATTACCTTGACAGATTTGACAACAAACTGGCTGCTGTGAAAAAGCTAGGATGTGGACCAGAGCTAGAGCAAGCCATGGCTGGTCAGCTCTTCTTCCACTTGGCTCAGTATGTGATGATCAGTGCTAAGAGGGTGAGTTGTTAATTAATTTTAAAAAGCCAGATGATATCTGCGATATTTTTAATTTAGCACCTACAGTTCCTCGAGTTTTGATTTAAGAGATGAACATGAAATTACTTATTATCTTGTGCTGTGCCATTCATGAAAAGACCAGAATATCTTGAAACCCTCTATCTGTTATTATTTCTTTTTTATCCTGAGTAACAATTTCTTAATGATACTCGCTACTGTTCATCATAAAAAAATGACACGCTTCCTCTGACCAACAGACAAGTTTCCCACTGAACCCCAACTCTGTGTCATGCTTGCTGCTGCACGCGTGCGCGTCGCCGGCGCCCGACGCCAGCAGACACTGTTACCTGCACCGACTCGCGGCGTACAGGTTGTCTCAAGGCTACCACATCGTGCATAGCCTTGCCAAGGACGCAGGCACTTCCCCTACCACGCTCCTTAACAAGGTTTGTTTAGGAACTTCATAACTACGCAGTGTGATGAAATTTCTTTGCTAGCCATTCAACTTATCCTGTTGAATATTATTACGCCATACTCGCGTATGTGGATTGAATTATAAAGAGTTTTTATACAACTAATTGTACAGTGAATGCATTGTGATATTGTTTACATTCTGTGTTTACCATCGACGTAGGCCATACTTTCAGAACTTGCTTAAGTACATGCATATATATATTATTATAAGATGGCAGAAATTTCTTGATTATATGCGTACAATTTATGACCAGAGAGTGCATTTGAATTTTCAAGGAGTTGAACAATTCTTAGATGATGTGCACATGCAGAGATGTGTATAAGAGACAGCACTAGGTCAGATCTGGTGGGAAAATGTTAAAATCCTCAGAGCAAAAGCTCATGTCACCCAGTGAGAACATCGAAACACGTGTCGAAGTTGATAGTTGACCTTGCTCTACCAAATAGTGATAAACTGTTTGTGTAGAAAGAATATTATGGTTTGAGACTTTTAAATAAGTCTGTGAATATATTAGGAATCCTTTAAGTATACTTGTATTTGCTGATTTTAAGTGATGAATAAATTAATAGATGATTAAGTTAAGAGATGGTTTTAGACACATAAAAAGTAATTCCCACACAGCTCGGAATTAGACACACAGCTCATTTTGAGCTGTGTTGTATTCCAATATAGCTCAAACAGGGTGTCGGAATTCCCACACAGGGCATCAGAATTCCCACACAGGTCATCGGAATTACGAATTATGGTTTTGAAGCGCTGAAGCGCTGTCGGAAAGTTGGAATTAGTCTCACAATATGCTGAATTTAGTCACACACAGCGTCAGAATTCAGCGATTTTGTAGATTTAAATTCTTAAGGCTTTTAAATAAATATGGCAACAGTTTGGGACGTATCATCATTGCTGGCGCATAGCGTGGTGTTTTGAGAGTNAATGTCATTGAAGTTACTCCAATTAGTCCAATGTAATCCCAAAGATGAAGAAGTCTACAACCTTCTTTGAAGCAAAATTTAAAGATCACACCAGATTCTTGAAGAACTCCTTTTTCGAAGGTGCCGTCGCTGCGTATAGTTCGGGGTTTGGCTTTGTGGCCGTGGGTGTCACGGAGCCAGTTCAATTCATCGCGGATCTTGAGATGAAGTTGTTCAATAGATAGACTTCGAGACAATTCGAAATATATAAGCATACGCACACCTAGCGGCTGATATCTCATCTGTAATTGATGGGTTCAGCTTAAAAAGCCATCAGAGATTGGCAGACTGATCTATGAATTCTCAACTTTTTTAAAGTATGGCCCCTGATATTCATTAGTATCACAAATAATTCATCTATTGTTCATACAAAAATCAGGTGCGTCAGCAGTGTGGTAATCGCGAAAGCAAAGAAGAGGCTTTCCGTGCAGTGTTCGGCAGCCGCGTTTCGTCAGACCAGAGTTACTTCCTGCATCACTCAGGCTACGGCGAACAGGAACTCGCCATCCCTAGTGCTGATGAAGCTAAATCTTTTGACCAGAGTAAGTTGGTTATTTGTATTGTACAGTTGCTCCGGCTATGATAGGCTGTTAAGAACACAAATTTTGTGAATTTTAGCAATGTAAATGAGATCTCATTTCTAATAATTACTCTTAGTTTGGTCGTATAAATTATAAATGGGATTCTCCTACTGATTGTTATGAGAAATCATACTGAACTGCTTAGTGGATGAACACGAAATTGATTGTGAATAAATTCGGTGACTATGTTCCAAGTTTATAAGTTGCAATTTTGCTATCTAGTTGTTCTGATCTTTTGTAACTATAATTGCTCGTGTTTTGGGGAACTCGTATGACGGTAAATTTATTTCAGGCTTTTCAATGATTTCTACATTCTGCATAAACCTTCCTAGATATCCTAGAAATTTTTCTCATCTTCATTTTTCACGAGCTATGATGCAAGTCTATCATTTTAATTTTTTTGATGGAGGTACGTCCCTGACTATTCAACAAATAGTTAATATCTTTGAAATTGAAATACCATTTACATGTCGAAAAGCTTGCATCCTCTTTTTGAATGCACAGCAGACGTGTTCACAGATCTACAAATGTGAAGAGTATTATTACGCTCTCACTTCAAAATTCTTTGTGTATTGAATGGAAAAAGGGCTTCTGATGTCCTATGACTTTCACATGAGGCATTTTGGTCACGTTGTTCTTACATGTGTGAGTGATTGCAAAACAATACCTTTCAGGGCAATTCTAGGTTAGCATTAATCCTTCATCTCCTTGCGCATCATTTGCCTCCACTGATGTGAAAAGAATTTTGATTTGATGGTGTTCCTTCAACAACCCTCTTTATTGTGCAGCCGTTTGTGTCAACGAAAGCAGTCAATTGCGGGAAGTTCTCTGGCTTTATCTGCAAGGCATTCTTCGTAGAGCTTCAGCTTCTGCCTCTCAAGGCAACAATTCGCTCAATGTGAGCAACCTCAACTCGAGCTCTGTTGGGAACACCAGCATCAGTAGTGGTGGTGGCGGTGGTGGTAACCTCAACTCCTTGATGAACAGTGCACTCAAGAAGAACCAGCCATACTTTCCTCATAAGCTTTTTGATGGTCTCCAGTTTGCAACGTCTCACCTCAATAGTGCTGTTCCTGACTCACTCAGCCATTTAGATCTTCTAGCGTTCTTGGCCGCCACCATCTACTGCCAGTTGGAGAATGGAGCGTGCAGTGGCAGTGTGCGTAGTGCCGTGTGCAAGACGAGCGTGTGTAGTGGCTGGCTGCTGCATACACCGCAACAGGAGGAATGGTGGAGTGCTGCTCACGATTTATTTGTGAGCTCATCTCGGCGTTCGGCACTTGCTAAAGGCATCGGGAAATGCCGTCAGGTCGTGCAACGAGGTTTGGAAGCCATTCGGTTATTGGCTGGTGGTGGCATCTCCGTGCCTCTGGCTGTGCATATTGCTAACTGCTTCACTCATTGGGCATCTTGTGCTGCTGATGAAGATGAAGTTAGCATCTCCGAAATAACGGCTCTGGAGGAGAGAGCTGAGCATTGTTGGCAAAGGGTCCTCTCGCTATGCAGCCGAAACAATGCCAATGGAACCTCTCACATACCAAGAAATCAACTGTTTGAGACTGCACGCCATGGCATGGGATCTCTAAAGCTTGATGAAGTTGAAGAAGAAGGCCGCTTGTTTTTAGCCAAACGTCTAATCAAATCAGGACGACGTCAGGAGGCTCTTCAGTCCTTGGGTCAATTGAAGTCTCCAGAAGCTGCTTTCCAGCGCGCCTTAGTGTACAAGCAACAGGCCAGTGAAATGGTCAGTGCTGTGAGCGGAAATTTGAGCCTCTTCACGCCTGAGCAACGTGGTCAACACACTCTGTACCTAACACAGGCTAGAGACACTCTCTATCTCACGCTTGACAGACTACGAATGCCAGGCGTGGATCGTAATCATCCTCTGAATGCAACTCTCAGTGCAGAAATGGCGAACGTTGAACGTGCTCTCACGTCCATCACAGCAAATTTAATAAATAATTCATTCCACGAGGGAGATGGCGAGTCTGAAGTAGAGCCACTGTCGCCCATTCACCACGGACACGACCTGAGCCTTGGTGGCGAGAGTATCATTGATGGATGTCACGCGATATCAGGCACGCCTGCTCGCGGTGGAAGAGCCATGTCCACTCTAAGGGTTGAAGCTCGTCCGAGCCCTGAACGTTTGGACGCACAAGTGCGTCACCTCACTACCGTACAGGAGCAAACCTTACAGAATTTATGTGAGCAGAACTCGGCCCTGCGGACGCACAACGCGGCTCTAAGGGAAACTTGCAACACTGTTGCTACTCAAGTGAAGGAAAATGCGCAACTCTTTCGAAGCATTCTCGAACAAAATAAATCTATGTCGATGGATTGTTACAGCCATATCCTAACTCAAGTTAAAGGCATATCAGGGTCTGTAGATGAGTTGGTTGGCGAAGTTCAAAAACTCAGAAAAGAGATGATGGAAGTCAAGAGCGCTCTTCATAAACGTCCTGACGACGCTGATGGGCGTGGCGACGGATTACCTGCTCATCCAACACCACCTCCACACCAGAGTGAGTTCTATTCAATTTTAATTATACCATATCTATTGCGGCCCTGTGGGGTTGTTCTACACTCGTTGATCATTGAGTTTTTGCATGATGATATTAAAATGTGATGACATTATATTCACTGATTGCAAGTTGAAACGTTGATACAATTCGGTGCTGTAGACTATCGCTTATTTTAATGCACTGAGCATTAATCTCAAATGAATGCCTCCCAAGTGTGCATATGTTGACCGAGACTCTTCATTTCAGGCATGCTGTCGCAGCTGTACATGGGGTGCTACGCGGGGCAAGTTGGGGCCGCAGGAGTGCCTCATCCTCTCACTTCTCACCTCCTCCCGCCCCACTCTGCCATGCTGCCTGGTCATGCTCCTCATGGCTCTCCATTCTTACCTCCAGCTACGCTGGCAGACGCCTCGTACTTGTAAGTCGCTATTTCTGTCTGGTGTTAGCTTTGATTGGCTCTCCATTCTTACCTCCTGCTACGCTGGCAGACGCCTCATACTTGTAAGTCGTCATTTCTCTCTGGTGTTAGTTTTGATGTTTGTACTTTGTAAGAAGATTGTGGCAATGAAAAGTTGACAATGAAACAACTTATACTGTGGTGTAGAATGTGGTGTACTGTGGTTCTACTGTATAGAATGAAGCAAATCTATAAGAGTATGTACCTTAAAAGATAATTTCAGCTAACCTTTAATCCAGTATGGTACGTCTCTAACGTTTAAGAGTCGATGCCTATCAATGTATATGTATATTGGGGGAGTCTAATGGATTTATTCCAGCATGGAATATGTAAATTAGAAGAATGTTTAAAAATGTCAAATTATAGAATACAAGAAAAATTGGGATTTTAACAAATAGATTAATGTGTGCCATATGTCATGAGGGATCTTCTAGTGTGTTTTAAGTTTACTTTCTTATCAGTGCTGTTTGTGACATGGTTGCAGTTGTTTCTTTGTATGTGATCAATAAGTAATTTTACAGGAGCAGCTCGAGCGCAGCTGGGGTGCACATGAGTCGCCTACTGGGAGGCGTGAACACGTCTGTTGCAGACCCCCCCTCCCCCCTGCCCTCGTCCGTCTCTGCTCGAGTTCACTTCCAGGACCTTCCAGCTCTTGCTTCTCCGCTGCCTGTTGCGTCAGGTATTATCAAGTGTTTCTGTTGCTAGAAAAAATGCATCATATAGATAATATGAGTTATTTATTCATTGGTACCTTCACCAAGGCACTCTAAATTGTAGTAAGCAGAAATGTGTACCCATTTCATTTCTTATTCAAAATTTATTTCCATTGAGTCAAAAATTTATTTCTAAAGAATTAGTACATAATTGGATTTAATCATGGAAGCGGAATATTCATGAAGAGTTTTCATGGATTTTGATGCTTTACTGTATGTTATATTTATTGTGTGAAGCAAATCACTGCAATATTATGTTATATGATCATGAACTATAGTCCGTGGCAGCGCTGAAACGAAGCTTTGCGCTATTATTGTGCAGCAGCTGCAAGTAGCAGTACCTTGTCCGGGATTCTTTCATCACCGTACCTCGGCACGTCAAGCATCACAGGCAGCAGCACGTCTGCTCCTCACAACTATCAAATTCCTCTGCCTGCGACGTCCTTCGCTGGAGCCGTTCCTCTTCCGCTGCACACTCCTGGTAATCTATTCTCTCTAACAGAAAAAATACTTTAATTCGATCTGTTTCCTATTCTAGCATCGAAACCTTATGGTTTTAAGAATTTTGGTTGTAATGAAAAAAATTCTTTCCTACTTATCAAGGTCTCATCTCTCAGATATGTTCCTGTTCTCATAAAGGCACTAGAAAATTTTTAAGCTAATTATTTGGACGTCTAAAAGTACTAGCTCAAGGAGTCTAGAGTTTCAATTGCGGTCGTTTATATATATGTGACTCGTCTGCTGAGCTGATAAACCAATTTTAGGATTGAGCTAAAAGCAGAAGATAACTTGTTACTTGATAAATTCAAACCCAACATTTTTTCCTTGTGTGTGAGTACATTCAGTGATGTTCCTCAGCGACTAGATCTAGGAATTCTAATTGTGATCGATCGTTAGTTGACTGCCCTCTTTTTTTCATTAATTAACGTAACTCCACGTTCAGTGTGATCATTTACTACCTCTGGTGATGGTATCTTTTGTTGGTTTAAGTTGTCTGTTCCACAAGTCCAGAAACACGACAATATATATGTTGAAGTTTTAACTTTTGAAACTTTATTATTGGTTTTTTGAAACATTTGATTTTTAAGCCTTAACGAAATTTTCACAATTTTGTCTTCGAATGCATCAGGAGCCCCGTGTATTCTCTTGCGTTGGTCCTTATCTTGATTTTATCTGTTCTGCCTCGCATCCACCAATAATCACTTGGTCGAAGAACTACTCAATCATCAGAGAAAGACGCGCCAATAAGTTCCTCTAACCAAAAATGATTAGAAAATTTGTGGGAAGTTTAATCTGAAATTTTAGAGTGGATAGGAGGAGTTTTCAGTTATAGACTTGGGCAACATAAAATCATAATCGTTGTATGGAGCTCCTGATGCTTGAATTGCAGAGAACCAGGCTGTCAGGTAGATATGAATTTAAAACTCAAACGCAAGTTATGCAATTTTTTTTCTGGTTGATTCAGCTTGAATTGAGCCCTGAATATGCTTATCCTGAGACTTCATATAACTTATCAAGAGAGCATTACCTATGCAGTGCCCCCACCAACTGGAGTCGCACTTCACTGGCAGAAGCAGAGGCACGAAATAATATTACAAGTTACATGTTTTTTTTCTTATCTCTTGGCTGCTATTTCATCCGGGAATGCTTTGTCGTCATGTATTTGACTACATTGTGATGTCGTTTTCCTCAATCATTGGCTACTAATTTGCTGTGCCAATGAAACTCCACTTTTCCTAGACACGTTTGAAAAGTTTATAACCAGAGGCGAAGAGGAGACTGAACAGAATTAAATAATTGTTATGAACAAGTTTATCTGTGATATGTGTCAAGCTTTTGACGGTCTCTGCTGTAAAGAAAAAGCCAGTGCTGAATTGAGCTCTAGTGGGACAACTGTTTTTCGACCCCCCTTTTCTCTTCGTTGTCCTGAATACTAGGCTTCAACAGGTTTCCTTCTCATTATTACCTTCTAACACACATTTCATCTTTTCGATTTCTTCTTTAAAACTATTTTCTGGGACGAACTTAATGTCCCAAACACAACAATAGAATCTGCAAACATGTTCATATGCTGTCATCGGGGAAGCAAGTTCTTATCTCTTTCTGGCGCTCTTTTTCTTTATTCTCTTTATATTAAAGATATTCTCTAGCTTGGTATGAAAAAATTTCTGTTCTCTCGTCGGCAAAGGCTGGGCGGTTAGGCAAAGCTGAATTAGAGCAGCGAGTTGCGTGTGGAACAAGCTGTGAATGTTCTGCGATGTTAGGAATGAAACCGCTATTAATATTATTATTTGTAATTATTGTTATTATCATTATTATGGTAAGAGCCATCAACTGTCTAATATTTTCATTCAGTTCTATTGGATTACAGCAGTAAAACAATTAAGAAGTACGTTCTGAATTGCCATAATGCTGTAATAATTTTTATTTTGCAATTTACCAGTCAACTTACGGTACTGCAAAACACCCGTGAAAGTCATTTGAAACTACTCTATACTGGACGATGATAGTACATGATAATAGTGATAATTATTTAATATTAACGTTTTTTTTACAATTAACAGTTTCAGTAATTCTTGATCGTTATGATGAACGGTATAATTTATCCTTCAATCCCTTCTAACTAGCAAGGACTAACCCTAATCCTAATTGTTAAGTAAACCTAACACTGCATAAATTCAAATGTAGACTTGAACGGCCAGAGTGTTGGAATCTTTTCCATCAAAGTGCTAGCATTGAATATTGTTGAATTGTCCTCATATGTCGTCAGGATTATTTTTTCATGTATAGGAACAAAATTTGGGTGAAGTAAGGTTGTTCAACAGTTGGAAAGTAAAGGCCACCCTAATCTTGATCTTCACTAGCGATGACTGTCCACCTTTGACATATTACCGTTTGGTTATAGAACCTGAAATTGTCATTTAATTTGAAACTAAATGCATGACTTTTTTATCTGTACAGATCGGTCGTCAAGTCTGATCCCAACGTCTGGTTTGCTGGCCAGCGTGCCTCCTCCGATCTATTCTGCCGTGACTCCGGGCAATTCACCTCATCCTGTTTCTCATCACGGTAGCGCTGTTGCAGCATCTTCATTCACAGCCTCTTCTGCTAGTCCCTTGCAAACCATGTTTTTGGGCAGCGCTGGGCTCGTGCCAGTAACCACTGCTTCCGTGACAGACGCACCTCTTACTGGGAAAATAAAATCAATTCCTCAACGAGTACAGAAAATTTCTGAAAATGGTTTGGATAATTCAACAGCTGTGACTGAAGTTTCAGGCTTGAGCAACACGAGCAACGAATATTATCATGATGACGGCCATGACCCATGTCCTGATTTTGTTCCCGTGGTACCGTTGCCCGCCAAAGTCGAGGTACACACTGGAGAGGAGGATGAACAAGTTCTTTTTGAAGACCGAGCCAGGCTTTACCGCATTGTTGCCAAGGAGTGGAAGGAACGCGGTACCGGTGTCATCAAAATTCTCCACAATAGTCCGAAAAAGTCAGTACGTGTACTCATGCGACGGGACCAAACCTTCAAAATCTGTGCTAATCACTTGATAACTCCAAGCATGTTGCTCAAGAAGCTACCCAAGCACGACAATGCTTGGCTTTGGGGCGCTCAGGACTATGCTGACGAACAGCTTGCATCCGAAACTTTTTGCTGTAAATTCAAGACAGAAGAAATTGCTTCTCGATTTAATCGAGCCATCATTGAGGCTAAGATGCTTGCGACTGAGTATATGAAAGACACTTCAGTTTCATCAGAAGTAACTAGTGCTGCAAGTGTAACCACTGAAACCTTGAAGCCGTTGTCTGAACTTTTCAAGAAGGCACCAGGATCTTGGACTTGCTCCTCATGTTTTGTTGTCAACACGGCGGAGTCATCTCGTTGCATTGCCTGTACTTCGCCTAATCCCAGTGCTCCATTTACATCTGCTGCTACATCTTCAGAAGCTGCAGTTGACTTGTCCAATGCTGGTGGTTTCAAGTTCGGCTTTCTCTCGAGTAATTCTACCGCTGCTTCTCCAATATTTTCGTCAGTGTCTCCAGCCAAAGCATCTGGTAGCATCACTTTTGGTGTCAGCGGGCAGGCTGGTGTGAAACCAAGTCCTTTTTCAACACCTACTCCTGGCCTCTTCTCTACACCTCTTGGAAACAATAAACCATCGACTGAATTTAAGAAGGAAGAATCTTCTATCAGCCTTTTTGTGACGCCCAAGTCTGAGATAAACACCCCAGTTGCTGCTTCTTCGTTGTCCTCTTCAAGTATCTTTAACACTCCGAATCGGACATCTATCTTATCCACCCCTACGTTGTCGTTACCTACGTCATCAACTGGCGTCATGCCTTCTGCTAGCAGTTTATTTGGTACTCCGGTCACAGGCAGCGTGTTCTCAGTGGCACCTTCTTCATCTCTTATATTCTCGCAATCAACATCTCAAGTCCCGAGCGTCACCAGCGCCGTGACGACATCAGCGGTGGCCCAGAGCAAGACTCTGTTTGGAGGATTCTCCTTCACCAGTGCGCCGACAATGGCACCACCCAAAGAACAAGAGATCAAGAAGGAAGAGGAACCAATCAAAAAGCCAAGCATCTTTTCTTCATTCACATTTGGTTCAAGCAATACGGACAGTGGCAAATCATCTACATTCAGTTTCAAAACAGACGGAAGCAATTCGAAGGATGCAGCTGCTCAGAGTGTAGCTATATTGTCAAACTCGAATATTAATGAAGCTCTAACTTTTAGTGCCCTAGCTGATGGCTCCAACTTGCAGGCTGCTGATGTTTTCAAGACCAAAGATCTAAATGCTTTCAAACCTCAACCACTTTTCATAGGTAAAAACACCTCAGTGAGCGGGAACGAAAGCTCTGAAAAGGTTGAAGAGTATGAGCCTGAAGTGCATTTTGAACCCGTTATCCCTCTGCCTGAGCTGGTGCAAGTAAAAACAGGTACTGATGAACTTGTTTCCTTACTTAATTTCGTGCGAGTAAGATTGGGCATGATTTGAGCTTGTCTGATGTACATTACTTGAGGTAGCAAGCAATTTAATCTGAAATATCGAAAAAGCTGTTTGTGTTTTCTTATTAGTTGGTACCTATTTGTTTTTCTATACTTACTCATTTATTTCACATTAAATTCTTTTTGTTCTTCTAGGGATATTTTAGGAAAATAAAGAAATGTTCATATCTAGTCTTGATATATATGTATATTTGTTTTCAGGAGAAGAGGATGAAGAGCAACTGTTTTGTGAACGGGCCAAACTATATCGTTGGGCGGAGGCCACTAAAGAATGGAAGGAGCGTGGACTGGGAGACGTTAAAATTCTTTCTAATGAAAACACTGGCAAAATTCGGCTGCTCATGAGGCGTGAAAAAACTCTCAAGATATGTGCAAATCACTACATCACACCTGATCTCACCATCAGCTTCAGGAGTGACTCTGACAAAGCTTTATCTTGGATTGCAAACGACTTTGCTGAAAGTGAAGTCATCCGTGAAAATTTCACCATTAAGTTCAAGACACCTGAGCTTGCAAACAACTTCAAAGTAAAGTTTGAAAATGCCCAGCAGATGTTGCGTGAGAAAGCTGTTCCGTCTTCGACACTGACTGAAGACAGCAAATCCCAAGACTCGGTCACAAAGGATGCTTCCAACACCAAACCTCAATCATCCAAGTCGCTGATGGATATGTTTAAACCAGCTGCAGGATCTTGGGAGTGCGATACCTGCCTTCTGAGAAACAATGCCGATTCGGTGACATGTGCTTCTTGCCAGTCTCTCAAACCTGGCACATCGGCTGCAGAGGTTACTGTCAAACCAAGTAAAGATGCTGTTCAAACATCCATTTCTTTTGGCATTCCGTCATCAGCTTCAGCGTCTGCTACCAGTTTCACTCCGGCTTTCAAATTTGGCCTTGCCAGTGGCCCTACTCCAGCATTCTCATTTGGATTGCCCACTACGTCAACGTCCACTAGTGCTTCGTTATCCTCAGCTGCTCCTGCCAATTTCTCTTTTAAACCCACGCCCGTTGTTGCAAACAACGAAAATTCGGACACGCCTGAGGCAACAGAAGACAAGTCTAATTTTAAATTTGGTAGCCCTGAGAAGTTTGAATTTTCATTCAAACCGCGGCCTCCTCGCTCACGAGATGTGAGCCATTGCGAATCTGAAGATGGAGTTGTGGAAGAAGATGAGGGAGATCATCTCTACTTTGAGGTGTGTGACTTAGCTGTTGTATTTAGGTTGTTATATTGTGAGTTGTGTACGTTTTGCTTGATTTCCAGAACGACTTTTCGCAGTTCCTCTAGAGGATCAAAAATATTGATTTTACATTAGTGTTTTATTCCGCTGAATGATATTACTTGACTTCTAAATGATGGCACCACGCTAATCTGAAATCTTTACTTATTTTTGGCAGTTTAAATTGACATGTTCGGCACTAGGTTTAATAATATTTGTCTCTGCTTGTATTATCTTGCCCAGCTTATATGAATCGTAGTTCTTCATATGTATACCTGCCAATGCAATATTATCTAGGAGCTACTTTTCTTGTTTTGAGTGCGTGGTCAACTGATGAGATTCTTGATGTGTTGCGTGCAGCCCGTGGTGCCACTACCGGATAAGGTGGACGTGATCACCGGAGAAGAGGACGAGGAAATCCTGTACTGTCACCGCGCTAAGCTGTTCAGGAAAGCGGGACCTGAGTGGAAGGAGCGAGGTCTTGGTGACATTAAAATACTCAGGCATCGCGAGACCGGCCGCGTGCGTCTCTTGATGAGACGCGAGCAGGTTCACAAGATCTGCCTAAATCATCACCTGACAGAGGTGAGCTTGTCACTGCATGTCTTGTGCATCATCGCGTCTCAGTGATGTTATCGTCTTGACTTTGGCTTAACGGCTTCTCTTTCGTTTGAAGGTTATAATTCAATGTACAAATAATGTAACGTGATTAATTGAAACTTGTTATATCTAACAGATCTTAATATATTGAATTCTTGTAATTTTTAATTCCTGAGGCTTCTGATGGACGATGAAAATGCATGCTCCTTAGTATAATATTTTCATTACAAACACAGTAAATCAATTTTTTTATTCTCAGGCAATCAAGTTGAACGAAAAAGATGAGAAGTCATTTTACTGGGTAGCTCAGGACTATTCAGAAGACCCGCCATCACTTGAGACCTTCGCAATCCGTTTCAAAACTCCCGACATCGCTCAGGCGTTCAAAAAGGCGGCTGCCGACGCCCTGAATGGAGTAGCGGCTCCGGCTGCTGCTGTCAATACTTCAGTGGCTAAGAGTGATGTCCAGGAGAAATCAACGAGCAAGGATCAAGCAGATGGTACCTTAGTTCACTTCTGGTCATTGTTTTAAGTCATTCTGAAATATTATAAATCTTGACCCGCAAAACTGCCCGATGATCTATGAGCAATGGTATGGTTCATAATAAGCATCTAAAAAATTAAATTGTATGTCTTCTTCTTTTACTGAATTTTCCCCAAATTTATTACTGAAAGAAATACTATTCTAGTTATCCATTGACTAAAATTATTCATCCTCAGGTTGTGTCCTGTCCTCAACTACTCAGCAAGAGTCGTCTCGTCTTGCTCTCGCTCGCAAACTCCTTCTTCCTGACGATTTCTTTGCCTTCGAAGAAGCCGAGCGTCGATGCAGCGGCTGCCTAGGCTGCAAAGTAGACACCCTTCCTCCGTTCTTAGAGCCTGTGAGTCTTGATGTGTTTACGTCTCTGATAATAAGAACGAGCTGCCTTCACTAAAATTAAAAAGTGAATATTAACTGTCTTAGGCTATATAAAACTCAAAATATTCTGACATTATTGCTGGAATTTCAGTGATTTATTTTCAACGGCTGGGGCTGCGTTGTTCAACTGACGCAAATGTAATTTCGTCCTAAGCTGCCCAATTTTTTTATCTGATATTACTGATTCTGCCTGTAGCATTTCCATTTCTCAAACTTCTAAATTAACCTATGTATAGTGGGTAAATGATAAAATTAAATATGGTCCTTGTCAAAACGGTAATGTACTTCAGAAAATGTAATGTTATTATTTTTTTTTTTTTGCAAAAACTCCATGAAGATCATTATTAAATATTGGCGCTTCTTTGGGATAGTTGTTTAGTATTGAATTATGTTTATTTGGTCATGATAAATAAATGCCAAGAAAGCATACGTTCCCATTCCAAATTAGCCTAGAACAGTGTCAGTCGATAATGTTCTTGATTTTTAGCCCTATTTTATTCAGTTCTTGAAGTCATCTTCAGTAGTAGTCATATCTTCTCTCGTGCGGGCGGCCGACGTCCCGTGTAAGCGATCTCTTGCACGAGTGTCTTCGTTTCTGTTGCTTGTCACCTGTCCCTCCTTGTCACTTCGTCTCTTTGAGATGATAACGCTGCTTTATTCGAGCCAGCTTCAGCGGGCTAGACAATTGAGACCTTCCACCCCTTGTGGGTGATGAACAATTTTTGATTTGAGAATCTTTCGATAACTGAGACCTTCCACCTCTTTGTTGATGTTCATCTTGACTTTCGGTGCGAGATTACTGAATATCTGAAGCGCTAGTAATCAGTTGGCCAATAACCTAACTAGTCATATCTGACTAGTGAAAATGTGAAGGGCTTTTATACCATAATGCATAATATTTCAAGTTTTTTTTAACTTTGGCGTAACGGCTGGAAGGCGGAAGGGATGCCCATGTGTTCTGTATCAGCATTCATGCTATCTAGATCACGTCTACATATTTGCACCTGACTGAAAAGTAGGAAACACCGTTAATTTAGATGGGTCGCCTGCCGAAGACCACCACTGCCCTGGATGTAATGGACCATCATGATTCCTGCCTTCCGGAACGTAGCCTTCAACACTTCCAGCCGTCCGTATCTAGGCTGTGGGTCGAACCAGCCCTCGGTCGAACGGCCACTTGTCGAAGGACGATAAATTTTGGAACAGAACTATGCTATCTGAAACCTAACCTCAGATGCGGTGAACGTAAAACTACGTAATTTAACGATGCCCGGAAGTCAGATTCGATCCGCGGCCTGGTGGTGCACGGCAGTCTATACTCTAGCTTTACTCACCATAAATTGCTGGCTCCTGCCTCTCATAGTTTTGATGTAATTTAAAAAAAAAGTGATGGTCTTTGTTACCCCCAGCTCTAGGGGTTTCTTTGACCGGGTGGTAAAATCAATTTTATGACGTCACACTTGTTCGGTCGTGAGATGGCTTTGTGCTGCGCTCTGACAATAGGAGGTTCGGGGAACCGGTAAGTAGCACGGGAACACTTTATGGGGAAGTGAGGGAAATGCTGTAGTATTGGAGCTGGGATTGCTGGGGACCAGCGACGACGATGCGTCTGCCAACCAAGACTTGTTGTTGCTTGCTTGCCGACCTCTAATGAAATTTGCTGATCGTGGCGATTCTATTGTAAAAATTCTTGGTGCACTGCGACCACCAAGTGGATTTATCATGGAACTGGGTGTGTGGCTAATCCTCTCAGCGTTACTCGGATCGTGTCGACTTACGCTGGGCTCTGATCGATACGCCGCTGTTTGTGGCGGCATAAGTCCAATCGATGCTTATTTTTTCCGCTACAGACATTCCTAATTACTCTGCTTTTATTTCAACAATCGCCACTCATCTTTCTGAAGTACGTTCCTCGAGTCACGCGAGAAACTTGATCACAATCCAGACGCTCTTGTGTCTTGCCGGTCCGATGCTGAAGTACATCTACACTCTTGTCAAGAAATGTAAAAGGCCACTTGAGTACATTTTTTCCATCGTTCTTACTTTTTGTGTTGTTTTAGTGTTAACTATTTAACCGTCAACGATATAATTCTCTTTTTATCTGCGGCCTCCTTCGTAATTTCTTGTCGTTTTGCATCCACCCTCTCTTGGACCACATTACCCTTCTTTCTACACCGCCCTCGGCATCTATTGTTACTTCATTACGCTAGACGCTTCTTCTCTTGAAAGACTATATTCATATCTATTGTAAATGAACTCAAATTCACTGTATATTTTTGACCACATATTGCCATAATCTATTATTTTCTCTCTTAGGAAACTCCTGCTGGAAATGTGCTGAAAGACTTCCCTCGTGACGAGTTTCCGAGCGCTACCACACCATCGTTCGCTGCTCGTTCCGTTTTCGGCACTAAGGCTAGTGACTCAGTCCTGGCAAAACCACTTTTTGGGTCCACTCCAAGCGTGAGCTCCGCATCTCTCTCCTTCGGCTCAGCTCCGCCGGCTAGAAGCTTGTTCGGAGGAGCAAACGCTGATGAGCAAAAACCTTCAAGTTCTCTGTTTGCTGGCCCGTCTGTCGGTTCACTGTTTGGAGGAGCAACCACACCTTCAGTTTCTGCCAACTCGGTGTTTGGCGGTGCTAGTACAACACCGAATTCTGCTTCTAAGGGAACTGTTTTTGGAAATTTGAACCCTTCGTCCACAGGCGGTCAGACACAATCTCCATTCTTCGGCGCGCCTTCTTCTAGTTCCGTATCTGGTGATGCGCCATCAACCACATCAAAACCGTCTCTGTTCGGTGGAGCATCGAGTCTTGCTGGCAAAACCAGCTCAGCTTTAGCCAGCAACTCTGTGTTCAGTGAAATCGCCACGTCATCCTCCGCATCAGTTTTCGGCGGAAGCATTACGCCATCCTCCACATCAGTTTTCGGCGGAAGCATTACGCCATCCTCCACATCAGTTTTCGGCGGAAACACCACGTCATCCACCGCATCAGTTTTCGGCGGAAGCACCACGTCATCCTCCGCATCAGTTTTCGGCGGAAGCACCACGTCTTCCTCAGCGTCTATTTTTGGTGGCGGCCCCGCTGCCAATTCCGGTTCATTGTTTGGAGGAATCAGCAAATCTGGCACATCGCTTTTTGGAGCTCCAGCTACCTCAGCCTCATTATTTGGCGGCTCTTCAGCCTTCGGTGCAAGTACAGCTCCAACTTCATCATCGCCCTTCAGTGATACCTCTAAAGCCGGCTCTCTCTTTGGTAGCCTTGCAGTTACCGTTTCTGCTGCATTGCCTAGCAATAGTTCAACTGTGTTTGGTGGTGCAACTGCTGGAACAACTGGAGGGAGCCTATTTGGAGGGGCCTCTTCAACTGAAGGCAAAGGTTTGATATCATTTGCTGATATACCAGCTGCTACAGAAGGATTCGCGTCAAAGGCCCCTACAGATATGTCAGCGTGGCAGTCGAAACCATTATTCGCATCCTTCAATAAATCGAACAATCAGAGTAGAGATGATAGCGTTGATCAAACCCAAAACGAAGAAGACGATTCTCATGATCCACATTTCGAACCTGTTATTCCCATGCCTGATCTTATTGAAGTAAAAACAGGCGAAGAAGACTTGGAAGTTGTGTACTCTCATCGATGCAAAACGTTCAGGTTCGATAACAACACAAAAGAATGGAAAGAAAGGGGTCTTGGAGACATCAAGATCTTGTACGACCCTAGTAATCAGAAGTTTAGAATACTTCAACGACGTGAGCAAATCCACAAACTAGCTGTCCATCATTATTTATTGCCGGGGCAAAAATTGACGCCTCTAGCTTCTTCTGACACTGCCTGGTGCTGGTACGCCCACGATTTTAGTGAAGTAGCACAAGGCTCGCAAGAACAATTGGCTGCCAAGTTCAAAAATTCTCAAATTGCTGGTGAGTTTAAAGCCAAATTTGAGGAGTGCGTTTCAAAAGTTGAATCACTGAACAACAGCAGCTTTTCGACTCCAGCCGATCTTCTAAAGAATGACTCCTCTCCTGCATCTAATGGCGGTGCTGCTACTGCCGCCGCGGACACTTCCACGAAGAGCAAACTCGTTTCAGGAAGCGTCCAACCACCTAAGTTTGTCGAGTCCGAGACGGAGTCTTCTGAAACGGGCGAAGATGATGAAGACGACGATGATTATATCGACAGCAGCATCATGTTTGAAAAGTCATGTCAGCTGGAGAAGCGCTTAGGCGAAAACTGGGATGATCTTGGCACGGTTATTCTTCGTATTGTATACGAGTCTGACTCGGACGGCGCGCGCCTCATGGCGACTGATGAAAGTGACCTCCTACTCCTGGATCACGTGCTAACTGCCGACCTCGCTTACGATGACATCGATGAGTGTATCGTGTCGTGGGCTGCTCTCGACCTCTCCACTCAGCCTGCCTGCCACGTGAAACTTCGAGCCACCTTCCAGGATTACGATGATAAAGAAATTTTCATCGGAACCTTGGAGGAGGGTCGAGAGTTCGCCAACAGGGATGGCGTGAATGAAGGTGAGGATTAGTGTTATCTGGAGTAACAATTTTATTGAGAGTCTGATACCGTGCGTGCATTAAGATAATTGTAACTGCATCGCCTCATAATATTTACATAGTTTATATTGGGATTTCGTGACTATAAAATTTGGCACTTCTCTTCCTGCTGCTTTACTGGTAAGAAGGTTGCCTGCTACACCGAATTTAAATCGTGACTCTAGCGAATTAATGGCGAGAAATCACACGATACCTCTTTCAAATATTAATGTCCTGAGAAAGATATTCTCCAAATATAGCTCGTCTAGGGGGCAATTGAACCCCACTGCGATGACACTTACTTGAAACTCACTTGCAACTGAAAGGGCTGCGATGAACGCTGATATCAAGTTTGTGTGGCTTGTGAATCATGAGCGTTGGCTGCTTAGCTATGGTAGATCCTGCTAAGGCTTAATCTGCTATGCTGCAGGATCTTGTGGCGAGCCTGTCGTGAGGGCGTGTGATCCCGAGCTCGCAAGTGTAATGGCTCAATTGTTGAAATCGGTGTGTCTTTTCTTTACACTTATATGCTCTTTTTATTGATTTTAATGTGCCATACTTATTTGAGGTTTCAACATGTTTTTAAACCATGTTTTAGGCATGATTTTTTAATCGTCCCGTGACTTATTTTTATATCGCGTTTCTTCTATGAATTATAGTTTGAGTATTTTAATTCCTCGGCATCTCTGTCGTGACTGAGACAAATAATTGTTGTATTATATGGCTTATTTATTAGTTATATAACTAATCATGCATATTTTTTTCCAGATTAAAGAATAATAGCTGAGCGGCCAATCACGAAGCCACACGCAAGTTTCCTGGTTCGCCATGTTGGGACCTGCGTCGTCTGGTCTTGTGGAAAGTAGATGCATACTTGTATTTAATCTTACTGCTGTTGTTCAGTGATTTAAATTTGTTCATTAAATGACAATTTATTTCTTAAAAGTATAGCTCACTCGAGAGAAGTATCTGCCAAGGAATAGCGCTGAAAGCATCATGACAGTCCTGTTGATAACGCGTCGAGATTTGTTAATTTTATATCGTCTCTCTAATGGTCTTCAGTTTTAATTGACGCTCCTGATAAATAATTCTATTACAAGCCAAATCAATTGATCTGTATTCATCTCCTGTATGAAAACATTGGAAAAATTCCCCTCTCACTCCTAACCGTTGCGTTACTCAACCTGATGTGATGCTCATATATTAATCGTTGCTGATATTGTTTTGGGTTTTCCTAATCGTCGTTTTATCGAGACGTTGACACGTGGTGGTATATATTTTCGTGCGAACATTTTACTAAATTTTCGCGTATCACGTTTGAAAAAACACCTTGTCTCTTTTTATAGTGTTACAATGAACCTCATTTGCAGTTTTTCGAAGACCTTTTATTTCAACCTTTTAAAGAAAGGGCATTCTTTTCCTTGGAAACTGTCAGGAGACCTTAACCTCCTGCCAGTTTCATGGGGCGTAGAAGAACCTTGTGTTAGGATTATGTGTAGCCATTTGTGTTGGAGTAGTAATTCTAAATGTAGTGCGTGGTACCAATAAACATTGTGCTTCGATTCAAAGTACTTGTTTCTTTTATTCATCACAGATTTGTTGGTGACCATGGCGTTAGCAGTTGCGCCTGGCAAGTTACTGGTAATAGGTTGGTCTGGTTGTTTGAAAGTTTTTTGTTTTACTTTTAGGCCGAAATTTGTTTGTTTTTAACTGTGAGCGAACGTTAATCTAGTTCAAGACCACCTTAGGACGTATCATTGCAAAGATTGTTGTGTTGCTCTTTTCCTAGACCTATAAAAGGCTTTTGATCGTGTAAATCTTAAAATTCTCTTGAGTAAGCTCCACCGGTATGGTATTAGAGGGCCTTTCTTTTTACTTATCCAGTCTTACCTAACGAACAGAGGGAAGTTTGTCGCATTGAACGAGTTCAATTGCCCCATAGGACTCATCAATATAGGTGTACCACAGTGCTCTATACTTGGTCCTTAATTTTATTATTTTTATCAATGATATCGCCTCGTCTTTTAACGTGAACTGCAAGCTTTTTGCCGACGATGCCGTTTTCTATGTCTCGAGAAGTTCCTACGATGAAGCGTGTGATTATATTTCGGAGCTTGCTTTGAATTTGTCAAGATGGCTCTTAAAAAACAGGCTTGAGGCTAGCACTGATAAGACTAAGTTGATGCTTTTTACTCACTGAGTCCCGTTTCCTTTCTACGTGACATCACCTTCAATGGGACAATTTTAAAATAGGTCGATGATTTTAAATATCTGTTTAATAATCGGCAATAAGATTTCCGTCGATAAATACACTAACCACGTCTGTCAGGTTCTGAGTAAAGCCCACGTAGTTTTGGGTGCTCTTATCCAGTGTTCTACCTTTTCCATCATTTAAGAAGCTCTGTCTCGATCAAAACTATCGAACACGTTTATAATATGGGATTATTTACCTATTAATTCAAAGAAACGGGTCCTCACGTTAATTAATAAAGCGTTACGTTCAATATTTCGAATTATGTAACTGAGTGCAAACTTACAAAATGAACAGCAATATCCCTTAAACTCGTACTAATGTATTATATAAGCCGTCGAAAATCTCATAACTCGACAATATGCACTAATTTCAGCTTTTAAAATTCATGAATAAGGCGCTTTTCCATGATAACCGACGTTCGCCTCTCTTGTTCCTCAACATTTTTTTAATACCAGGGGCAAACGCTTTTACTTAACCAGGTTTCGGTTAAAAATTTGAAAAAAAAATATAACTCGGTACCCACTGCAGTGAGTGACAGTGAGCGCTTTTTCTCGTCGACGAAAACGTGGTCACGGATGGACGGACAGACAGACATGACGAGCACACTAGCCCCTTTTTTCCATAAATGCGAAAATGCGCTAAAACGGTAAATGTAAAATATTTTGATTCATTTTCTGATGATTTCAAAATATATTGTTCTAAATTCATTTTTAAAGTCTTAATTTCGCGATTTTATTCTTACCCAGTAATAATTTGACTACGGTTATCATGTGAGATTAATAGTAATTTGACAAATTGTTTTTAATTACTTCCTACTTTCAGTGTAAGGCTGCGTCTGCCTTAAATATGCTTGCTTTTGGTGACGTGCTACTTGTATCTTCACGGAAGTTGACCAAGGTTAGCGCAGCAAGTCTCAAAATTTCGACGATTTCGTGTACATGAGTCAGTAAATTTGCATAGGCATACAACCAGCAAGTAGAAATAGCTTGCCCAGAAACGGGCAAAGAAGCATGCTTAAAACACGGTTGAAAAAACGTGTTGGAATAAGGTTTCAGAAACACGTTGATACCTTAAATCAATAAGACACAACAATTTAGCTAAAACAATTAAACATAAGACAAGCTCACCAACCGACCCTGCAGAGAAGCAGACTCATCTTAGTATAGTATAGCGGTTTCAGCGTTTATAAGGCCGTGGGCCTGTCGCCTATTCTTAATATTGCAGAACATTCACAGCATGTTGCGGGCTTGAACTCGCAACTCGCTGCTTCAAATTTTTTTTGGCTTAGCCGCCCGGCCACATTGCCGATTATGACCAGAAACTGGCGCACAGAGCTGGGATCGAACCCGCACCTCTCTACTCTGAACTTTAACCATTGGCTTCACCTTCAGCAAGATCTGCCGAATTGGAAGCTAAGCAGCCAACTCTCATGATTCACAAGCATCGCAACTCTTATTAATGTTCATTGCTGCCTTTCCAGTTGCAAGTGAGTTTCAAGAAAGGGACATCGGGGTTGCGTTGAATGACGAAATGACGAGCTATGTTTGGAGAATATTTTTCTCAGGGTTTGGAAGGGTTTCTCAGGGTCTGATTTCTCGCCATTAATACGTTAAAGTCATTATTTTAATTCAGGGAAGCAGGAGACTTTTCTTCCAGTAAATCGTTAGGAAAAGAAGTCCGACGTTTTGAAGTAACGAAGTCCCTTTAGGCTTTTCACTTGAGTGTGGTCAACACAGTTCTGCACGCCAACGAGACATACCTTGCTGAGCATGGACATCCAGACTTCAGACTGACTACTGGGTGGATGTGACTCACCAAAATGAATGCATGCAACGTCACATCATGCAAGCAGTATTACAGCACGTCTGGAGACGCTATGAAGGGGAGCCTTGCAAGTGAGGATACATTCAAATTAAAACCATCTGAATAATGAAAGAAACCTGGAAGAGATAGCTGCAAAATTTGTAGAAGCACCAGAAGTGTGGGAAAACAATGAGTAGTAGACATCTCAGTTTGAAATGTTAACAGTATCAATAAATAATCAATATAATAAATATGAATATCAATAAATAATTAATATCATCAATAATAATCGGAGTGCGAGCTGCAGCAAGTTCTGAAACACCATCAACCATTGCCATGACCAGATGAGTTGGCAGGAAATGAGGTCATGTATATTCTATAGGTAGGTACAACCGATACGACACTTCAGCGAACTCGCCTGCGAGCTTGAATGCAAAACCTAACTTCATTTTCAGCTTTGGCACTCATAACTCCTTCAATTATGAACAGATTTTATTCAAATTTGAAATATAAGTAGATAATATCAGTACGCAGGCGAGTTCGCTGAAGTGTCGAATCGGTGGTAGGTACACCACAAACCAATCATCAATCTTTCCCGCCCCCTACAACGAAATGGCCCCTACCGATGTCTTTTCTGAGTGGCTACAATTCTCAAAAAAATGGTAGTGCCAAATTTTGATGACACCAGTACCTCGTTCCTTTCAATAAGTTCTAATCTCAAATGAATATAAATGCTACGACAAAGTTTTCTTATAATAAAATATAACTTCATTTTCTAAGTTAGTCGCTCAAAAAACATCACTGTTCGCTATAGATTGCATGTTTGTTTTTTATCATTTATGCGTATACAGATTACGTCATTCATCTTCCATAAGATTTAGTGAATAAATTCGAGATATTTTATATGCATTTAAATTTCATAAATATCTTGTCTCAAAACTGGTGCATCTTTAACAGATTTATTATGACGATTATTCTAAAGTCATGGTACTGAGTGTTTTCAGCTTTCCGGCTGACAGTCTCGCTCTCAGTGCCTGCGATTCAGCGTTTCAGTTTGTGATGATGGTGAACACAAAGAAGGTTGAGTGTGAATGATAGTGTATATTTGTACAAAAAAATTAGGATGTATGTTATTTTTTAAGAATTTTATCAGTGCCTGTAGCCATGGGATTATGGATTTATGTCGTAGTGAACCTACTAGTCATCATTTGTCCCCAAATAGAAGGTAAGTAATCGACGAATTAAAATTTTTGTTCTCGAGACGAGCGGCTGATGTGATGGGTCTGGACTTTGGTTAGGTCTACGGTAGTGGATTTTAATGCTTGCAGCTAGCGTCATTGCTTTCAAGTTTCAACAACTTGCGTCTTGCTTGCTGACTTGTTTTGTGTGCAGAAATTTACCACTGTACCTCATTGTTAAATCGAGCTATTATCCATATATATTTTTCGCCGTGTGAATTTAGGGGAACCGTAAATGTTTATAAAACTATAACCTATGACTATGAGGATAATCAATTCCAAAATCCAAACTTTTGATCAAATTGTTACATTGCACAAGATGTTTTGATTTTATTTAATTGTGATCAAACCTACTTGATAACTTTTGCATATTTTTTAAGAATTATGTAGAGATTCTTTAAATGATGGTTCTCTTCTGTACTGGATAGAATTTAAAATGTATATAATTAATAACTGTTAACTGTGAAAATCATAAAGATTATTGCTTCAACTTTTCTTCAGGTGTTATGAATTTGTTTTCATGCCATAATGCTGAATGCTGATAACCTAGCCTTATGACCTTATGATGAGTTTAGGATGTCGTCATAGTGGCAAAGCAGAGAGTTTTTTAGACTCTCCCTCAAGTTCATTTTTGAGTCCTATAAGTAGACCAGTAAAGTATCATGCATAGTGGCAAAGCAGAGAGTTTTTTAGACTCTCCCTCAAGTTCATTTTTGAGTCCTATAAGTAGACCAGTAAAGTATCCTGGATACCACCAGTATCATGCATAAGAAATTGATTTAAATCTTGGGTAAATGGGGAAATTAAAAATGAACTGATTCTAAAAAATCTCTGGTTTGTCACTATGGATGTCGTAGTCCACGCCACTGGCGTGGACTACGACATGGAGGCGTGCCATGGAGGTGTGCCTGGCGTGACGCCAGGCACGCCTCCATGGTCATGCTGATGCGCCGCCTTTGTCTAGCACAGCACCTAAGTTTGCAACCTTTGAAATTAATTATATTTATATATATATTTTATTACCAAAACTTAACTATATCTTCTTAGTCACCTAGTGCAATGATAACAGTTTTTTGTCATCAACAAGATCATGTTGTAGATGACAAAAAGCTGTTCAAAAACCACATGTCAATATGGTCATGTAGTTATTCAACTTATCAAATCTCAAATCATAGTTCTGCTTAGCATCATTTGGTTTTAAAGACAACTGGCAAGGATTGTGCAGTTTCTGCTGAGGGGCAACTTCTGTGTCATAGGTAGACAATGTCACAATAGCTATAACATAACATTTTTAGACTGCTTGCAAGTCTTCTGTCTGATCATTGATCAATGATCTGAAAAATACAGGATTTGGTGGGATTTTAGAACAGGTTACAATTCTAGAAAATAATATGATGGTTTCTTATTTTCAAGATCAATGATAAATTCAGTATGTAAATTTGCTCAGAAAAAGAATTAGTTACGATATAAAAGAAGGGTTGAGATTTTTGGGCAAATATAAGTGCAACTCTTCATAACTCATCCCTAATTAATTTTGCCCAATTTTCAAGTGCAGATCAGTAGGTGTGTACACATATTTTTTAACAAAATCAATAATGATCATGCTGCTCAACAAGATTGCAGCTTTTTTACCATTTAGTAAAACATTGCAGCTTCTAAGTGACATTTTCAGTAGATTTAGAATCTAGAATTAGTCCAGTCCTATACTTTTGTCATTAGTTAGATTTGAAATAAATATGTATATAATTCATCTAGTGGGAATCCTATAGCTTCAAATATATTGGGAAGATTTAGTTGCGGCTCAGAAGGCAAAAATTTTCCACCCCTGTTGCTTAAATGGCATGGAAAAAAATTTATAGTATATATACCGGTACGTACTAACAATGAAGTAGTAAAATAACTACAGTAACTACACTTTCTATCTCTGTCAGAGTTGAACCCTAAAGTTGTCAATGATGTTGCCATTCTAATGGTACTAAATAAAGAAAGAAAATATATGTATATGTTTAAGGATTTGCTATGGACTCTATAAACTCTGGCAATTGAATATAATATATTACTGTAAGATTTAGAATGATTTCTATTGACAAATATAAATAGTATTCATGTTTTACATAATTTGGATCAAAGCAGCATGGATATCTTGTGAATTTGTTTGGTATTACTGCTGGATAAGAAGATATATACTGCAACCAAGCAATAAATTGTAAAATTTGCTAAACATTTACCAAAAATTGTGATTTTTTTGAGTATAGATTTCATTCATAACAACTAATTATGTTAAACTATTCACTCACTGTGCAGCACTAAACAAAACACAGCCCAGCAAATATAAGCAAAATAAACTTGTAAATAAGAAAGAATTGGCTTTAGCATAATTTCTAATTCCTTTGTTCATTTCCAAACATTATCTATCTGAATTATGCAGTCAGTTTTAACTTGGGTATCAGAAAAATAAGCCTAAATTTATCTAAGACAGAATCAGACAGCCTGCTATTTTGTAGTTTTGTTTCAATTGTGGGATTTAATTTTGCCTACCAGCTTTAGCATATTTATAGCATTGAGGAGCCTATATACAATACGTCAAGTCTGTTTTCCAACATACTTTGCACATTTTTCTACAGTTATGAACATAAAATTTTCTTCTCAACTAAACACACCATCATTGATTCACAAATGATCTATTAGAATCCAACCCAGTATTCCAATTGTGAATTGAAATTCACTAATGTAGGCTAAGATCACTTTAAGAAATTGACTTTGGCTTTAGCTTGGGTGCTCACAATTGCGTGACACTCGAGTGCTCTTGATTGAATAAGTTCTTCAGGCTCTTAAACTTATGATGCTCAGGTGCTTCCATGCTCACTGTGCTCATGAGCACGTGATGCTCATGTTGATCCTCATACATATGACCACTCCTTAAAACAGGAGAGATAGGAAGGCTGAATGTAACAGGAGAGATAAGAAGGCTGAATGTAACAGGAGAGATAGGAAGGCTGAATGTAACAGGAGAGATAGGAAGGCTGAATGTAACAGGAGAGATAGGAAGGCTGAATGTAACAGGAGAGATAAGAAGGCTGATTAGTGAGTCTATAATTTAATAAACCAGACTAATTTGAACTCTACAAAATTCTTCCTTTTAAGCAATATATCGGTATACATTTCTGCAATACTTTGTGCATCGTTGCAGCGTGATGAAGTCTTCGTCGCATTCACACGAAATTGCTAAATTCGTTCTTATTTCTTGTGTCAGTGTGAGGAGAGTCATGATGAAACTGTCGATTTCTAAATATTATAATCCATTTAAATGGAAATAAATAATGTATTGATGTAAATATTTGGTGTAAGAAATGTATCTAACGTTATCAGCATACCTAGGTAGTCACGTCTTCGTGCAGTACACAGCCCACGTACTCACGCGTTGTGCACGGCTGCGTGCAGCACGCAGCCGTGCACACGCACGCTGCACACGGCTGCACGCAGCCTCCGTGTACACGCACGCTGCACACGGCTGCACGCAGCCTCCGTACACGCACACGGCACACGGCTGCACGCAGCCTCCGTACACGCACGCCGCACACGGCTGCACGCAGCCTCCGTACACGCACGCAGCACACGGCTGCACGCAGCCTCCGTACACGCACGCTTCACACGGCTGCACGCAGCCTCTGTACACGCACACGGCACACGGCTGCACGCAGCCTCCGTACACGCACGCTGCACGCAGCCTCCGTACACGCACGCTGCACACGGCTGCACGCAGCCTCCGTACACGCACGCTGCACGCAGCCTTCGTACACGCACGCTGCACACGGATTTCCGGCGTAGGTCGCCGTGAGAGAGAGGACGGTCTGGCTGGCCCTAGCGCTGCTTTCCGGAGCTGCCTTCAGTCTCCTCAACTGCAGGGATACTTTCACTTCTGCTTACCTCAGCACGCGCGTTAATGCTTATGTTCTTTCCCAGAGTCATGTTTCTTCGCGAAAATACAAGCCATCAATGGATATTCAATGGAAATTTGTGTTCAGTTTTACTTACCTCAGCATGTGGAATAATGATTATAATTTTCCGTGTTATGTTGTTTCTGCACGGGAAGCCAAGCTCCCTGTGCTTTTATTTTTCTAATAAGAAATTATGCTCTCGGCAACTGTCCCTGAATCAATTGAGTTATGAAATGATGCTCATAATAGGTCTAAGCAACTGTCTTTAAAATATTTAATAAAAAACTAGTGGGCATGACGAAAGTTACGCTGAATTGGGGCATCAAAAAATGATTGTACGCACCCATGCTTCGTCATATTTCCGTTAATTATCATTTAAAAAATTTGTTGCGCCGTCAAATAATTTTTATTTTATCTTGTCATCCTCAAGTAGCTTTATTTTCACGCCTTCCTCATTGCGTGAGGAGAAAATTGCGTCAATTTAAATTGCGTTCTCTATTGACGAGCACCTATGCCAGCCTCAGGCTGCTTCTGTTGGCTCACTTACAAGAATTATCAGTTGCAGGTGTTGAAATCAACTATAGGGAAAAAATCATGACACTTTTTGAACTGATAGAAAAATGCTCTGGTAAAACAATTCATTTATCATTTTTAACATGTAAATAAATGTTTATAAGTAACGGGCTTGCTGTTCAACTAGTTTTGAAAATACGCTTATCCATATCGGCGTGAATAAGTTCTAAAAAGTTATGAAATTAGTAGAGGTTTTTGAATGAGTTCTAAAATAATTACAGACTAAGAAATGAGCAATGAAATTTATCAAAAGAGTTCTTAAATAGTTTGAAGTTGTCAGTAGGGAATTATGAAAGTAGTAGAATCTGTGAAAAAATTCGGAAATGCCGATTCCAGAGGTTATCAAAAACGTGTGTTTTGATACGGAGCTGTCGCCCTGCACTAGGGCTATTTCTCCATATATCAAGGCGACTACAATATCACAACCTTCGATGAATGCATGCACAATGACCTTCGCATACTCCAAATAGCGATGC